CACCGAGAGAGATTGTGTTTATATTATGGAGAAGCTAAGCATATTGTTCAATATTGTTCAAATAAGCAACTCAATTATAAAATGAGGAGTATAATTACCAAAGTAGATAATGTGTTGGAAAACGAGTCTCTCCAGCTACAATAGGGACCATGCGGTTGGAATCATGTGCAACACCTAATAAAGGTCCTATCCTCTCCTTAGATCCCTCATCTTATTTTATAATAGAAGTACATTTAGGACCTAATAATCACAAAATCTTTGCTTTGTTAGATTCAAGAGCCTCAACATGTTTTATACATGAAGATTTTGCCAAAAATAAAAAAATACTTTTAGTAAAGAAAGTTAAATCTGTACATGTAGAAGTCATAGATAGTCATTTGTTGTCTTTTGGAAATGTTATCCATGAAACTATTCTTTTAGATGTAGCAATTAAAGATCATGACAACGTAATAGTATTTAATGTAATCTTCCTCTAATCCAATTATTTTAGAATTATCATAGCTAGAAAAATATAACCCTCAAATAGATTGGATTTCTCATAATTTTAACTTTCTTGATAGTATAATCCAAGATCACATTAGTAAAGTAGAAGTACATAAGTCTAGTACGTCCAAACCTTTACTAGTAGGTACAAAAGCTTTCATGCATGCTACAAAAGAAGGATCAACTTTTGCTATATATGCTACACCCATTTTTAATGGAAAAATAACGTCGAGTGGTATTCCTAATCAATATCAAGAATTCAAAGATGTTTTTGAAAAGAAGAATGCACATATTCTTCCCGAGTATCGACCATATGATTGTTCAATTGATCTGCAAGAAGGAGCTCAACCACCATTCAGACCAATCTATAGCTTATTGCAAAATGAGTTGGTTGCATTAAAAGAGTACATTGATGAGAATTTGGCAAAGAACTTCATACGCGATTCTAAATCTTCAACCGGGGCTCCTAATATATTTGTGAAGAAGAAAGTTGGATCTCTGCAAATGTATAAAGACTATCAAGGACTCAACAAGATCACCATCAAAAATAGGTATCCTTTGCCTTTGATTTCAAGACTTTTTGACCAACTCAATCGAGCAAAGATCTATACCAAAATAGATCTACGAGGAGCATACAACTTAGTTCGTATCAAAAAAAGAGATGTATGGAAGACTGCTTTTTGAACTAGGTATGGACATTTTGAATATAATGTCATGTCTTTTGGACTCATGAATACATCGGCTGCTTTTCATCATCTTATGAATGATGTTTTTTGTGAGTTTTTAGATGATTTAATTGTTTTCTATTTAGACGACATTCTAATCTATTCTAAGAATACAAAAGAACATGAGCTTCATGTTCGTCGCGTATTACAGAAACTTAAAGATGTAGGATTATATGCCAAGTTGAAAAAGTGTATATTCTTCACCACTCAAGCTGATTTTTTAGGGTACATAATTTCCAACAAAGGCCTTATGATGAATCTCAAGAAGGTTCAAACTATCATAGATTGGAAGATTCCAAAAACAATACGAGATGTGCCATGCTTTTTGGACTTTGTTAATTACTATCAAAACTTCATCAAGAATTTTTCTCAAGTTGTAGCTCGACTTATACATTTGACTTGTAAAGACAAATTTAAGTGGAATAAAGAAGCAAAAGCATCATTTGATGCTTTAAAGAAGGAGTTTATTTCTGTATCAATCTTATATTGCAATGACTTTTCTAAGGCATTTTTTTATGGAAATAGATGTGTCAGATTTTGCTATAGGTGCCATATTGTCATAAATGGGAATAGATGACAAACTCCACCAAATAGCTTTTCATTTGAAGAAATTTTCAGTAGTCAAGATTAATTATGAAATCCATGACAAAGAGCTCTTTGCAATCATAGATTCATTTCAAGAATGGTTTCATTATTTAGAAAGAACTTCAAGTCCAGCTACCATATATACAGACTATAAGATCCTCAAGTACTTCATGTCAGAACATGTCTTAAATCATCGTCAAGCCTATTGGAGCATGTCATTATCTAGATTCAATTTCAAGATCACTTATCGACTTGAAAAATAAGAAGGTCTATCGGACATTCTTTCTAGATGTTTTTATCTTATACCAAAAAAAGGAGATGCATCTTTGATCAATAAAGATCAATTCTCTTGAAGCTCAAGCATTTTCATCTTCAAGATATAAAATCAACATTGACTATTGATTCAACATTTGTGAAGCAAATTCAATCAAGCATGTCTTTTGCTCCTCTTGTTCAGGATATCAAGGATACTTCTTCTAAGTCCCATGATACTTCCATATTTGAATTCAAGAATAATCTATTATATTTTGAAAGATGCCTATATGTTCCAGATGGTGAAGCTTGATTACATGTTCTTTAAGCTCGTCCTGACTTTTCAGCATTAGGACATTTTGGATACAATAAAACTTTGGAACTAATATTTAGAGATTTTTGGTGGATGCAAATTTAGAAGGCAATCAAAGATTTTGTACAATCTTGTAATGTTTGCTCAAGATCCAAAATTCCTCGTCATCAACCTTACGGATTTCTTCAGCCGTTATCCATTCCAGAACAACCATGGTCTTCTATTTCTATGAATTTCATCACGGATCTTCCAATCGCAGGTTCTTATGACTCTATATTCGTGATAGTAGATTATTTTATCAAGATGGCACATTTTGTACCATGTACAAAATCTATCACAAGTAAAGAAACAACTAAGCTTTTCATTGACAATATCTATCACTGTCATGGATTGCCAAAGGATATTATATTGGATAGGAGGACTCAATTTGTATCAAGATTCTAGAGAACCCTATTCAAGATTCTAAAGGTGGATATAAAGCTTTCTTCAGCTTTTCATCCTTAAACTGATGGACAAACTAAACATATAAAAATCAAGTTCTGGAGCAATATTTGAGATATACCATCAACTATCATCAAGATGATTGGACAACTCTTTTACTATTGGTAGAGTTTGCATATAATTATTTGGTACATTCTTCTACTCAACAAACACATTTCTTAACCAATTATGGTTATCATCCACGTCTTGATATTTTTGACTTTTCAAAAGTTGATAATCCTGCGGTAAAAGATTTAGTAAATCGCTTATCAAAGCTACATACAATAGTGAAGATACAATTAAAAGAAGCTCAATAACGACAAAGACCAATGAGGATGCCTATTGCAAGGAACAACCACAATATAATATGGGTGACAAGGTATGGTTACTTAGTCGTAATATCAAGACTACTCATCCTTGTGATAAATTCGATTATGGTAGGGTGGGACCTTTTCCTATTTGTGAACAAATCAATCCTCTTCCTTATCGATTACATCAACTGGAATCTATGAAGACCAACCTTGTATTTCACGTGTCTCTTCTAGATCCATATAAGACAATGAATATCTTGGGAAGAAGACAAATGCCACCTCCTCCTATAGAAAAGGATAATAACCAAGAATTTGAGGTAGAAGAAGTCTTAGAGTCAAGGTAGTGCTGAAATAGTTTGGAATATCTTGTTCATTGGTACGGATATGATATTAGTGAATGCACATGGGAGCCATCAAAGAATCTTGCAAATACAGCAAAGAAAGTTGAAGTCTTTCATTAATAACATCCATCAAAAATAAGATGAAGAATAACAAACCTTTGCTATAAAAGAAACAAGATTAAAGAAAAATATCATTCTACCTTCTATCTTTTATTGTAGCTTTTGTATATTTGTGATGAGATGGAGCACCAACAACCATCAGAAATTCAATTCAAGAGCTTTCATTTGCGGACTTACGAGATGACACATTGCGATTGTCTTAACCTTCAAAATGACGGAATCGAGATGAAGATCCTCAAGAATGACATATCCTTACTCAAATAGATGGCAAGATACAACGTGTTTGATATCATGACCATGAAAGAGACTTCCAATGTTTAGTGATTTTATTAGAGGTAGGAACAACTCCTGATGGTATTCTAAATGTTCTTTTTGAAGGAAATTACAAAAGCCTCAACAATGACCAAATAACAAGCTCATCTTCTCTCCCTAGTATGGGACACTATAGATGGTTGAGAGGACTTATTAATCATCTTCAAAGAGAGCAAAGATCGGAGTATGTAACAAATACATTTTGCCGCATCTTGGACTTCCTCAACATATGAAGACCGCTCCTCATGGAATTCATCCCTAGAAGGAGAGATAATATCATGGACATATACATTTACATTAATAATTACTTATATAATTAAATTAAAGTAGGTAAATATAGAATATTTTCATAAAGTCTTCTACAAGCTTCATAGATGCAATTTTGACTTTAGATGTATTTGTAAATTAGAAACTTAGCCAAAAAGCTAACCATGTATTGGTAGCTTATGGAATAAGTTATTTCCGTATAGTAGCTTATGGAATAAGTTATTTTCGTATAGTAGCTTATGGAATAAGCCAACTACATGGCGCATACATAGATAACTTGCCTTACAAGATAAGACATGTGGCTAGCAAAGTCAACACATGTTGGAGGTCCTATAGGACATCGCCACATAGCTCTTAGTTAGATAGTATATATGGAGGCAAGAGTGAAGCCTTCTTCACTCTTGTCAATGCCTTTCTAGTCTTGTTGTCAATCTTTTCATTTCTTCTTTAAGCCTAGAAGCTTTCATTTACCAAGAAGAATTATAATTTATTTTTTAAAAAAAATATTTTTAATATATATTTTATCAAAAAATATATAATTCAATCACACTATATTTTTATTTATTCATTCATTGATTAAAAAAATAAAAAAATAGTGGAATCATCACAAAGCTATTAATATAACATAAAGCTTAAATCCAAGTTTACATCTTAAAAACAAGTGAACGTCCAATAAGAAGACATGGCAATATATGTACAACAAACAATCCGAAGGGGGTAGGGTTTGGTTTAGGTATGGACCCGGGCCAAGGACCCTGTTCACACGGGAGCCAAGAGCGACCGTATGGAGGGTGACATTGAGGCGAAACCCTAATTCCGTGCTCTGTTTTCCTCTTCCCGCGAGCTGCCCCGGGACCATCGCAGGAGCGGGATCACAATCTGTTGGAAAACGTCTCCGACTGTTGCCTCGCGTAGTCCGATTCTACTCGCTTTTTCTCAACATTAGTGTGTTTATTTGTGGTACTTGGTCATGTCCACTCTCGAAATCGAAGCGCGTGAGTAAGTATCTCGATTTCTTTCCTCGCTCTAGGTTTTAGATTAGTCTGCCTTTTGTTGCTTGCGCGTCTCTGCCCTTGCGGATTCTGGATATCATTCTCTTGGGCAGCGGCTTCATTTCTGACATTGGCCTGGCTGTCTGCATTTCCTTGTACCTTAAACCTTATAACCTTATAAGGTATTCTCTTGCTGGATTTCATGAGGAGTTTTGGCGGGACATTTTATTTTAATTTTGTTTTGTTTTTGTTTTTATTTATTTATTTATTTATTATTTTGTTTTTGTTTTTGTTTTGTTTTGTTTTGTTTTGTTTTTTTTTTTTTTTGTGTCTTTTCGGAGTCGACGTTCCTCCGTGAAGTTTTTTTTATTGGGGTTCAGTGACATAGAATCTACGACGATGTCACTGTAGTAGGGCTCGATCGTTTCGGTTTACGGAAGTGAGTGTTATTGTGCACCAATTGGGCAGTTGTAGGAATGCACTGCGGACGTGAACCTGTAGTTTTTCTTAGTTGCATCTGTTTCTGTTAGCTTAGTTTGTGAGTTTGATTCGGTTTAGCGGCTCGATCAAAATGCTACTACCTAGTTCCCTCGTTGTTCCAGCTTCATCGTTCTGAAGTTAATTGTTGGGTGGACTCAAAGTAAACTTCCTTAAAGTTAATATCAACACGCTTATAATATCGATGATACCTGAAGAAAGTTAGTTTTGAGGACTTTGTATTGAGAATTATTTTGTAATTGTGGACGGTTTATGGAAATTGAAATTCTTTTTAAGGTCGCGTACTTAAAGCCTGCTGTGCTTGTTACTTCGATGTCAGTCCAAATGACGGAGAGCCCTAATGCAAACGGATGATTTCATTATTATTCAAGGTCAATAAAAATGAAGTAGTTCATCTCTCGTAGTACGATGAAACAGAGCATTTTTGAATTTGAGCTAGAATTCGGTGGATTTCTCCTCCACTGTGTGTGGTCTAAAGACCTTTGTGGGGACTGTGCAGTGTCATTAAGATAGTGCTGCAGTTCTGTAAAGAGAACTCATTGCAGCAGACTTTCCAGACACTACAAAATGAGTGTCAGGTTTCTCTCAACACTGTGGACAGCCTTGAGACATTCACGGCAGACATAAATAACGGCCGTTGGGATGCCGTTTTGCCACAAGTGGCTCAGCTCAAACTTCCCCGCAAGAAATTGGAGGACTTGTACGAGCAGGTGCTCCCGTCATGGCCTCTTTCAACCCCGCATCATTTGGAGTAACTACATTGGATTTGGTGATCCACTTGTGCGCATCTTGTGTACTTTCTTGACTGATCACATGTGATCTACGACTTTCTCATGTGAATGTTCAACTGGGTGACGACTATGCAAAGATTAATCATAGGTAGGCTTGTGGCAGATTGTCCTGGAAATGATAGAGCTTCGTGAGTTGGATACTGCCAGGGCCATTTTGAGGCAAACGCAAGCTATGGGATTCATGAAACAGGAACAGCCTGAGCGTTATCTTAAGCTTGAGCACCTCCTTGTTCGAACCTACTTCGACCCCCGTGAGGTACTGTTTGATGTGTTGATCTGATTCGAAGTGTCTGGTGAACTTACTTGTTCTGCTTTGTGACATGGTCTATGTTGTCTGTAAGAAGTTGTGTTTTTATCAGTAAATTATGGTCATCTGGACTCAGAATATCCGGGAACACAAATTAGTTTATTGCGGTTGCTTCCATAAAGAATAGAGTTTGGGATGTGACTTTTGTACGACTCTCCATGTTGTTTGTGACAGGCTTATCAAGAATCATCCAAAGAGAAAAGACGTGCACAGATTGCTCAAGGTGTAGACATAGTTTTCTTCTCGAGCTCTCTCTAGCATCGCTCAAAACTTTTCCGTCTGCGTGGCTGAGTTTTTTAATATCATGTTTTAAAAATTTTGATTGTTAAAATTTTAGTATCGTTAAATTGAAGTATGCTTTATTTGCAGCTCTATCTGTCGAGGTCACTGTTGTACCTCCCTCTAGGCTGATGGCTTTGATTGGTCAGGCATTAAAATGGCAACAACATCAAGGTACTTGATGTCTCTAGCTTCGATATTTTGAATTCTATGTTGGAAAGCGGAGAAACTTTTCTAACTTATTAGCTGACCTAGGTCAGAGTTTGCGTCCTTATAATATTTAGTTAAGTTCTGTATCAAATATTTGTCTCCATGCATCGCTTGATTCTATTTATAGTCGTTTTTGTTTTTAATCACTCATTATCACTCACTGTATGCGTTCTTAAGTTTGCAGTGGTTGTTTGCAGGTCTACTGCCACCAGGTACACAATTTGATCTTTTCAAAGGTGCGGCAGCTGTGAAGGCTGACGAGGAAGAAATTTACCCAACAGTCCTTGATCACACAATTAAGGTACAGTATTCCAAGACCTATCCTGCTAATATTTTATGAACATTAGTGAAGTTGCAATTGTGTTTAGGTTTTGAGTAGTATTTTTGCGTCATACCTTAGATTAATGCTTTCGCAGTCACTGTACATGCCCTAACATTGCAACTGTTGCAGTTTGGAAAACAAAGTCATCCAGAGTGTGCACGATTCTCTCCCGATGGGCAGTTTCTTGTTTCTTCCTCAGTGGATGGCTTCATCGAGGTATGTGTCGTTCAAACCATTCACACAGTGTGATTATATTGTAAGGCATTTATTCGTGTTTATTTGGGCTTGTTAGAACGAACAGAGAGATACCATGTGAGCAATGATCAGTTTCTGAACCATCTTCCAGGTTTCTTCTTGACTTGCAACACCAGTCAGTGCTTGTTTAGGAACTTGTGGTTTATGTGGATTTGCTGTGAAATGCGTTGAAATGTACAGTAATCTTTTGGTTGCCTCAGAAACTTACCACGCATTGACATTCTGCAGGTTTGGGATTATTTGACTGGGAAGCTTAAGAAAGATTTGCAGTACCAAGCAGCTGTAAGCATCATCAAAAATTATGTCATTTGAATGGCTATGCTATCCAGTGCTAAATTTTATATATGTATGTTTTTCAGATCGATTGTGTTGAGTTTCTTGGTAGTTTTGTACATCAACTGAATGTAAGTAATATTTTGTATGGTTCAGGATGCGTTTATGATGCACGACGAGGCAGTTTTAACTATTGCCTTCAGCAAGGACTCTGAAATGCTTGCTTCTGGATCTCAGGACGGCAAAATCAAGGTTCATTTCTTATTTATTGTTTAACATGCGTTTTAATACCACTATTTCACAATCAGACGAACATAAGGGTGTTTCTTTGACTCTGAGCTATTTACGTATACAGTCAATGTTGTTGTTTTGAAATAGAAGGGCCAAGTTTCAGCATTGCTTACACACTTGCTCATCTTAGAAAGGATTCATGAAGTCATGGCAACTATTTTTGCAGGTATGGAGAATACGCACTGGACAATGTTTGCGGAGGTTTGAGCGAGCACATGGTCAGGGCGTAACAAGTGTTTCATTTTCAAGGGATAGTACTCAAGTCCTGAGTTCATCCTTCGATGGCACGGCACGGTAATCATATAGTGGTAGTAGAACCTGTCTGGTGACTTCAGTGACTTGTCCATCAAAACTCACTTATCAAAAGTTGGAAGTTCTTCTAGATTGTGTCTTCACGAAGTGGTATCCTGATCAAACTTCATTACATTGTTCTTCAGTTTTTGGTGTCTTTTCAATACACCGCTTCACAGAATTACCATTATTGATACACAATTGTATCTTGACAGATTACATGGGTTGAAATCTGGGAAGACCTTAAAAGAGTTTCGAGGCCATACTTCATATGTTAATGACTCTATTTTTGCAAGTGATGGTGCCCGAGTGATTACAGCCTCGAGCGATGGCTCTGTGAAAGTGAGTACTTTTGGCTTTTTGTAAAATGATTAAATTCTGATTGATCACAGCTATTGTTGTGATTTACGTTGCAAATGCATACTTATGTTAGAAAGGATGGAAGGACATTTCGTAAACCAGGTTTCTGTGAGTTGATACCGATCCTGTTTGAGACTGCGATCATTTATGTATATATATATATATATATATATATTTTTTCTTTTGCACTTTGTTTCTGTCCTCCCGCTTCATTTAGGTAATATAGAACTCATTATGTCTGTTTACCTGGCAGGTTTGGGACGTGAAAACCACAGATTGTCTACACACTTTCAAACCACCGCCTCCATTACGAGTGAGTTTCCCTCTATTTCATTGTCACTGTCCACAGTGAAGTGGAAAGCCAGGTTATCTCTTAATTGAAATTTAGACGAGCTGAAGGTGTAATTTAATTTGATCATTTTCTTCTCTTGCAATTAGATGTACTATGTTAGCCGTCTGATATTTAATAATTGTTTGAATAGGGTGGTGATGCAACTGTCAATTCCATTCACATTATGCCTAAGAACCCGGAGCATATTGTCGTTTGCAATAGAGCATCTGCTGTCTATGTCATGACATTACAGGGCCAGGTTCTTGCTCTCATACCAGATTGACTATCAATTGCTCAACGTCTTTCATAGTTTCTATATTTCATATTTTGTGTATTCATTCTTGTATCTTATTCTTCATATCGTTGATGTATTTCTTTGGGAAATTCACTGACATGTTCTGAACTTCATTGGTCCCCACACGCATGGTAACTATTAATGAATACTTACAGCAATCAGTCTGCTCCCAGGTTGTGAAAAGTTTGTCTTCAGGAAAACGAGAAGGAGGTGACTTTGTAGGTGCTACTGTTTCACCCAAGGGGGATTGGATATACTGTGTTGGTGAAGACCGGTATGCTCTATTTGGTGCCCGATTCTAAGCCACATTGATAGTTCTGTGTATGCGGTGATATATAGTAAAACATATATCTAAATTTCAGAAATACGTTTGTGTTTGAGATGTTAGTTCTTTTAATCGTGATTTACTGTACTTATCCTAACTTGTTTAAATATCTTGTAAACAGAAATATCTACTGCTTTAGTCATCAATCAGGCAAGCTTGAACACTTGATGACGGTAAGTTCTCCCTTGGTTTTTCTCTTAGACCAGTGAACACCGTTTTACTCACGACCAGTCTTGTCAGTGTATGCAATTGGGCCTTCACATCACATGAAGTGCAACATTTGCAGTGTCATTGTGCCGTACAATTTCGATTTGTAGTTCTTATCGAGCCTAATGAATTGTATTTTGTCACTCGACAGGCTCACGACAAGGATATTATTGGAGTGACGCACCATCCTCATCGTAATTTGCTAGTGACATTCAGTAACGATAACACAATGAAACTTTGGAAACCGTGAACTGATTGGCTATTTTTATTCCATACCATCTGTCAATCTCCTCCTGTCTTTTTAATTTCTGTATGGATGAGCAGATTAATGGTGACCTCTGCTCACGAGCATATTCCTGCAATACAAAGTGTACACCATCTAGCCCAGTAGTAGTGATGTCGAAAACTTACGCGCAATAGAAAATGCACTAACTCAAAGGAACTAATCCCTCTTTTCAAATAGTGGAAATCTGGTTCCTCCATTTCCCAGTGGTGTACACAGAAAGTGATAAATTTATAAGCAGTGCTGGTATTGTACACAGAATGTTTTTGTAACTGTTCACTCGCTCATTCGCATCTATTTTTAGAGACAAAATATGATTGTGAAAAGCGCCTGACGAATGACATTCATGTCTCCAGCGTCACAGCGGTACAAGTACAATTAATTTTTTCTGGTAATCTCAGTTTTCCTACAATTCAGCGGAATCTGACCTTCGACCATCAAATTATCCTCGTTCTAGTTATTGTGCTACGTCAATCAAATAAAACACAATGTCAATCATATGGCTTGATCTACAGGCACCGTAAATGAAGCGGCAAGATTCTCCACGGAGGCAAACTCCAGTTATCGATTATGTGTTTGAGCTCGAATTCCAAAAGCAATGCCGACATGGTTTTGGGAGCTATGATTTATCGGTAGCTCTACGACGAGTTGGGCTAGAGCCATGCGTAATCTACGAGTTTTGCTGCGGATCCTTTTGAACAGCAGAATGACCAATTCTACTGATTGCAGCGGCGTGATTGGAAACACTGTGCACGCTTTGCCGGCAAATGCAAACGAAGTCCCGCACAGCAATGTCGATTGGAAACTGAGGAGGAAGTCCACTTTGACGACTCTCAAGAATAGGTCAGTCTCACGTGTTTGGTCTGCGACGCCATTAAATCGGGGGCCATAGTTCCCAGCATCTTCGACTGAGGTTTATTTCACCCGTAAGTCTAGTTGTATCGTAGGCTTAGCTGCTTGCGGCTCGGTCGCTGGTCGTTGCAAGGAAACTCTTTCCCTGTTTACTTTGGCTGCGTGAGTTTCATTTTGCTTCTGCGTCAAGGGAAGGCCAGGGTTCAGTTTTACATGTCCATGTGGATGGTGCTTGATGAATGCTGTCGATGTTCGTTTGTCAATTTTCAGTTTGGATCTGCTTGTTGCCAATCCTTGGCATCAGAGGGCAGATTGGTTTGTTGAAATTGAATTGTGCAGAGTGATGATGTCAACAGTGTAGGCAGATTTTTCTGAGAGTGTAGAATATTGAGTGAGTGGCGGGGTCGTGAAGTCTTAGCATTGTCGAAAGGGATGATCCGGAAGCTTGCAGGGTTGGATTTCGTGTTGTAGCTGGATTTTGAGTCGTGAGCCCTGAGTTGGCGAGATTGGTGAGGATTTGGAGTTTGAGATTGAATTAGGTTGGAAGTGGAGATCAAGGAATTTGGAATGGCGAGTTTCCTCGAGAGCAACGGCGTGGTCAATGTTTAATTGGAATGGTGTGGATGGTGAGCTAATGTGCTTGCTCTTATCAAGTAAGAGAGTCGATAGCGAGAGACGGATTGCCCAGCTTTTGGAGTTTGAGGCGACTCTACAGCTAAAGGAGAAGGTGAGTCGCTATGGATTTGAATTTGTGAGGATTTTTAGATCTGGTGATGTTTCTTTCAACATATTGTTGAGCAAATGGAAGACTCAAGTTGGTAACAGAGTCGATCGACAGAGACAGTGAGGTGGACATTGCAATTAGGGAGAATTCGCGTCAAGGAGGCAACTTACAATTGGAGAATGAGAACCACAGATTCCAAGTAGAAATATCGATAAGATTTCACGCTAACAGTTGGCCCGTTTGACGTCCAAGTTGGTGAACAGCTCAGAAGGAGGATTTGGAATGGTGTAGCTGCAAAATTTAGTGGTTATAGCTGTTGCAGTTTCATGAATTTTACTTCATAATACGAAGCAGATTAAGCAACTCAATTTTGCTACTGTATTCGACAAAGTAGATGTTTCATGGCCTTCCTGAGAACGATGCATAGGGTTTTGTTTAGGTCACTCTGAATGTAGAGGATACCACATTGCACTTCGCAGGACCTACGTTGGAGGCACTAGTTAATGCCCAGTACTGTATGGTACCGAATGCAAAGTTTACTGCTAATGACAAAACCGTACATGGAATCCAATCTGGACATATTTATAGACATCATGGGAGAAATTGTGACTTGTTTGTACTGAGGAAGGTCTCAGACTCAGAAACGCATTTGCAGCCATTACTGCTGTGCATTTATTGGACTAGTAGTTGATCTCTCCATGTATCTCGTGGAATGTGTCCGCTGTCACAGTGCATCACTTCTATGTCAAATTTTATAAGTTGGCACAACCTTTTCACACAAGCGTGTTTATGTTCGCGGAGCTCGCATGTAATGACAAAAATTTGATATGGATTGTTCGGTGCAGGTTGACATCGTGAAGGAAATGTTAATGTGATGACCTGGTGCAATAAGCTCCAGCAGAAGATCGGCCTATGCTGCTCGTTTAGTCATTTCCTTTGATAAGCAGTTAGTGTTTTTCAAAGCAGAAAACGAACTGTTTAAGATGTCAGGAGTGGGGTCGGGAGTGGGTTGGGTGTTATCGCCGCCGCCTAGCAAGGACAATGGGGGAGCTGCACACTGTAGCCCACATGGGCTGATTGCTTACGGTGCAGGCAGCAGCGTAGTGGTGATGGAGCCTCGAACCATGCAACTTGTTGCGGTACTGCCTATGATCGCCCCCAAGAATGCCTCCTTGCAGCCAGCTCCTTTCGTGACTGCTGTACAGTGGACTCCGGAGGGAATTTCTCGTGACCTCGTGGGAGAGGATTTTTCTACAGCTCATATGCAGTTAGCAGTGGGTGACCGACACGGTCGTGTTGCTATTTGGGATGTTGCGTCAGGGGACATCTGTACTTGGCTAGACGTCGATGCGGAAAAGGGAAAACAAGGCATTCAAGATGTATGTTGGGTATATGGGCAGCCTTGGTTACTGGCTGTCATTCATGGCCCTACAAGTTTAAATATTTGGGATCCTGTAACAGGGCGCTGTATATGGAGGTTCGACTCAGGCGGGGAGCTTCTTGGATGTGTGAGAGCCGATCCTTTCGATCCTCGGCAGTTCTGTCTGGTTGGGCTTCGGGGCCTACTAATGTCGGTTCTTGTAGCCGGGGTTTCGGATTCAGAGATACTCACCAAGCAGTACATAATTCCTGGACAAGACGAGAAAGGATTGATGGTTGAAAAGACCAGGGATGGAACTAGCAGTTCTGGATCATCATCATCTGGAACGCCTGCTCTAGCATTCGCACCCGGGGTTATTGTCCGGTGTTTGTACTCCAGGACCAGACGAGGTTTGCTGTATGTGATGATGCCGCGTGAAATCGTTGTTTTTGACTTAGCTTTTGGAATGCCCTTGGCCACAACGTCCTTACCACGTGGGTGCTCAAAACTTCTCGATCTATTGGCTTGTGCCGATGGTGACGTTCTTTATTGTGCTCACCAGGATGGCAAAGTTAGTGCCTGGAGAAGAAAAGAGTAAGTCCTTTCAAATTCCTTATAAATTCTGTTCAGTAAACTAGTATGCAGTTTTATTACTTCAGGGGAGATGCTTCTGCTGACAAATTAATTGTCATTTACAGGTCACTGTTTACATACTGTACTGTCCTGTACTTTCAGTAGTATTTGTTCTAAGCTCTGTGCTGCAAGTGATATGGTTAACTTTAATGATTTTGGAGTTCGGGGTATATTAATGCAGGGATAAACAGGTTTTCTCATTATGCTTTATGGGTACGTTGATGCCCTCCATCGGATCCCCTGTTCCTGCACCGGCCGTTCTTGCTGTAGTACACTGCCCTTTGCAACTTCAAGTGCAGAAATCCTCAAACGATAATCAGTCTAGTAGTCTGCAGGTTGATTCCCTTCCAGGAGCCATTTCTGTCTCAAGTACATTGGCACAAAATGACCAGCTTGTTGAAGTCAAGATCCTCCCCGCTCTTGAGGCCACGCTTTTATCTATTACTGATGATGGTCGACTATTGCGCTGGGTCATCAATGGAGATGATGCCGAAAGTGAGCCTATATCTTTAACTGGGACAAAGTTAACGCATAGGAACTCCGGAGAGTCAAACACAACTGGGGAACTTGTGCACTCCAATTCAAATGGATTGAATTCTGAAGCTCTTTTCAAGGTCCATTCAATTCGTGCTAAGTGTTATTTTCATTTTTTAGGTTTTTATTGCTGATAGAAAGAGTAGAAAGCATAATACTAAGCGTTTGCTTCTTAACTTTCCGTTCTTACTGCTTTTTGTGTTCTAAAGAGTGATGTTGTCTTCTGTGCCAACAGCTTGATCTGACAGGACAATTACAACTTCTTTCATCTGTTGTAACCACATTAGCTGTTCCAATGCCCTCCATCCTCGCTATGGGCTTGGGTAAGTAATGGTTTTGTGCCGTTGCATTCACATTTGAGACGAGTCTGAACATGTCCAACTGGCCGCTGCCTCAATGATCATCGGTGTTTACGGGTGTAAATGGGTCTCCGATTCGATAAATGTGATGCTGTTTTCAGTTTCTGGTAAAGACCTTTCGATTCCTCTGTTTTAATCCACCTGATGCAGGGGGAGAAGGAAGCAATGCAGGAGCTGTATCAGTTCCTCTAGTGGCATTAGCTTGCCAAGGAGGCAGTCTAGAGCTTGTTGATACAGCTGCAAATACTATAACTGCCTCATTTGCTGTACACAGCAATCAGACAGTTCGAGGAGTTCGCTGGCTTGGAAATACACGTCTTGTCTCGTTCTCATACACTGAGGTTCCAATTTATCCTGCTGTTTCTGAAAATTATGTTGTATTAATCGTCGTCATTTTTATTCATAATGAAAGGTTTGATATTTCTAAATAGAATATATGGCGTATACTTTGCACCAGGTGAAGGGAAAAGGGGGCGGCTTCGTGAACCGTCTGGTTTTGACATGTGTGCGTAGTGGCCATAGCAAGGTTTTCCGGGTGATTCAAAAGCCAGAACGTTCTCCAATGCGTGCCCTCCGCACCTCGCCATCTGGCAGGTATGTTTCAAGTTTTATTTGCAATTAAGTTTCCTTATGTATTCAGAACGTAGAACTTAAGAATAAGGATGTAGGGAAAGTTCTAAGAACGTGATCTTGTCAGGCTTGCTATCAGAGTCCGAGGAACTCTAATTGAAGGCTTGCTTATTTCGACAGTGTAGTACAGTAAAATATTCAAGTTTCGACTGCTCCTTTAAACATGTTTTTCTACAGTGATCTCTTTGTTATGCCGGACGGAACCTTACAATTGTCGCAATTAACCTAGATCTATTCATCCTGTTAAACCTGTCGGCCTAGTTTCGCAGTCATTATGTGCATTTTTTTCTCGTGCACACAGCTTTATCAGAGTATTGCATATGACAGGTACCTATTGATCCTGTTCAAGGAGGCTCCTGCAGAGGTGTGGGAAGTGTCAAGTACTCCACAGATGGTAGGCTTCAACTAACTTGACTTATGCATTTCAACGTTCGTGTTTACATGGAGTATCACTTCTGACTGATATAATTGGTTTTAAAGATAAGGTCTGTGGCTCTACCTTTCACGGTGATGGAGTGGGCGCTTCCTCCAGCCCCCAAGGCAGCCGCTGCAGCAGCCGCCTCTTGGGGAAAGAAAACAGCTATGATGAAAGAGCGACCTACTATTGCCTCAGCAGCAGCCTCTGCTTCTGCTCCCATAATATCTGGTGCAGGTGATTCATAATCTCATTGTTTCTATTATTTTACCTATCCTTCCTGTTTCTTTATGTCTTTCCTGCTTATATTTTTGCATCAATATTCGGAACATATCAAGCCACGTGCATGTCCTAAGGTATTAATAGATTCAGCTTTTATTCTCGACGGATTTTATCAATTTTTGTGTGAGGGATTCCATGTGGTAGTAACCTCGTTTTTTTTCTCGATCAGATTCACAAGACTCTGAAATTGCTGAAAGTTTTGCGTTTGCTCTAGTAAACGGCTCTCTTGGAGTTTTTGAACTACGAGGTAGAAGAGTTCGGGACTTCAAGTAATGTTCTTAATCCATGGGAAGCAGGGAGTACTTGATTTGTACAAAATAGGAGTGATTTTTGTATATATCTCTGTGATCTTTGCTTTCTTTTCTTATGGAACTTTTAAGATCAGCGTCCAACATCAGAATATTAGAGCCGTGACGTAGCTTGCATGTCGTACTCAATCTCTCTATTTTCTCTTTGTTGGATCTAGGTTTTTACTTTGAATCAACGTGTCCATATAATTTATTTATCATATTTTAATGAGCTTTGCATTGCTTTGCAGACCCAAATTTCCTTCCGCTTCATTTGTCTCTGCGGATGTACTAATAACTGCCATGGCATATCGCACACCTCATGTGGTAATTATCGTTCATGTCCCTAGTTTATCATTATACCTATCAGCTTTTCAAGGCTTATTTGTACACGTGTAGAATTTTAAGCCTGTCTGAAGTCTGGAGGGATTTTGTGCAAACACTACATACAAGTTGTGACTTCCCTTCTAAACAGGAGTTTTTCAAAACTGCTATTGTTCTAATATTGAGCTATTGTCATTAAAATATTGATTGCTTCCGATTCCGTGGTGGATGTAATGCCATCAATCAACTTATGTTGATGGTCCTGAATATGTAATGTATGCAAATGAATCTGGACTGGATGCAGGTCATGGGAGACCGGACAGGTAGTATAAGATGGTGGGATGTAGTGACAGGGCTGTCATCATCTTTTAGTACTCATCGCGGAGGCGTTCGTCGCATCAAATTTGCACCTGTAAGAATTGGTGATCCTACAAGAGGTCGCATAGCTGTCCTCTTCAATGACCACAGTTTTGCTGTGTATGATCTTGTGAGTGCCACATAATCACTGCCAAGGGTGTGCGTTTGATGAAGTTACAATTAGCGTGTTTTGCTCTTCGAAGTGTAACTCGTTGTCCATGCGTTTATGAGTTGGAAAATATTCGTCCATGTGCAGCCATGATGCTTGCCATTTTTCATGTTGTTAGATAGGGGATTACAAGCCACTGATTAGTTGTTCCTGGTGTAGGAGGTTTTTTATGTTATTGTGTTGATGCTGAATGCATGGCTCATCGAATTTGGGTCTAAAATTTGGGAAGTCAATTAGAACATGTCCTGTTGACGCGCGGTCATCGGTTTGTGTAGGATACGCACGATCCATTAACTCATTCACTAGTACAACCTCACCTTGGAGGCATATTGGTGCTTGAACTGGACTGGTACCCGCTGCGTCCAGACAAGAATGAACCTTTGCTCTTGTGCATAGCTGGTGCAGATGGTAGTTTTCGACTTCTTGAGGTTCAAAAGTAAGAACTACTCGAATGATTACTGGTTTTGATCTCTAATTTGATCTCCTGGTAGTTTTGTGGCATTTTGTTTTTGGCCTTCAGTTTTATTCCTCTGAAACTAAGATGAATTGCCTTATTTTCTTTGAAGGAAGTCCGATAATTTGCAAGAGTTATCTTGTAAACCTCTCCTGATATATCATACAAGGCATTTAGAATGCATATGAAATCCTTGTTTTCCAAGTAAAAACTTAGATAATTCGCGGATCTGTAGTTTTATCCATCTGCTTTGACAAAAATGTGTTTTGTATAGTCTTGCAGGAAGCAAGTCTAGCCAGCTGGCAAAGCCAACGCAATGGCAACGCTACCGACCCATGCCCTTGTGCTGTGCAGCCCTGCTCCCACCTCCTCATGCTTTGGTAAGATCTATTATGATTTTAATTGAAAGATGTTTGCAATGCATGAGCCATATCTATTACCTGCCCCTTCTGTTCGTGATTACCTGTAACTGCCATGATGATGAGCATTGACTTTAGAATTGTCCATGCTGTAATGGCACAGTGTTGATGTTACATGGTGAAATGTTATCAATATCTATACTTCTACATGTTTTGATCAAAGAAATGCCGTCATTTGCTTTCTGAATCATATGTTTGGATCCTCTGGATACGGTGCAGTCTTTGCGCATTATACTGCAGCAAGGAGTGCAACCTTCCTGGCTTGCAATAGAGACAACTTCCACAGGTGAAGCAAGTATTCAAAGAACTCCAAGTCAGGCTTTGGGAAGTCGTGGAGGGGATTTGCGACACTACCTCATACCTCATAACCCTGTTCTGGGAGAGACCGTTTTTGCTGAAGTTCTGTTGAAAGCTTTGGAACCTTATCGAAGAGCAGGTGAGGCAACTGAAGTTCATTACACACCTGAACCCAGCATTGAATCCTTGAACTAGGACATCAGGAACGTGATATTTGTCATTTGTGCAGAACCTACTTCTGACTTTGCTTGCCATTGCTAGGTCGTTTGTTGGACGAGGAAAGGGTAGAGCAGTATGCAGCTGTATTCAAGCAAGGCGTAGCAACAAGATGTGCTTTTGCAGCAGCACAGTTTGGAGAAAATTCGGAGGCTGTATTCTGGCTTCAACTTCCTCGTGCGCTTGCACTTCTTAGTTATGGTTCTGCCGGGCCAACTGCGTTCTGGAGACCTATGAGGCAAAGCAATTCCTCCGCAACAGGAGAAAACTCTCAAGAATCAGAAGTTAAGGAATCGTACGACTCCGAAGTTCCAGTCAACGAGTCATTGGATAGTGGAATGACATTCATAAATCCTAAGGTTGCTATACCATTTACTCCGGTGGGTGTACTGCCAGCTGCCCCTTTTAAGCTGGTAAGTCATCATTTAGTCCTCAATAGTGCTGCCTAGTGATATGCCTAGCTAGCTTTTTTGACTTATATTACCTTTTCGTGATGCCTGCATAACGTAATCATAGAATGAGGCCAATTTTCTTCACTCCGCTCGCTGGGATGCAGTCCTCATGGCTTGTGGTGGTCTATCTATTCTTCCTCTTAAAACAATCCACAAGAAGTTGCATTGCTACTTGCTACAAAATTGTAGCCATGTGTTTTATTTGTCTGAACCAGATTCATGTGTGATCAAACGTGGAAGCAGACACACGGATGCACGGATATCTTGCCCTCCGAGCAGTCTGTAGTTCGATTAGTTGCGCGCGAGCGAATCGGCTGGCATGAAAAATGCACTGGAACCGAGGCTACTCAAAGACGAGTACATGAGTAAACCTCATAACCTTTCTCTCTTTGACGGGGAAGTCCATGATAGAAAGCACAAAATAAAACTTTGGGTTATATTGCGATGATTCAGGAAAATTGAGTTGCTTACTTGAGGTTACGTTTTTTTAAGCAACTTACTTCACTAGAATTATTGCAACATAACCCCAGGTTTTGTTTTGGATTTTCCATTATGCACTTCTCTGTGTGTCTTGGATTCTCTTTTTAGTATTGTCTTGCAGAGGCTTGGCTTTCTTGAATTGAAATCATTGAGAACAGTCTTACGTACAAAGACGGCTTAGGAAAATTTATGAAGAGTTTCCCAAGAACACAATCGATGACCATCAGAGTTGCGTTTAGCTCATACCAGAAGTTGGTATACAAGAACATAATGTCGGGTTTTGAGGTAATTGACAGTCATTAGAATGGTTTGGCGTAGTACGATGTCTTCTCAACCGGTATGGTCCATCATCAGTTCCTACACAACTACACATCCTACTTACAGAAGTGTTTTTCAAAGTTCTGGACTGCATGGTGGGTAACATATGTTTGTCTGAATGCTTGCACTTGTTGACGTGTGCTGTAATATTTGGTATAGGTTGATCGCCATAGGTGATTTTGAGTCTGCCGTAACATTGCTGTTAGCAACGCCTCCAAATAATCCTCTGTTCTACATGGATGCGTTAAGAGCTGTGTCTCTAGCCTCTGCTGTATCTACAGGACTACATGAATTAGCTGTTAAGGTGAGATAGTGAAGGCCCTCTCTGTTGTCGCAATGTAGGAAGAGACATTTTTTTTTTTTGGTCATTTCAATTGAACTGCGTATAGATGCAAGCATTGAACCTTTCCGTAAGTGCAAAGGTGGAACTTGTTTTCTTGCAGGTGGTTGCGGCAAACATGGTCGGAACGGATGATTCGTTATCAGGAACGCATCTTCTTTGCGCGGTTGGTCGGTATCAGGAAGCTTGCTCGCAGGTGTGTATCATTCTTACGTGAGCTTATGGTTGGAATTAAATAATACGAGTATGTTTCTGGCATTCTTGAAATTTCAGGGATTGGCATGTATGAGAGGAACACGTCAGCGGAAGATAAATGTAACTAGAACATGAAAATTAGGTTGTGGGCCTCTCCAAACACAGTCAACACATTCTCTTTTACACCTTAGGTGCTGCCAGTGCCGTGTTATGTAACTTATTTGAGGAGCCAATTGGCCTTTCCAGTTGCAAGATGCAGGGCGCTGGGTAGACGCTGCAACATTGGCTGCAACTCATCTGCAAGGTTCAGATCACGCAAGGTCTGTTAATCCTTGTATCGTGGATTTTGCTTCAGTTTTAACTTGATACCAATAGCAAATATATTTGACATTTCTATTCTAACCACCTGTCGATTGTTTCAGGGTCTTGGAGAGATGGGCTCATTATGTACTGAATACCGAACACAACTTGTGGAGGTAAATGGATTTACTCTGCGGCATGTCTTGCGTTTCAAGAGCTGACGGCTCAAGGTCCTACATAAAGGCCCTTAATAATAAAGGATTTCTGTTCAACTGACATTCAAAATGCATAGTCGCAGATATGTAACCATTACAATAGTCCCTCAACAAGCTTTGCGGTTTAGGTACTGAAAAGGAATGTGACAGTACTGCGTCGTGATCGTTTATGGTCACGTCAATCTCAATAACATAATTGGATTTGCCTTCTTCTCCAGAAACGTCAAAGTAGTTTGCATGAACTCTTGATGAACCAACTCATTCAGACTATCATGGCAATTCGTGCAGGGCCATGATACTTTTTGTAGCAGCTGGAGAGCTAGTTGAAGCGCTAGCCACGCTGCGGAACACCAAACAACCCGACACAGCAGCCATGTTCCTGCTAGCTTGTCACGAGGCAAAAGTAAGTGCGAAAGCATCTTTACAGGATCTGAAGGAACCAGAAGTTTTAATTGGTGATGACTCGTTCGATCTACCAGGAGATCTAGCTCTCCATCACGATGATGTGCAAGCAGTGTGCGAGTACTTTGGGGAGTATCAAAGGCACCTGGCACATGCTTGCACAGGCATTGGAGCTGTCATGGATTAAAGCTCGAAACGGCCTTCATTATTCAGCATTCCTCCACTTACGGTTGGAAAGAATTTTATTTTTGATACAAGTGCATGGTATAGTTGAGTCAAAGCATATGCAATGCGGTAGTTCTCATAGCAGGAGCAGATCAGCTGGAGTTTTTCTTGGTAGACATCCCAGAGCTGAGATCGATCTTTGGCTTTGTACGACGAGGGTTGTAGTGGGGTAATCTTCTGTGAGCACATTGCTCAACCTGGCAGCAAATCCAGTTGTCACTACGAATCGTTGAAGGTTGTAGATATCATTACATTAGTCGTACCTTAAAATTCAGGTAATGAAGAATTTCTTCCCTTCCAAATGATACATTGCATTATGAATTGAGACCGGAGCCTGTTCCTGTCACTGGGAATGGATTTACTTCAATTTGTGGTTTAGAATATGCTAGGCGCTGTTCTGAAACCGATATTTTGTGAAGCTTTTATTGCTTAAGTCCACCATCCAAGCTTCTTACACCATCTCATTCGCAGGCAATCTCATGAAAGCTCATGATGCATAATCCTTCCACTGCAGTTCAGCTGGTTTTGCTTTTTGGGTTGTTCTACTAGACAAGCCCAGAAACTTCTCCGTTGCACCTTATCGATGCAGTCAATTGTTCCTGTGCCCTACACATGGAGCGCAGATACTGCTGATGCTCATTCATCCATAAGAAAAGTGTGTCTTGAGTACCTGCATCATTGATGACGCATAGCTTACTACCAAAAGCTGGTCGAAAGGTTGGATTTCAAGGGGCCAAGACATCCATTTTTCACATTAACTGCAACTGATGGACCACATCAGTACCAGTCTCACTTATGATCACTTAGATCAACTAGAAGCTATGGTGACAATTTGATCTTTCTGTGCAGATCATACAAGGTCATGTCAAAAGCCTGCCTGCTGTTTCACCACCATCAATTATTGCTTGCAGTGAGCACTTGCTGGAACATCTCATGAATTCTGCATCCTTGGCTGCATTCTGGGTTCATTGATTCTCCTGGTTGCTATCATTGTTGCATGATGAATTTGTGGGAATTGATTACCACCATGCCAAGGAACCTGGAAGCAAGACTACAAGCATGTTGAGAATTTGGAATGGATGACAGAGCAGATGAACTGCACTTTGAGCAAGGCTGTGCACTTGATATAAGCTTAATCATACTTTTCAGCACAATCATGAGTGTGAAACAGGCATGAAAAAGGAATGGAGCAATTCTTGTCATCAAAATAAGATTACTTCTGTTACCATGCTTGCTGTGATTCCAAGCTCTGACCAACATTTCAGTCAAAATCTTCTTTCTATTCAGTGGTTCCAACATCAGCATCACAAAGTTGCCATGGGAAAGTAATCTGCAGAAATTGAGTTATAATGGAAGTATAGAAAATATCACAGTTATAACAAAATACACATACATACAGCTTTTGTTGCTGATGAGCTATTTACATTTGTGTGGTTGATCTCCCAAAGTCTTTCCATTGGGCACTCATATTTGCTTTGTTTTCTAAGGGAGTGAAAGCATTTGAAAGCAACAGATATTGAACTTGATGGAGCCCAGTTGAAATGCATGCCAAATGCCTTTCGGACCCACCCTTATTCTTTGAAGGCAATGTTTCACTCAAAAAAAAACTTTCTCCATAATGCAGACAGTACCATCGAAAAAGCAGTCTACTACTCACTTTTTTTCTCTCGTTTTCTTGTTTTCTTCTTTGTTTCACTCAATTCGTTCCTGTCATCTCCTTTTCGGTTTCAATGGACGCCGTCTAATTCCTTGCTCTGCAAATAATTGCAAAGAATTGCAAAGAAATGCAAAGAAACCTGTGTCTCCGCTTTTTGAATATATTCTCAGATGCATTGTGCACTCAGGCTCTTTCAAAATGCCGAAGCCTAGTGCACTAAATTTCTCCAACTTCATTAACTGTACCAATATTCCAAGTGTTGACCCATCATTGAAACCCAAAAAGCTTGTAACGAACATTGACTGTTGGTTGACACAGTCTACAGTATTTCTACGTCTTCACATCTAGATACAAATTTAGACAAGGGTTTGATAAAATACAAAAGAAATGCAATTAATTAGAGTATACACTCTAATTAGGACCCTTAAGTGCAGTTGACATCCTTACACGGAATTTTAACAGTTTTCTGTGTTTAAGATTAAGGGTTCAGTTCAATTGGAGCTGAATTTGTAAAGGTATGCAATTAATATCTGTTACATACTTAGTGCCACCAAAAAGTTGCCAGGTGATGGAATATGTTATCATAGAATACTTCACCAAAGATGAAAAAAATTCACACCATGACAAACATCATCTAGAAAAGAACTGATTAGCATGCTTAAATCCTTGAGATGCGATCATTAACTTAATGATCCTCTGGTTTCAAATTAGTTGATTTAATATAAGTCTCAATATCCATATTCTCCTTCCCTGTTGCATAGATCTTCCAAAGGTATAACGTCTATTTACAATCCGATCCAATATCTCAAATGCTGTAACTAATTCAACAGTGCAACAAGAAAGTGGCCTCCAACAGTGAAGATTCAAAGAGTTCATGGAGATTATTTCCTAGTGAAGACTTCTCACAGCTCAGGATGTGTAGATATAAAGACATACAAGGAAAAACTAATCAGGGAACTATGAAGACCATGGCCTGATAATTTGATCGTGACAATGACAGGAAGAAGCTTAATAGCCACCGTCTAATGTTTTGCAAGCAAATCAGAAGATTTTGTTACGAGGTTCATGTAGTGTTAGTCAGGAGAGGTATTAACAGCATTGGCCGTTTAATTCATGGCACAATTTTAAATAGAATTTATAGCAATGAATATCCATAATTTTAAATAAGTCTAAATAGAAGTTATAGCAATAATTCATTACCAGGGTCAAACCTCGGAGGAAACCTCCGAAACCCCACATGCCGAAGCGTTTAGAAGTGTCAAAAGAACAGTGATAATCTCCACAACGGAACTTAAACATGAAAATGATCAGATTGGGGCATCCTGGTTGTGTTGAGAAGTGTTAGATTTTTGTGTTCTAGGTACGAACTTGTAGGTCCCAGTTCCTGAGGATCGCAAATCCGAGAGTCACGAGATCATCTTCGATCCACAGAAGCAGGCGTGACGCCGAAGATGACGGATAAAGAGTAGTTTCCCACTCAAAACTGTGTGCAGCTTCAGTGAGAGAACGAGTTGATGAATATCAAATTATCTGCGTGAGCAGCACCTTCAACAACCTATTTGGCAACTGATGATCAGCATAAATAGATCTTGGAGTCCCTCATGGGCACTCCAAAGCAACTTTCCGGTTCATTACTCATTTGGAGATGCCGTGGTGACCCGCATCATGCTCACAAAATTGTGTCTTTCGGGATCGGTTGCGGAGTCGCCACACTAGGCAATCATGTCGACTTGATGCTCGTCGATTGAGGGAGTGGACGAAGGCAAGGTTTGAACTAATCTAGAATTTCTTGACAAAAATTTGCAACTGCGAAATTACTAAAATTATGGGTCACTCGCAGGCGGCGGATGTCGTCGTTTACCAACACACGGCGAGGTAAGCTAACGCGTTTGCAAGGTTGTGATGCAAGAACTACAGCTTTCCATTGAGCATACTGAAGCTTTCCTCTTCATGGGTCACTGAACTGCACGCTTCAATGTATAACACTCAGCGGCGATCACTTGGCACGATGCAGTGCTCCTGGAACACCGACTCTCGATGAAGACCGCGGGACTTGTAAGATACCCGAACCAATCAGCGCCATCTCGGCGTCGAAATTCAGCAGCGAAGTACTTCACAGGGCCGTTCTTCGAGACCTTCAGAACCCGGAGGTATGGAGGGCAGGGGTGTTCGAGTGCGTAGCCAGCTTCGCAGCGACGTTTGTCGGAATCTTGTGCACAATTTCCACTCTTGAAGCGGAGTTCTCCCACCCCGTTGCCGTCATCGCCTGCCTCCAGGGGTTGGTTCTGTCACTATGCATCTTTGCTGCGGCGCCCGCGACAGGCGGCCACGTAAATCCATGCATCACATGGACTGAGATGCTCACAGGCCACATCTCCCCTGTGCGCGGGGTGCTCTACATTATAGGCCAGATTCTGGGTTCCATCGTTGGCAGCTTCATGGCCAAGATAGTCGTCGGCAATGCTCTCGCGACGCAGTACAACCTCGGAGGATGCTACCTGCAGTCGCGAGTGTCGGCCACGTCGGGAATGATGGGGCTCGGAACCGGACGTGCATTAGTCCTCGAGATCGTTCTCGCCTTCTTCGTCCTCTTCATCTCGTACTCCGTCGCGCTAGATCCCCCACGGTTGCCGAGAACTGGCTACACTTTGGCGCCGTTCATGATTGGAGGAATTGTGGGCTTGTGCATCTTTGCTGGAGCAGGCTTGTTTTCAGGCTACGGGGGGGCGGGGATCAATCCGGGAAGATGCATCGGCCCGGCGGTGGTGCTTGGGGGATCTATGTGGACAGGTCACTGGGTGTTTTGGGTCGGTCCCGGTTTGTCGGGGGCACTCATGGCGGCCCTATATCGCAACATCCCACCCACCCATATCCAAGTCTACAAGCTCCGGAAGGAGGCACGGAAAGGTCTGGTTGGTGGCAGGAAAAACAAGCCATTCTTCGCCAAGGTGAATAATTTAAGACTTGCCTGCGGTAATGAAAAGGACGGAGAGCGCATTAGATCCGATTCCAGCGAGGACCAAAGCTCATCTCACCACCGCGGCAAGCCATTGACCTACGGAAGAGATCATGCAGTCTGAGTGATCCAAGGCGTCGAAGGATAAAACTATCTTCACTCAACGTCCTCGACCTCTTGTTCCTGAACAAGAACCTTGTGAAGAGTAGGTAACACGTAGAGTATTCGCAAGGGCTAAACTCTAACTGCAAGTTCAGTCTTTCTGTCGGTGGATTTGTGTCAATTGCCACAATAGTGAATTTAACCATTCCTTGAAGCTGTAATGTTCTTTCATTCAATTTCGACCAAAGAGTATATTAAAAGAAGTCACACAATTTCTTCGGCGGGGACATTGCGCAATCTCAAGCAGCCGGGTTTTTCATTTTGTATTTTACTTTTGATCTTCACATGGTGATAATCGTGATTTATCTAGAAGTAAAATATTTTTGAGATTTAATTTGCTATGATGATTCAGTCCGCAACTCGGAATCTGGGTGACATTGAAGAGCAGATTGAAAGTTGAGAGGCATATTGGTAGAACTGAGGCATCAATCGACGCAAGCAACTACAAAATTGTCAATAGACAGTCAAGGGACTTCGTCATTTTCTTCATTTAGTATCTAACGAATAGCGTGGGGCATCCGAACTCTGCGGTCTGCAGTTTCAGGCTAGAATGTGCGCGACGTAGCCCTTGATATAGAGATGAATTTTCGTGTTGATCTTTGAGAATTCTCCGATAAAGAAACGAGTGAATTTCCAATTCGAATAGGGCGAAACTTAATCTGGAAAATTGTGTGGCATGGTTTACATTTCTGGGTGAATTGAAGGATGTTGGAGTTTTTCGATAAATGGACTTCTACAATTCGAAGTGCAATGAAGCGGAGAGCATCGTGAAGTTGGTCATTGTGGTCTATCCACAATCAGCTCTTCCGTCTGCGGCTTGCACTTTGCAAGTCTTCTTCCAAGATTGCTGTGTCTATGAAGTAACCAATCGACACCGGATCCGACTCTGGACACAAGACAATATTTCGATGCTAGAACTCGGTACTGATAAGTTTAGACGACGTGAGTGTGGCAAGGTTGCAAACAATTGGTGCTCCTGACGACTACACAGATATCAACATCCCACTTCTGCGACACGACTTCGACGCCAAGGTCAATGCCGAAGAAGTTTTCGAGGAAGCAGATCCCAGAGTTGTCTTGTGCGCACACCTTGTCATTGCCAGCTTGGATTTCACAAGCCTAGTATATCGCATAATCCGTTGCTGCATCCAACCTCGTGTTCCAGATCTTGGGAAATGTACAGCTCGACAGTTGACAATGTACGATAATGGGAATCACTTGAGCCCCCCTTATCAGCTTGGAGGTCCGTTCCACCAAATGCAATGTGGGCGACAAAACAATCGACTAGGAATAATTGTCAAGGGCGTAGGACGAACCTTGACGTTGAGATGCTCCAATCATTCGACAACGTTTAGTTCAAGAATTAGTTGCTGACAGAGGCGTGATCAGCTCCAACTGTTCATGCTATCTTACACAAGCCCCGTAGTCACGAACTATGCTCAACCGAATTCGAAGCTCATCCAAAGCTTCGTCGCTCCGATGCGGAACCACGGCAGATATAGTGGGTTGATAGGTGAGGACGACGGAATCCCCAAGGACTTTTCACTTGTGAGCTGAGACTGGGCAGCATCAAAAACTGACCAACTAGGGACATAGAAACTTATACAACGATGCTTCAATGAATGTTTGGAGATTGTATCCGTTGCGTGATCTACATAGAGTTGCTGAACGTTCCACCAGCCTTGTTGCAATTTTTGTGTATGTTTGAATAACTGTCGTTCCATGCGACCTGTGTTCACTAAAAGCATCTGTCGAAGATTGTTGGAAATGAATATTCACGCGAGAAAAGGAAAGAAGAAACCACCTGATGCCCATACCCGGGACCACAAACCCGGTAAACAGTGGTTTTTATTTTTTACGACGTCAGCAATTTGAAGCTCTACGGCGTTTTGCAGCAAACTAGTATACTCTAGAGCTCATCAGATTGAGCACCATTTGTGACTGCATTTACATTTGTGAAAGGTTTGGAAATGGGGTCAATGAACTTTTAGGTTTCTGTGCGGTAGAGTTGGAATGATTGACCGAGGATGTGAAGACGATGCAATTGCAGACTTTGCGCAATCTTTTGGACGGAGGACTATATTTCTTGTGCTGTGAGATGAGCTGTATTTGAATTATGGAGGATGAGCAGGAAAATATAGAGTCCATGGAGACGATCGTGCCGCGGCCGCCTGTGTTGCTGGCAGAACGTGTGCGAGCCCGGCCTCGCCACTCCCTCCCCCGTCGGCTTGCGCGAGCCGCGCGAGCGGCGTTACAGTCACATTTCCCATCCCTTCCCCCACTGAAAACATCCGCCTCTTCGCGCATACCCCTGGCGCCTGAACGCGCGACGGGGCTCTTTCGTTCGGGTGCGTTAGAGACGCACATTGCACGCGCGTTGGGGAACACCGTAGGATTGGACGAAATCTTAACTGTGAACAAGGAACCTCTGAAACTCTTCTCTTCTGTGAAGAACCTCCCTGGCGCTGTCACTTATGCCGCTGTCTCCAGGAATGAAGTATCACAGTCCTTACAACTATCTGGAAAGCATCCGGTAAGTATCTTAGCAACATCCACTCCCTTCAAATCTCTGCGCGTGTTTAGTTTCTTGAAGAATTACGTCTCTTCACTCAAGGAATTCCAGCGTCTATTCCATACGACATATTCATAATCCTCGAAACTGCTGAGATTACATGCTCCTTCTGCGATTTGAAGTCCACCATTGGATTCTTTATCAGGGATGAACATTCTTTTAAAATCCGGATTTTACTGTTCAGCAATCTGTTGTTATTTTAGAGCGATTTTGAATTAAATAGTTCGAGGCTTTATTTCCCAATTGTATTCTGGGGGCAAATATGTCAAAGGAGATGTACCTTGGGTTTAGGGTTTGAATAGCTGCTTAGCACGTAAACCACAAATGCTGCAATGGGCACTCGAGCTCCGGAGCTGCACTCTGTGTCCTACTAGTTACCAAGATTATCAGACTCATCATTACATACGTCTGTGACTGATGGTGATGGTGATGACCTGTAGTTGGGGCCTACGACAGTGTGTGAGACTATAGTACAAGGCACAAAAGTCTCGTTACTCGAGCTTCAGCTGAGGATAAATCATACCCTAACCAGCCCTCTGCAATCTGACCCAGTGCTGTCCGAGGCACCAGGCCGCATTGCCCTGATCACCGCAACTGATTTTCAATCTCGTCATCGAGTGACAATGGAGAGCACCTTAGGGTACGTGATTAAACTCCTTACTTTTGCCTCTAGACTATGTCTTCGTTACATGATTCTCTTTGTGTAAGCTTCAGGTTTTTTCTGGCATTCCTCAAGCTTCTAATTGTATCAACAGGCAGCGCCAATATCAAATACAGTATCGTTTGGGTCGGTGATTCCTGTTACCTACTCATGGTTGAAGTTCATCTCTCATGCTTCTCTTCCTACTTCAATCTTAGTTGGCCTGTGGCTAATGTCTCTTAAGTCTGATTCATTTGCTTTTCAGGAGCGAGAAACACAAGCATTCTCTGTCAACCGTTGTATCTTCTGATTTGCGCGCCAAGTTATCATGGGGCCTATCTACCTGTCACAAGTAAGCTCTTCATGAAAGATTGGTTCCACTTGCTATCTCAGAGTTTAAGTCTGACTTGTCTCTGGCCCCTCAAGTGTTTTCCATTACGCAGCATTACTCTTGTTAAATGGACTTTTATATCACTTTATTTTGCATAACTCAAGCTTCGACATAGTCCACTGGCACATGAAAACAATTTCTTTTACAGACCTGCTCAACCAAGTCTGAAAGTAAAGAAATTCCTGTATATACTTACCTGTGAGCTTATAAATAGAACACCAAATCTCTGAGTCTCTTGTTGGTGACAGTGTAAACGAGAAAGTGGTGTTATTCTCGCGATATAACAACGATGCTTATGCTGGTCAACGAATCATTTTGCAGGTTTGTTTAGCACTTTATACTCGCGTCATTCTCATCAAGTTTCTGTTTGTCCAAACTGACCTTCATACTGCAGTTCCTTTCTGCCATCAATATGAAACGTTTCTTATTTATCTTCAATACGCGGCCGTTATTTAAAGCTTTTGTGCTTATTCAGGCAGTGAACAAAGTGGATAAGAGAAATACAATTTCCCCTATTTGTGCAATAACACTGGGTAGTATTACCCAAGGTGGCCTAAGCTGGACTCGATCATTCTCCCAGCATGGTAAGTCTAGCTCCTTACTAATCCTTAGATGTTAATGACTCCAACTTTGTTTTACAAACTTTCATTTTTTCGAGTGTCTTTCAATTCATGTTTTCATAAAGAATCCTCGAATTTGGTCTTATCTAAACTAGGAAAGGGGTATTCTTCAATAGGAGGATAACTGCAGAAAAGGTGCTCGACTTTGTGGATATCTTTTGAAACGATATTGGCTTCCCTGGCCTTAGTGTATATCTCTGGCATAGTGTATACTATCCATTTTTTAGTTGATCCTGTTAACAAAACTTTGACCTTTTCTATGTGAGAACCGAAAAAGTAGTTCTTCTTTTATGTCTTGAGTTTGTAATTTGATTTTGTGTCATGTGATTTTCATTCCCAACCGTCGTTTATAACGACGCTTTGTACATTACCAGGTGAGGGCGAGGAGTCTCTTCAACTGAAAGCACTCTGCAGCAGTAATGGATCCTACGTGGTCAGTGTTAAAGCGCAACTGGGAGAAATAGAATCTTAGCAGAGTGGGTTATCTACGGAGTTTGCCTGTCACAAATTTTAGGCATATGATTTTCATATTTTGAAATGAAAAAGAGAAAAGGGACTAGTGATTGTACCGTAAATTTAGCTTTTCCTCCAACTTTTCATTTAGAGGCTTAGTCTTAGTCTCATGAAGAATTGAGATTCAGAAGCTGTACCTTATCTAATTGGATTGGCAGTGACCGCTGATTTTTTGAAACATTTTGTTTGATTCTGCATTTTTTGTTTTTTATTCTTTTTATCCCTACTGATGTATCAATATATCACATAATCTGATGCAGCCTTAGAGTTCATTTATATACGCCTCCGTTCTGCTCCATAAAAAGGCGGGGATTTTGATCCACTGATAAGTGCCCCTTTTGGGTGCCGAGTTGGGTAGCACGTAAACAGCCTGCATTTCACTTCTATGTCTTGATCCGTGCCAAGTTAGAAAGAACAGCAACCAAGCTCATCCTTGCGAATGTTTGGGGTAAAGCAGGAGTTTAAAAGGTCATGTGAGAAATCGAAAATTCAGTAGCTAACCATCAACGGTTTCATTCGTGTTAAGTGACACATCAACAATTCTCTGAAAGAAAAAAAACAAAAACAAAAACAAAAACAAAAAAAGAAAGAAAGAAAGAAAGAAATAGAGACGTTCAACTTTTTACTGTGAACATACAAATTCAGGATCAATACCTCCTACACGACATGCCCTGATGCTACAACTTGTTCAGGAGATATCCAACGAAATGAAAATTAAATTAGAAGATTTATTGAAATTTTTTGAAATTCACTGACAATGTTTAATTGAGGGTGGCACGGTGACCAATGTGCCTTCCTTTGACAAGAGTTTTTGTGATGGGCCTTGCCTGGCAGTCAGCAAGAAAGCGAGCAATCCTAAAGTTAATGCCATGTGCACACACAAAACAAAATCCATGACCACCACTCCACATGGCAACCATTGCTAGTGAAACTCCATAATAGCCATCCAAACGTCAGAAAAAAAACACGGCTACCCAACCTTTACACCTCTGGTAAGTAGCTTTGTGAGTTATGAGGACTCACAAATTAGCAGGCAACCACTTAGCTTTAAGTTTTCCTGAATTTCCAGGAGGTCAGCATGAAAGGCAGTGAGATGTGAAGATAAGAACTAGCAAACAAAGACAACCTTGTCTATTCACTCCACAAAGTTAGATGACACCAAATACCTCTACTCTGTGTGGAGGCAAACTATGGTCACATGAAATAGTCAGTAGATTAGCACATGTGATGTGCAGGCGATAAATAATGTAGATGTTCAGGCATTGGATGTAGAGTTAGAGTTCCCTGCCATCATCCAAGTACAAACTAGGTCGTTCCGTCATAAATCCAGGCTATTAATATTGATGATGCAAAATTAGTGTATGAAAAATGAAAACACCGCAAGGCACTGTTCCAATTCGCAAACATCGCATTAAAATAAATAAATGTCCTTGAAAAAAAACTCTGGCTCTCTTTTATTGCACTTTTCAGGAACGAAATACACTACTCAGGATCATAGGATGTCCAAACAGGAGCTGTTGTGATAAAGACGGAAATCTGCTCAGTAAAATTGTCAGGGTTCGTGGAAGCCGTCAACTTTCCTCGACCCTAGAACCCAACTTAGGAATGTCTTGGAACCGCTTCTACAAAACCAAGAATCTACATCAGCAGAGATCTCTTCCAATCATAAAACCTGACAAAATATATACATAAATCATCCAAGTCCATGTATTTTTCAACTACAGAAAAACACAAATAGAACATTGGAAGCACAAAAGGCCAGCTATTCTCCGCTAAATTAGCAGAGAAAGCCAAATGTGACCCGGGTAATCATGGAACAAGACCGGCCAAGAAACAGACAGCAATGCAGCAACTTCGAACTGTAACAACTATCATCGGATCCTACACCTGGTAAATCAACAAAAATAACGAATACCAACCGAAATAAAATAAACCCTACATTGCATCACGGTAGCAGTGAGGAAAGGAAATAGTAATCTCGTTAAACCAACTAGGTGAAAATCAAGATCCTATTCGGATACTAATCGAGGTGTTTCCAATCTTCAGTTTCATATACAAACGTCCTGAGCTTACAAGACAATATAAGCTACTAAAGGTGGCAGACACGGTTCCATTACACTATTAACGAAAGGTAACGAAGTGTAATGGTAAGGACTAGGGTAAAAGTTACGCCACACAAGAGAATAACCTACCTCGATCAGAAGGCAAAAACCAAGAATTGAAGCCTAAAAAACAGGGTATCAGAATAGAACGACTCAAGGTAGAGACCTACCCCAGTATTGTTCCTCTCCCACACTTTGTTGATGCCATAGTCGACAACCTGCAACCATCGATTCGTCAGAATTGTGTTCTTCTCCAGCAGAACAACCCAACCTCCCCCTCTCTCTCCCTCCCCCCTTCCCAATTCCTTCACCTTAACATCCTAATCAACCGTTAACGCGTGCCACTAATACAATAAGCCCAACTTCTTGGCACTGTTTGGAAATTAGGGCTTAAAGCAGAAAGAAAACGAAAAAATTAAAAATTATAAATTAAAAAAATCTGTGTTGTCATGATAGGAGAGCGTCTCGCTAGAGGGACTAACATTCACATACAAACCGTCCCCCCCCCCCCCGATCAAAGAAAACACGACAGTGCAACAAATCCATAGCGAGTCAGCTCAAAGGAAGTAGAAAATTCAGATCAGTAAATGCACATCTACTAAGCCGCCTCCCCAACGTGAACATCATCAACCAAGATCCGACCCGGACAAGGGCAGCCGTGACCTACCCGCTCGCCGATGATCGCCCCCGTGAAGATGAATGCGATGTAGACGGAATTCTTGCGCATGAGCAAGCGCATTGTCGTGTCCAACATACTCCCAGGAGCTCGCTCCATGATGCTTGCTTGATTGCTTGCAACGCTCCGCTCGTAAATCAACACTGCGGCCTACGGTAAAACAAACAATGCAAACCCTGGAAGTCAGTCACAGCGGAGACGGTCTCGACGAGCTCGCGGACCCCTTCACCGGAATACTTCGGTAGCTGCTCGCTTCGAGGAGAGAGACGACTTTACCTTTTCGTTCGTGTACCTACTTTTCCTTTTCTCGTATTCTTACTTTTCTTTTAGTCGATGTCACAAAGTCATGACGGCTCTCTTTTTCTTTCGGTAGCTTTTACTTTAACATCAACCATCACTGTTCCTGTTTTAGGCTTTCTCATCTTTCCCAGCAAGGAGACCTTTATCTCATTTTTTTCTTTTACTTGCTGCGCCTCTTTTGACCCCCCTGGTTATCTTTCCAATTGTTTGAAATTTTCTCTCCGTTCGAGGCATTGTTGCTGTTCCGCACCATAATTGATTCCATTTATTCGAGTATTGCGAACGTAATGTTGTGCTTTTTTGTACTTGGTGGTTAGGACTTTTATAAGTTTGTCTTGTCTTGTGATTCTCTTGAGCATGATCACAACCTCTTCATGTTCAAAAAAAATTCAAGTCTAGAAGAATTTGACTAACGTAGAAATATCCAAGTCAAACTATTTCTGTTGACAACTTGAAAGTGCTATCATTTTAAAAGAAAGAAAGAAAGAAATTAGGTGTGATTATGTCCTCCCTTTCAATTGTTAAGAAGACAGTACACTTACACAAGATCCATCTAAATTTGAAGATCTTACAATCCTTCCAATGAAATGGACATTAATTCTACAGCAACAATGAAAATAATACTAATTAATAATTGATGACAAATAAGTGTACAAACATTCTGAATTTTTAAATCTGTCAATCTCCAAAGAGTTTAATCTTGGCATGATCTCCCAGCTCTTATATGATTAACAACAAACCAATTGATATAATATTATATATATATATATATATATATATATCAAATGTCTAGTTTCCATGAAATTAGATGAAAAAGTAAATGAAACACCAAGCCTGTATAATTCATTATGACATTGCTTTCCAATCTTAGTAGAAAATTCAAATTCATAGTGTGACTGAGTCAATCAAAGATGTATATATATATATTTTGTGTGTGCTTTAAATTGACGTAGACATTTGCACACTTCATTGTGTGATGTTGTGATGATCAGCAAGTGTGTGCTGTGTGAGTAACAATTTGTTGGGTTTTTGCAAAGGATTTATTCCTTCATCAAAGACTCATTCATCCAACTTGGGCACTTGCCATTTTACTATTGAAAGCAATTCTCAATCTTGTCCAGAAGTCACGCTAATTTATAGGAAATAGCATTTTGATTTGTTGCAATTGGGTGATTTTTTTTTGGTTCTTGCAACACTCCCAGAATTTCCTTCCACTGCAGAGTATGATTACAGTTGTTCCTTCAGTATAATGCCATATTTAATGCCATTCTCTTAAGTTTTGGTTACTTTATATAAATAGTAGTTGAAGATTGTTAATCGTAATTAAATGTTGTGTTCATAAGAATCTGCTTCCAAACGTCACTTTTTGAGGTTTGACATTTGTTTACTATATTTGTTACTTTGAATGAAGAAGTGGATAATTCTTATATCTAATATGTAAAAGATCAAAACAAAAGAAAGTATATATATATATATATATATATATATGTACATACTGAATGACGTAGATGGGCAGTTATACACTTGAATAAGAAGGCGTATTTTACAATAAAGTACACTAGTCATTTCATTCTTCTACTCATCTCAAAACAATACAATATTAATGACTATTTGGACAACTGCATTTGAATTTATGGGGTATAATCCCCTTTGTATTTTGTCTGTGAGTGATATATATATATATATATATATATATATAGATATACATGTGTTTGTGTGTGTGGGTGTGATCAATACATCTCGTTTACCCATAAAAATCTCTTACAATATTATCCTTTTCTGCACATCAATATCAACTTGATGCTCATAATGAACTAAACATCAAACAATCCAGTTATGAAAACAAACACCATATTCAATGTTGAAGTAAAAAGAACAATGTAGAAAATAAGAAGGTTCTTGAAATATTCTCTAGGTATGTGTGTCCAGCAAATGGGTATACAAATACATATATTCTTTGCACTAAAGAGCAGCAGATGCACGAAGAAGTGTTTTTATTTTCCAGTGGAACCATGGTTTGTGGCAGTTGAGAGAACTGTTCTATTTGGTAGTTTGGAACTGGCCAAACATAGAATAGACTAACTCTGGCACCAATTGTATCAGCAAAGATCCCATCTCTTCCTTTCATTGGCATGAGAAACTAAATTTTGCCTTGAATGGAATTTTGTCTCGTAATCTGCAGCATCCAAACCTAAACAAAAGCTCTCAAATATTTGGATAAAAACCCATGTTCATGCACATATATATATGTATGTACACATACTTTTATATATGTTCATGAACTTGGTCTTCAGGTTTGTGTATCCATCTTGGGAACTGAGTGGGACTGGCTAAAATTGATTCCTCTCTTTGTTTTTACATTTTAATAACTCTTGCAACCAAACCATTCAACAATACACAACTGAAAATATGGTTGGAATACTGTTGTTTATTTTATTCAAAATAATATTTGCCAATATTTTTGTAAAGCACATAAATTGTCAATCATGTATTAAACTAACAAAAGTAAGAATAATGATGATGTTTTTGTTTATAAATCATGCTATGATTTACAAAACTGTAATTCCAATATTCTTATTGACAATCATCATCAAGGTGATACTGTATCTGGCAGTCCAAAACTACTTTCCAGATATCTTGTTAGGATATTATAAAGATTGAGGGTTTTTTGTATGTTGAGATCAATTGGTTGAAGAAGCTTTGGGCAAGTTTCTTTAGTAATCTCAATTCAGGTAATGTTCGGCAAACAAGTACTATAGTTGACATGCTTGTAAGGCATGTGTCTGTATTACACATATATGTATATAATGTAAAACATACAATTTTTGTCCATTTTATATTTTTAACCATTCAAAATGTGACAAAAATCTGTTTTTAACATTGTTTTGTCAATTGCACAGTCTTTCTCTTTAGATTTGGGTCTATTTACTCAGATAACCCATTGAATGGGGTGAAGTATCGGCATAAAAAATAAGAAATAAAAATAAAAATAAAATAAAAAAATACTTCAATTAGAAAGGAAGGAAAAATAACAACAAGAATAAAAAACATCCAACATGTTATACATGTTCTGAATTGGGCCGCATAATGCAACAAACCCACATTTAATTGTGGTTACTTTTACCTTAGGTTAAGTTTGAAATAAACTCGATTCGGACTCTAACTACAAAGGAACATAGCACAGTTCCACTACCAAATTAAACAGAGAGATTCCCCATTGAACTGCGAGAATCAATCTCATCCATTTATCACACACCGCTAATTTCATGTTCCAGACTAATGTTTGTATTAATCCAGGCATTAAACCTAAACCTGAAACATCCATATACAAGGATAATATGGACGAAACATCCAAATAATGCCGGTAAAATCATCCACAGAGAAGTGTAGATTTGAGTTAAGTTGGAAGTGGCGCCAAAAGCTAATAAGCCGGACTCGAAGGGCGGATGTGCCAAGTTTGAACGCCACCCGCGGCTCAGGACCCGCGCTGGAACATGACAAGGACGGGTCTGGGCCATGGAGCGCGATCTTGGGCTGGATCGAGTTCAGGTAGCCTGGAATCCCGAAGAGAGCCGAATGGGGTTGAGGAAACCCGGGCCAGCCCAGCCCGGGAAAGGTGACCGCTACCCTTGCCGGCTTGCACACGCTCACCTGACATGCTCTGCTCACTCAGACAGACAGACTCACAACAGCTCTCGTCTTCTTCCTCCGCTCGCTCGCCCTCGCGTCATTTGCTGTAGATCGTGTTGTGCGCTTCTACGCCGTGGCATTTTGCAGGCGTTGGTGTGTGTGTTGAAGTCTGCTTCTGGGAGTGATTTTTGAGGGAATTCCATAGGCTTTCAGTGGAGTTTTGCCGTTTTGCCGTTTCACGGAGTCTTAAAGGGGATGGTGGAAAAGGAAGGAGGTCGAGAGGATGGAGAGGGATGAAGGCATGCGATTGCGGTTGTTGTTGACGTTGGCGATGACGTTGCAAGCGCAACCTTGTCCACCGGGGGTAGGGGCAATTGTGGAGAGGGTGGAGGTGCAAGCGGGGTAGCGTTGTGGTGAAGGGATGCAATTTGGTAAGAGCTGCGGCTCTAGCATCGATGAACAGTGCGGCGTGACTGAGCAGTGAAGGGATAGTTGGGAGGTGGAGGAGGAGTGAGCGGAGAGGTGTTAGTTCATGTGGGAGGCAATGGCGGATTCTTTGAACAGCAGCGTTTCGGAGGATAACGACTCCTTGGATGGGTATTATGGGAATGGCAGACAGGGACTGGAGTATGGCAACGTTCCTCAATTTGCTGGTCTGACAAGGTCGGACTCCAAGCCTCGCCGCAGGGGTTTAGTGCGTGCTTGTCCAGATACTGAGGATCTTTTGAACCTTTTGCACGGCTCCGATCCAGTGAAGGTGGAGCTGAACCGCCTTGAAAACGAAGCTAGGGGTAAGAAGAGCTAATGTTTTGTCATTGGCTTCTGGTTCTCTTCCATGCATGGGCTCGCCCCGTGGAAGGGAGATTTGCGGTTGGTCCAAGATTCATGCGAGTAATCCGAATTCTTGATAGTCAAGATCTTGGAGTAGGAAGGAATGTGGGTCGCTAAGGAATGATCCGAGGCTGGAAATCGAGTGTAGTTAACTTGGTCCGAGCCGTTTTGAGCAGTCTATCGGATGACTGCGGGTTCCTTTCCTGTGGCATCGAATATAGATAGTTGTTTCTATTAACTGAGCGAGTATCGTTAATTCTTGTGGCATCCTTCTTGATGGGGGTCGTAGTCTATCAAGACTTGATCTGCGTCGGAGAGATAGTTAAGCTATGCACGGAAGTAGCTAGTTATACATCGAACAGCCTTTGGGATGCCTCCCCTATCCTCTCGGCACTCGATCTACTTTAGCAGAGTTGGTTAGTGGGAAAGCCAAGTTGTCAATCAACCCCATGTTTGCGCCTTGATTATGTAGAGTAGGTCATCGTACTTACAAACTGCCCCGGATAGTCTTTACCGTAGGGACTTGATTTAGTGATTCTTAACGTGGAAAGTTGTGTGTTTTCGAGTCTTCATGGTCACTTTATCAATTATCTTACATGTTTTTTTTATCAATTATCTTACACTTTTTTTTTTTGGCTTAGACAAGGATCGGAAACTAGCTGAAGTTACAGCAGAATGCAAAGCACTTAAACTTGCTGAGCGATTACGGGAGAAAGCTGTCGAGGAGGTAAGTAGTGTATGTGTTTTGCTTTATAGACGTCATTTCGGTCATACACAGAGGCTTGTATTGTTAAGGTTTTTGTGCGCTACCTTTACTAGTAAGAGCGACGAAGTAATACGGAACTTTGCAAAGAAACTCGTAATCGTTGCGGCGGACTCGACCGCAGGGTGCATACTGCCCAGAGCCGTTTAAATATGTCAGTTGTGGGACAAAATGCCTTCACGTGTCAATGCCAATATTCTCGAAGTCTTCTTGAATCTTGCAGTTGGCGGAGGAACTCGACAAAGTTGACGAAAAGCTCAAGGCCGCTGAGGACCTTTTGGAGAGTAAGGTCGGTACCATTTATTTGTCCGTTGTGTTTTTACTCTGATCTGTTGCCGTGTCGTTTCAGGACGGTGTTACCAATATTTTGGTTCTTGCTTATCCTGAGCGTGATGGTGAATGGCTAATATTGACCATATGATTGTGACAAGATGGATGTGCCATTTTGATCATTTCATTAACGTCATATGTGCATTTGGAAAGCTTTTCATTGTTGCTATCCTCTCGAAGTTACTCCTTAGCAATAGAACCGCCTCTCACGCAATTGTGTTCCCGATCGCCATCACGTGTAATTTTTCTCTTTTCGCAGAATCTTGAATTGAAGAAGCTTAACGATGAAAAGAAAGCAGCTCTGGCTGCTCAGTCCGCAGCAGAGTTAACTCTGCGGCGTGTGCAAGCAGCTCAGAAAGATGAGAAACTACCGTCCATTGAAGAAATTCTAGCTCCTCTTGAGGCTGAATTGAAAATAGCACGACAAGAAGTAAGTCACAGTTCCCGCAGCCTGCGAAAATGACGCTATCGATTGGTTATGTTGATAGCAGTGCTGGAGGTCACGCTCTGTAGTATGCATTCAACTATTTCCTGTTTATATACTTTGGCAAGCTCTTTAAGGTTCCTCACTCTGTTATGCCAGATCGCTAAGCTTCAAGACACGAACAGAGCTCTTGACCGTTTGACGAAGTCCAAAGAGGCTGCGCTTCTTGAGGCAGAGAGGAGTATAGACGCTGCTGAAGCCAAGGCGTCACAAGTGGATGACCTTCTCAATCGGAATCAGGAGCTGATGAAACAGATTGAAATTTGTCAGGTTTACATTTATTAACCTCCTCATATCGCAGTTTTCGTACTTGAGTAGCATATATTTTATGTTTTTCTCTGGACAAGTGGTGTGTTGTCACAACCCAAGTGCAAGTAGCTGAGATTTACCTTTCCATACTCGATGCATTCAGAGAGCAAGCTTACTATTACCTGTTGAAAATATTATCTCACTTGTACGCTATTCGCTCTTGTTTATCTTTATTTATGATGATAGGAAGAGAATAAAATAATGGACAAGATGCATCGTCAGAAAATTGCTGAAATTGAGAAGCTGAGTGCCACCGTCGCTGAGTTGGAAGAAGCAGTGCTTGCCGGCGGAGCTGCTGTAAATGCAGCCCGAGACTACCAACGACAGGCACAAGAGTTATTGGTAAAATTTATGGTTTTCGGGGTTGAAAATATTCTCCTTGTGAATGCCGCGAGAAGTTATTACGTTGCGTTGAATGATTTCTTGAAGATTCTTTGCTATGGTTATTGCTTATATTAAGTCTTATCTGGATGACGCACATTTGAAACAGGAAGGGAAGAAGACATTGGAGAGGGAATTGGCGCGGGCGAAAATTACAGCTAACAGAGTTGCAGTTGTTGTTGCAAATGAGTGGAAGGATGCAAATGACAAGGTTATGCCTGTCAAGCAGTGGCTCGATGAGAGGAGGTTTATGCAGGTTCGTTTGATTTTGCAGTCTGTACCTCCTGAATGTTATCGATTATGAGGTAAGCAGTAAAATACAACTTTTTTTCTTTTTTCTTTTCTGATTGTGAGTTTTCTGATCATTGTCGTTACGATTACAGGGGGAGATGCAGCAGCTACGAGACAAACTAGTGTCAGCCGAGAGGACTGCAAAGAATGAGTCACAGTTAAAGGTGTGTTCATCTATGAGTTTTCATATATTGCGATATTTTTCACTTGTATGGACTTCAGCTAAATGTCTTCTCTGGCTCTATGCAGGAAAAATTTCAAATGCGTTTGAAGGTGCTTGAAGAGAGTTTGAAGCCAGCCGTAAATGGAACTCCACGTCGGACAGAGGAAGTGAGAAGTTCTAGTACCACCAGACGTTCGACTTCTGGATCAGAGGAGGCATCAAAGCTTCTCGCGAATGGTTCCAGACGCCAACGCTCTGCAGTGACTCAACTGCGGTCTTCTATGGCGAGTCAAACACTTCTCAGAGCGACGAATGGCAGGTTGACATCTAAGTCATTTGATGGGGGAAGATCACTTGATGCGGGTACTACCAGGCTGAAGGCGTTTTCGAATGGGTTTGAGGAGCTTCGCACAGGTAGGAGAATACCTGTAGCTGCGGAACCCGAGCAGGTTTCAACTGCGCAGGAGAAGTCCGAGATAAAACAAGCAAAACCCGAATCAGAAGCTACAACTGAGGCTTTGGCAGCCAAGTCTCAGGTAGGAGCGGTCAAGCCTGAGAATGGTGCAACGGCCCCCGAGTCAGGTTCAGCGACCTCAGTTGAAGATCCAGTATCAGGTGTGTTGTACGACCTTCTCCAGAAAGAGGTTGTCAACCTGAGGAAGGCGAGCCTTGAAAAAGATCAAAGTCTGAAGGACAAGGATGATGCTATTGAGGTTCGTATGGGCCAAACTATATCTCATTAGCATATCAACATAACTCAAAGGAAGGAAGTGGATCTGAAGGTTTGAACACCTTGATGGTGACCACTTGCTGAGAAAAAAATGTGCTTGCTTCGTGTCTTCCGGGCTTGCTGTTCTAACATACATGTGCTTTGTCTTCTCGGTTGCATCTCATGTTCAAATGTGTCTCTGTTCAGATGCTCTCAAAGAAAGTTGATACTTTATCAAAAGCTTTGGAAGCTGAAGGAAGGAAGTTGCGAAGAGAAGTCCAAGCAATGGAGAAGGAAGTTGCCACCCTGCGGGCTGAAAAGGATCAAGTACGGAATCCAAGGAGGCTTAGCGCAGGGACGGGAACTGTAAATAGTTCCTCCAAGTTGCTGTCGGGGAGGTGAGTTCAAATATTTGCAGACCTGTTGAACTTCTCTCTCCCCAAGGAAATCTTTTCTGCTGGCTGTTACATTCTGGAGTTCTCTTTCCAAGCTTCCAAACACGTTATCTAGCGAGCTTATCCTGTTAGTCACAGAAGTTTTCTTATCTTAGGTCAGTCGCTGAAAACAATAGAATTTATTACTCTGAGTATGGTACCCCGAGCGAGGAAAGTGTGTCAGTGTTGTAAGCTCATTCTTGGTCATGTGTAAGAGTATTTATCTGGGATGTCTTTCTTTAACGTAGCTTTGCCCTTCTTCGCCTAGAAGATGTGTAGCCATAGAATCTTGATTACTGTCTTAGTTACTGTTTTTCCCAACTTAAGGTGTGAGTAACAACATTGGTGCTCTTGTCTTTTCAGAAATGGGGAGAGGCCCATGGTCAGGAGCTGATGCCTGCAATTTGTGACCTTGTAACTCTGAAAGGAACGTCGTTCGCTGAAAAACATCTCTGCACTCGGCATGGATAGTGGGATGGGGTCTCTTGCATGTGTAGCATTAATATATCCTGATTTTACGAGATTGAATCTCTGTGCTGTGAAGAAATTAGAGTGTGCCGTGCGTCATAGGAGATGATATTCTTGAGCAAGATACCCCAGATTATGTTTCAACATAAATTAGGCATTTTAGTAATCTTTCATGGATCGTCTTCGCTTTTGTCATTTCATCTTAAGGTCATTGTATGTTTATGGTTCGTTCTTATGGATGACATGTTGACTTCACTTGAGAATGTGATGTGGCCTTGGTAATCAAAGATTTGTTTGACAATGATGTGTTCAAGATATTGTCGAGGTAACATCTGATAGGATCCAGATACCAGGGAAAAATATCCAGGAGAAAGTGATTGCATATACGTCGTCGTCTCCTCATTGAATACTCTTTATTCAGTTCTTTGGGTACAGAATACTGTGGATGGACATGAGGATGGAAGTCGGATTATTTGTGAACTCGCAATAATACTCAGGGTATATTGAGCTGCGGAATGCGTTGTTGTTCATAAACTTTGCTGTAGAGCTTCTGTCTATTCAATAGACCACTCATCATGAAGGCGAGCACGTGCTGTGTAATTAACGCGGAGTTGCTGGAGTCCTTGCAACATGCCCAAGTAGCCTCTCTGGACTTAGTGACTGATTGTAGTGCACAGATGAGCCCAGCTATGGGAGGCCATTGCAACGATCCGTTCAGTTATTCGCTAGGACGGTTACCAGTGAAAAGTCCCATCACATTCAGAATTGTTCGTCTAATCCTTTATTGTAAGTGCACTGTGCTTGATGTGCGGATTCATGGTTACTATCGCACTACAGTGCTGAATTGTAACTGTCATCTTCGGTGGCTATGATATCGGAGAGCATCAGACGAGAAAAATCAACTTCAACCTAGTACATTATTTTACCTTTCTCTTCTGTTAGTGACTTGGCTACTGGCCGCTCATGATGGAGAAGGGAGACGATGATTGTGAAAAACATGCTTTCTGGACGGAGATTAGAGTCGATAAAGAAGTGCTCCATCAATACGTAACATTATTCACCCCTGATCCGAACGCGAAGCTTTTGCAGACCAAAAGTCATTCATAGTAAACGAACACGCTGTGGTAAAAATAGTGCAGTATTCAAGACGACAATGATCTGCCTGCGGGAATCCATCCATAAGTACTAGTAGGATCAAGTATTTGTCAAGTATCGCTGTAGCTGCATACCAGAAACTAAAGTTGTTGGAATTGGAAAACGGACCTGGATGCCAAATCATTTCAAGCTAAGAAGAAGGATAATGAAACACAGGAGACTCAAAAAAAAAAGGTCACACTTTTTCCGGAGTAAGTGTACTGTTAACCTTGAGATTCTCAATTTATTTAACACTTTTGAAAGTGAAAGTTACTGAGTTGAAATTCTTCACTGGGAGGCCCATCTCTTGTACGAAATCCTAACTATTTATCACAAAAAGTACGGCCATATTAGGCTAAGTTGATGCGATAAGTATTGCTGTGGAGTTATTGGCCGACCAGGTTCGTACAATGTGTGAGAACTTGAACCATAGCATGAGACGGGCCTTGTACCATTTGACAAGCCATTTCTTCGTCGCAGAAGATCTACAGCAGTCCACTATGACGACGTTGTGGATTATGTGGGTACGCTCTGTAACGACTGCAGGGTCGATGCCGCTTTTACTTTTTCCATACATCACTGTCTTTCCGAGATTCTCAAGCTGTTCCCAGTTGGATACTTTGAGCAATTAGTGTTCATTCAGCACGAGTGACTGGTACATGAGCTGGAATGTGCCAAACAGGCATCTCCTTGTTTAACAAACTCTAAACAGATGTCAGCAGCAACTTCGCCGCACAATGCTGTGGACGAACTAAACCAGTAAAGAACCCGAAGTCGTTTACTTACGAAGAATCTGAGCTGATGTTGTTTAGACATGGGTATGAGGTCCTTCATTAGAATTGTTTAGTCTGAGATTATGAGTATAGATGGTAGCTACAGAGTTTGCTGTAACAGAGGATCGACTGTATATGCGTTTTACGATTGTAACCAAGCTGCAACACCGAGGTATTCCCCTTGAATGAGATCGCTGTTGGGCTACCGCGACTGCCGGTGAAATATCTAACACACCACGATTGTTGTTCGAATTGATAATCCTGCGGGTTTGGGCTGAGCTTCTCTGCACTCAATATGTTCGTGCTGCTGTCTGCCGATACAGACGTCTATTCCGTCTCTAGTTACGCACTTGACGTTGTCATTAGGTTTGCTTATTCGTGCGTTAGCAACGCGCATCTGCTGTGTGAGATGTTGGAGATGGGGACAGGACACGCGAGTGGCGTCATGGTATTCTCGTGTGTCGGTGCTTTCTGGCAAGTTTTCCCGTGATCCGAATCCTCGGCTTCGAAGTGAAAGACATATACGTCTGTCTACTAGAGCTGGTTACATTGTACGTTCATCATCCGCAGTCGTAGATTCAGTTCAAATCGGCATTGTTTTATTCCAAGGACCTTGGATTGCAACGTAACAGTATATATTACGTGGAATTCATGTTGACCATGTACCCAGTAGCCTTAGCTCAATCACGGTTTGAACGTGCTGAATTCGATTAAATCCGTCCGTTGGAAATGTTATCTCGGCTCTCAGTGCAGTCTACAGGCCTTCATGTCAGGAAATTGTTGGTTCTATAGGATGATTTTAGCTGTCTAATATTGCTTTTGACGGAGAATTACAAGATTTGGTTTAGATGTTACCAGCTAAATACGTATGAACATGAAGAAGAGGAAAATTCAGTGGTATAGAACCTCATTTCTCTTGGTCTTGCCGTCGGTTTTTTTTGCTTGAATCCATTCTTTCCCTCACTGGGACTACAACTTCGGACTCTTGAGGTAAACCAAAGCTTTGTTGTGCTCTACATGAGAGAAGTAAACATCCATGCACTGGGTATTTCGAGGTGGAGTAGGATTGCGCGAAAACTGGTTACAGTCAGGGGCACATCATAGAAGGGACATAGACCTGTAGTCTGTTCACAAGGAATTATGTTACACGGACTCACTCGGTTCTAAAAACTCTTTCAAAACAATGAATGAGAGGTGAAGCTAGTTTCCTGAAATGCCTACACCATTGTAGCGGGCATTTTCAAATTTCAGAGTAATGACAACCCCATTTGTGACGAGCCATTTTTGTCTTAGCCCATTTCTTCTCTGCTTTTACTACATAGCGGATCTCAATACGAGATGTGCTATGGCTGAACGCTGAAGCACTGTAATCCCGGGGTTGTCTAAAATGTGATTTCAAATGAATTTGTTGCGCTTTTCTCAGTCCATATATATATGTATATATATATAGTGCAACCACACACACACGCACAAGGCTCTGTTACGAGGGGCATGTGCCAGGCAATAATCCTCTAAGGAAGCCGTGAATAAAAGATAACCCTGGTGATCTGTTTACTGTTGAGGCAGAAGTCCCCAGCCAGGAGTACAACTTCGTTCTCCAATCATGCGTGCCTGATCCCAACAAAGCCAACAAGGAGTTGACCCACAAAGTCCCTAGCCATATCATGACTGAAGCTGAAGATAATCCACGCAAGAGGTTGGAGACGGCATCGAGAACATCCGTCTCGTGACTGTCCACGCAGGTCGGATGTAGCTGGTTCATGTTCTTTCATATCTGTCAGTGTATGGAGTCCGAGCACCTCATTGAGAAGGGCTCATACCGTGTAATCTACGACGTCGCTACTGTTTGGTTCTCCGAATGGGTTTTACCTCTGCATCATTTACGCTCCTCACGTATATCTTGATGGGACTATTCCTGGATAAAGATGATCGAAGCATATTTTCACGTTAGATTAGAGCCTGTCTTCAGGCACATGAGCAAATAATTACCCACATACCATCAGTTGAAACATTATGAAAAAAACTAAGGGGCTTAAGGGTAATGTAAAGAGCTAGAGAACAATTGAGAAATGCTTACGACTCTTCGCCCTCCTCGAAGGTGCAACTGGATGCCACAGCCAGAAGATGACCATCACTGTTAAAAGCCAGAGAAGTAATGGAACTTGGGCACTTGGAATACTGTACTCAAAAAGCACGAAAAAAAGAATCCCCCGTGTCAGAGTTGAACGTATCATAGAAAAAAGGACACTCCCGGACGCCTTCATTTCAACAAATGGAAGAAGACCAATATATGTGTGCCCCTAACAGAACGGATGCACAACTGAAAAAATTCACACACTGATATACCTTACCAATAGACTAAAAGAATGTCCACTTACCTGAAACAAACGTTTCCTGATATGAACGTCCCAGACGTTGACATGACGATCGCCGCTACCAGTAGCAAGTGATCCATACCTGGAAAAAAGAACTTCAGTTCACAATTGATAATAAATTAGGCAAACGCCCAAGAAGCAACGGCTGGGATGCCTAGTGTGATGAATGCCAGTCCATTAAAAGGGAATACTCACAGCGGATGGAATGCCAGAGCATTAACAGGATGAAATATTTTTGGCCCAGCTGCGGGTTTAGGATGGCACTTGAAAAGGTACCTGCATCGTGAAAATAAGATTTCCATGAAAGTTGCTCGAGTGTCATAAACTGTACGCTTAAACATGATGCACTGCACAGTTCTAATAATGTAAAATTTCAAACAGTAGCAAAGTATATTAGATGACTAGGATCGCATAGGAATAAATCGCGTGTTAATTCCTGTTTAATGCATCCAAGCCTTACTTTTTGGCTTGAGCGTGAGAAGGATCGAACCAATCAATAATGACGCGGCCATCTATAGATCCAATTGCAAAACCTGAAACATCCACTCCACCGTTTCGAAAATAAGCTTAACATAAATGCGGCTTCTGTGGATAAGAATTTCAACTATTCGAAAATCTTAGACAAGAAATATAACTCGCGTTACGTCTTCAATAGCAGGCACGCACTGCTTGTGAAGAGCTTACCTGTGCCATCAGAATTGCAACAGACAGAACGCGCCTGAAATCTGAGAGGAGTTTCACTTGATTGCTCAGCCTCTGACATTTTTCGAATATCGTATACCAAAATATGGCGGCCTATGGTGGAAACCACCAAGTTGTTTCCAAGAAGAGACATGCTCGTCACTCGAGCAGGCTGTACGTGTGTTCCAACAAGAGTACGACTCCTTGCATCCCAACACCGTAACGTTTTGTCCCAGCTCCCACTTATGACCTGGCCTGTAACATATGTACATGGGAGCTGCTTATCAGACATCCATTATTAATCAAAAACGACAACCAGAATACTTGAATGAACTTCTAAATGGTTCAACTGAAGGGAAATGAAAGACAATGCAATATGCTCGCACCTCACTTAAATTCAAGAAGAGGTATGCAATTCCAATTTTTAGTATTCTTATTTCCATTCAGAAGTTTCCGGCTGAATGAGTAAAGTGGACCTCAAGCTTGGTAAACACGCTAGGAGTTCCACAAGCAATAAAACATAGAACACTAATCATTAAGGGTCACCACACAAGACATGTACTAGACTAGGCGAAATAGGCGTTGCTCACCAGAAACATTGGAGTAGTCCAGGCAGGTAATAGCAGAGTCATGCGAACCCAGGGAAGTCTCTGCACCAGTGTTGAAATCATACCTACTCATTCATTCAGCATTCATAATCAAGCAATTAGAGTTGGTATGTATCCAGAACGGAGAGGCCCGAGCAGGACGATACTACATATTTAGAAAGCAGAACTTCCATAACACCTATCCAACATTACCATTAACTGAAATATATCTACTACCAGAGTATCAATTACATAAAATCCTATGAGAATATTGAAGGGGAGAAGAGAAAAGAACAGCCTAAAATGCTACAAATTTTCCAACAGATCGCCCCCAGTTGAGAGTTGAGATAATAATGTGTCTACAAACAATTTGATAAGTTCTGATTATTCTCTGAGAATTACTGGGAAATCGAAATAGTTTAGTCATAAATACCTGCAAAGAATGTGGTCAGCACCTGCACTGTAACCAGAAGAGTCATTGTGGAAGCAACAGTCGAGGACAGGTCCTTTGCTACTGAATTCTGCCCTAACCACACAGGCAGAGACATCATACAACCTCAACTTCTGCATTCAAACAATACCAATGTCGAGTCATCTTTCCTGTTTGTTGCATGTCTTCAACAAAGGTATTGAATAACTCGAAAATACGCGGCCAACATCGAGTTGAGCCACTGCGGCAACATACAGAATGGCCAAGTCAAACAACCGTATAGCATCGTAAGGACCGCTGAACCTAGGTTGCACTCACATAGTGCATCCACAATTGTTCCTTCACAATTTACATTCGACAAAACAGGTCAAACAACAGTAAGAACACTGCTGCACGATGGAAATCCATGGGAGCGAGAAGATGCACTCACAGAATCCCAAGAAGAAACAAGGAGACGGTCGCTAAAGCTAGAGAATCGAAGCTTGGTTATCGCATCAGATGGGGGAGGCCATAGCTCCCGCCCCAGAAGGCTGCCGTCCCCCCTCGACCCCATTAGTTAAGATTGCAATCTACAAAACTGCTACTAGAGAAGGGAAAAGAAATATTCTCTTTGTGAAACTTTTTTAATTGCTAAACTAGATGGATTCCTTCAAGAGAGTTTGTCTCTTCTTTCATGCCAGGATCTAAGAATTGAATTCTGCGATTCTCATGAGATTTCGCACATCCTCGTCCGACAGGTGTAACGTCTGTTACGAAGTGCTACAACATCCCTCGGTCTTTCTAATCTTCACTCAGATTATGTTGAAGGCGACTCGGTCGACGCATTACACTGCTAAACACAAGCGAGCACGTTCAAGTTCCGAAAATGGGATGTCGACCTTCCTCTCAAGGCAGTTCGTCTACAACGGTCACGGTGGGAATGCTTCGACAAGGTCGCTATCACTGAGCGGTTTGAGAATTTGAAATGCGCAGCATCCGGCAGCTAGCGACTCCATCGGAGAGGTGAGGCTCGGAGAGTTGAGGGTCGGAAAATTGAGGTTCGGAGAAAGAAGGGTTGGAGAGACGAGGTTCGTGGAGTGGAGGGTCGGAGATTTGAACAAGGCCAAGTCGTAAAAGTAAAAGAAGAAAAGGATAAAAAGGATCTCTGCTATGGAATAATGGAATAACCGTAGCATGGCTAATTTCCAACACAGTAAAACGAATGAAAACATTTATAACGAATGAAACGAGTTACAGCGTGCTTCATTCGTTGCGGTATCCCCTTCCTTATCAATCTCATCAAACAGGGTTTGGTCTATCGAGCTTCAATAGTGAGAATGCCTGGTTTAATATGAGACCGCCCGTTTGATGGTTGTGGAGTGGCTCGGTTCTGACGACAATGGCTGCAATGTTGGGGCGCGCTGCTTATCTCCAGGTAAACTCGCTTGTTAATGTCCTTACATACTTGAAATGATGATTTTGCAAGAATTTTATAGAGATTCGAGGGTTTTGGGTTTTGTAGCGTGCCATGGGATTATCGCGGGGGATAATGGTCTTGACGGAAGACTTGAATTGCAGGGTGTGAATTTTCAGGGTGAGTCTCCTGCCTAGACTTTGGTTGTGGTTGAATTTCTCAGCTCAAGTGTCAAGGGCTTTAGTTTATTTGGTGTTTTGTTGTTATGCAGCTTGGAATCAAATTTGAGAACGTGTCTCCGCCGTTTACAAAATGGAGGGCTGTGCACACGAGTTGTCCGCATGCGGCAAATGTAGCGGCTGCACCGTTTTTTGACGACGTATCGGTGCCGGGTGATACTGACTGTGAACAAATTTGGGTACCACCGACTATTGAGCGGCTTTACGAAGATCAGTATATCATCGGTGTCTCGAAACCCGGCACTCTACTTGTAAGGAGGCACCCTGGCTTTTGATTTAAATATCCTGCACGTGAACTGGATACTATCTAAAGAGATATGGTTTAGTGGAAACTCCTCTGAGTTTTAGAGGATGTTACAATTATCGTTCGAAAGAAAATTATGTATGCGGCAAAGTTTTCGAAGGTGAAGAGTTTGGAATCATCCGAGAAGCTTCTTTCTACTACTGTAGTGTATGATTGGATCTGATCCAGGACTCAGGGAGGATGGTTACATCGATGATGTTAACAGCCAGTTTGACAACTATCCTCTGTTCCAAATAAAACGACAACCTGTTTAGAGACAAAGGCATTAGAGATCCTATCATACTCAGGTGGCTGCATGAATGCAGTTTGACAGCATTACTGTTTGCATCTGATACCTCATCGTTGCGCTTGCTTTGCTGCTTCAGTTCACAGGTCTGACTTCAAAGTTTTCCAATTTCTGAAATTTAATGAAGTTTGATGTGTTGCGACTTGAAGGTACACAACAATAAGGCTTCTTCTCCTTTGGAGAAGCAGCGAAATGCTTTCTTGAAGAACATGGTGGAAGCTCAACTTACTGCTGGTACTTTAAAAACTAGAGATTATTCCCAATGCTTTGCATTCATCATCTCTTACATGACCCATGTCCTACACATCAGGAACTGGTGGCCATGGTGCGATTTTTGCAACCCTAGTGCATCACAAAGCCTTCTGACCGTCAAATTTTGCTAGTTGAGTTGCTAGTATCTTGCCTGGACAATGGCATTAGGGAGTTTCATATATCTTGGATGTTTGTCGGGTGTGCAGGCCAGAAAGTCAGTCCTGTTCATCGGCTGGACCGACCAGCAAGTGGTGCCATAATATTTTCTAAGTCTGCCGTTGCGACTCGTGCTGCCCAGGCTTCTTTGTCTCATCCCGCTTGCATCAAAGAGTGAGCATCTTGTATGTTCCAGTACCAAAGATTTATCAAATCAATGTTCGCCTGGTTGCAAAAGAGTTTTTAAATTTACAGTTAGTGAAAAACCTGTTAGACGGAAGCCGCTCAAAGCTCATGTTTGCCGTGAATCCTCTAGCTTGCGACTGAAAATCTCGGAATGCTCCTTTTGAAAGCTGGCCCCAAGTCAGCAGTTGGACATCTGTCTGACAGGGCCAATAACTATTTGCACAAATCGGAATCGGTCGTTTTCAGCTTGCCTGTCAAGTGCTTGCTGACCTTGGGCTTGTGGTTGCAGATATGTTGTGCTAGCAAGAGGAACTACACCGGACTTCTTTATTTGTGATGAACCAGTGAATGATGAGAAGGTAGAGAAGCCCCTCGGAAGACTTAAAATGTTTTCCAAGAAGTACCCGCAATGCACGCAGTGGTTCGAGCACATTTACATCAGCTGTACTGAAGCCCAGTTTGTACAGAACTCATAGCTATACTGGACTACACGCTTTTCTTGAGATCTTAAATGATTGTAATTGTCTTTGAACAGGGCGCCCCCAAGTCAGCAGTTTCACAGTGCGAAAAAATTCTTGATCTTCCCGAGTCACGCTGTTCTCTATTAAAGGTAGTTATCTTTTATCATTTATGCACTTCTTCGATTTTATGTGAAAAGAAGTCTGATTATGAGGTCGCTGGCCATGTATTGGGTTGACATGTGGCGTGGTTGGCGTTTAGTCTGCTTGGGCATGGCTTTAATTGTTGCTTACCAGGGGATGGTTACGGTGGGATGATCCAGGTCGTGATAAAGACAGGTCGATGGCATCAAATTCGCAAGCATCTCAACCATCGTGCTCATCATGTGCGATTCAAAACCTTATGCCCAATTATTATAAAATTTCAAATGTAATGCAGAGTCACTTTTTAAGAATCATGCTTACACTAGCTTTCTGTAGGTCGTGGGGGATGTGAAGCACGGGAAGGGAAAAACAAATCGATTTTTCCGGGAGAATCACAAGATGCTTTCCGGTCGGATATTTCTTCACGCTGCTCGCCTCACCTTTCCTCACCCGCTTCATCTGTCCCAGGAAAAGTGGACTCCAGCCTCCAAGCACCCTAGCGAAAGTAGTGACGATATAGACCTGTACAGCTCGGCCTCTGATTTGGAGGATTTTGAGTCCACAAGTAGTGTGTCAGCCGATTCCTCAATATGGATGAGCCCTAACACATCTTTTAGTGAAGATCCTAAAACTAGACGACAGTTACTCACAATTAGAGCTGGGCTACCTGAAGATTTGCAGGAAGTTCTGTATTCTTTACCCGAGGGCATTGATCCACAGCAGTTGTTGTCTCTTGGGCTTATATTTTAATAATCACTTCTGTCCAGACAGCATCAGTTCTTATGATCCCATTTGTCGTTGCTCTCAAGTTTGTAAATGAAATGCATACTTCGTAGGAGAGTATCTCTTTTTGGCGCGCTCTGAATCGTTCATACTTCGGTTTATGTTAAGCATGGTCAAGTAGTCGATGTCAATGGCCGGAGATTGCTGAGGCTTTCGTTTCCAAAACTTGAGAGAGTTGAGTATGGATTGGCTGTACTTCTTGGGATGTCTTGAGACAACTAGAGGGAACGGCGAATTATTACCAGGCGCAACATTCTCAGATGTTACTGTAATATCTCGGACTTGGCTCTGGAAAGAAATTGTCTCTGCATTCAATGATGGTGCCGAGCTCTCGAGAGTGCGTGCTGTATCGCTTATAGGTAGCAGCTCCTCAAAAGTATCTTGGTCGCTCATAGAGGCGATGGGTACGGCACCTGGTTCAGGCATTTCGAAAAAATGTTTCATTGACTAAATCTAATCGAAGTCCTCTCGGATTCAATGTGCGAGGAAGCAGGACAGGAGTACTCGCCTTGAGGGGTGAGATGTCTCGTTGCAGGCTCAAGTTTAAAGCATCCTTTCAAGAACGTCTGGAGCTCAAACCGTGCAAGGTGTATGTCTCCGACAATGCTGGTACATCTCATGTCATGTACGAGAACCTCCGCAAACTCTTTGGCACTTTGCTCTGCCGCTGCCATTTTATGGTCTGCCACACTGGAGACGTGATGCACCAAGGCTTGCCAAAACTCTGCCGATTCGGAGTCTTGAGCACTCATCAAGGTGGTATTTCTAGGAGAGCTGTAGCTTTCGTTAAGCACCCCCTGCTGGACGAAATGCTCATTGATGAACGATGTTGGCACCAATCTCTCTGGAGGATAGGCGCGCACAAGTTCTCTAACAGCGCTGCAACAAATGGCACGCCGAGGGATTCCCTGCATTTTATCTAAGTAGTCGAACAGTCTCCTCTGACTCTCCTTGGCGGAATCGAGGCTGCTCAGAATGAGGTCAAGATTTTCTTGGGAGTACGGCGAGGTGTGTCTACACTCTATTGGGTGATCCTCCCACAAAAACATGGTGTTATTCAATGTTTGTAATGTCAATAGTTTGTCTCCTGTTGACCAGAGCAGCAATTGTGTCCTCCTTTCTCCAAGGTTCAAATCAACTGATTTTTCTTGATCGACTTTTTCCTGTTTCTGGTGTTCCAAACGTCAATGTTTACATTTTAGCAAGTTGTCGTAAGCTTCGCAAATTTACGTTGTTTAGTACAGTGATTGCACGCAGGATTAACAATCTTGTACCGTCATGTAAACTTCCGCTGCGCTGACTGGATCGTTAGTACATGGGATGACCATGTCCGGGCCCGGATCGATCTTTGCGATGGGAGAGATCACCGACCTTCGAAGCTCGGGGACTGCTGTCCCACGAGCTCCTGCATTTGTGTACAAGATTCGTGAAATCCAACCTGTTAGTGTTCGCTTAGATGATACGATATTGCGCACAATACTTGCGGTATTAAGATGATGGTTAGCTCAAATGCTTTTGTGATCTCACCATCTTTGCAATTGAATGCTGCGGATATACTTTCACTTCCGTTCTGAATTATTACCGATTCCAACATTTCTTGAATTGGTGGTTGGCGGAGTAGTTCTTCGATCACAGGTGCACCTTCAGCCATTTCCACCTCAGTTGATTCTTTCACGATGTTGGTACCGCTAGTGCCCACTTCGTTAACCAATCCACCGACTTCAGCACTACAGGAGCCCTCTCTCGCCCGTCGTTTGATCCGCAAGAGCAAAGTTCTTGCAGAATCAGCGCTGTTTCCAAGGTGGTCGTCGGCATCCGTCATTGAGATCAATCGCGCACTGTCGGTCCTCCTTGAAGTGCGCCGGCTGGGATTCTCTAAGTCAATGTGGGATTGAGCTGGTTTTTGTTGAAACTCATGGCTCACGTTTGCCAATTTTTTTATTTTAATCCCTGCTCCTGTTTCTGGCTCTGCTCCTGGGTTTGCGATGGTCTGAGACAAGTCAAGTCTCGGCACCAACTGCGGAGATTTCCTCCCGATAGCCTCAGAACTCTTGAGGCCGAAGCGGGGGGTTGCACTTGCCGATCTGGAGGAGCTCGATGAATCAGACGATGAGTCACTCCTAGCAGGCGAGATTTGAAATGGCGTCGAATTCTCAGTACCTGCAATCGAATGTTGTGTTCTCAGATGAGATGTATGCCAAATATGGTCATTTCATTCCATCGAAGTTTGACATATCATCTAAAATTCGCATCATCAATCTTGGCAGTTAACCTGGAAGTTTTTTAGGACGTGCTACGTCACTGTTTTTAGCATTGCAATCGCTCAATCTCTGGGAAGACTTGTCTACCCTGCGCGACTTCTTCGGATTCTTTCGTGGAGCACTGCCCAGCTCCGAGTTTTCTTCTGGCTCTCTGTCCCAACATGCACGTAACTGCATGGTTTGGATTTATGAAAAAGTTTGTCCACGATGGACACTAAGACCTACGCTGGTCCACACAGTGATGGAAAAACATTCGTACAAATGATGATGTTCATGGGTTGAATACAAGGATACGAAAACTTGCACCTGCTTAGGGACAGCTCGACAGCCCGAGGTGATGAAGGTAATGACAAGTCATTGGTCGATGCAGAACTCAAGAATTTGTATAAGTTTTCCTACGTGGATGTAGCAGTTAAGTTTAGCTCCCAGATGCTCAGATGCGGAAATTATACAGCAGTATGTTATTTAGATTCCACAGAGCAGCAGCAAGTCATTCGATATCATGCGGTAGAGTTTCCAATTTTAGATCGTGGGGTGTTTCCAGGAGGAGGATCATAGGGTTGGACCCTGGAATCAACAAACCTGACGATCACTGATATATTCCGTGATGAGCTTCATTAGCCTCTCGTTTTGCTTATTAACGGCAACAGCTTCCTCATGTGCTTGCTGCATCTGGTCCAAAACTTGCTCAAATTCTCTGCTAAGCTGGGCAATTCTTTCCTGTCGGATGTCTCGTTCCTTCTGGATGATAGCACGGGACGTCCGGCTGTCATCACACAAAGCGTGTCGACTGTAGTATAAGCAGTGCAAAATATCAGCGGAATAATTCTTTGTGCTGTGGTCCCCCATCACAACAGTATTCTTGCACAACGAAATCTCTTCTGGTTTGAATTTATTGATGTCTCGTTTTGAATTGAAAATGCTTAGCATTCTCGCTCTGAGAGTTGTAACTAACTGCCGTTTAAATTAATTGCATGTGCGAGCATGATTAGGTCAGGGACAAACACTCACATGTAAGAGAGCTTCATCTGGAATTCGGTGCTGCATGCAACGAAGTCCGACGCATCAGTTAACTTGGAAAAGCCAATTATAAGTTGATTCTCAAAGTCTCTGCTTACAACTTCTGAAGCAGCAAGTGTACTCGCATCTTCGGCCCATTCTTCGCTTCTCACCTCCAAAGCAGGATCTGGCCTCGCAGTTACCATCCCTGCAGTAATTGCAGCCATTGCATTCTACCTGGATTACAGAGGACACGCATCCGCAACTTCAGCGATGATAATTGAAGACTGTAAGAAAAACTGCATTTCGTAACCCCAGAACCAATGGCGCCGCCTTCTTTTTCATTGGATTCAGTCCTTTCAATCAGAATGTGAATACAGTTCGATGTTACGGATCTCAAATTTACTCAAAAATTTCGCAGTCAAAATAATGAATACATTCTTAGCAGAACTCGCTAACAAGAGAATAGAACAGCTAAAGAGTGAGCTCAAAATTTTGGGTCACCACCTACACTGATTTTGGGAAACTCAATATGTTGTAAAACAAATTCCACAAATACAAGTTTTCATAAATACAAATGAACCCTAATCCTGATTGCCATTGTATGAACTGCCAAAGTGGTTCTCACATCCAGTTGGGTTTTCAGACAATTGAAAGGGGCGCTATGATTTCTTCACAGCAGTGCCGCATGAGGACTACACCCTTTAAGGCCCTTTACTGAATGCTGCAATAACTAATAGTTTCTTAGCATTGTACCTAGGCAGTATATGGCTCCTCTATACATAATCAGGTTTTGTGGGGTACTTTGTCTAGTATCTTGTGCAGAAAATAGGGTATTGTCAAGGTGCATTCTTCCAATTCTTTATCAAGAAGTGGTTTATGGTCAAATCCCTAAACTTGATCCCAATGGACTCCACATGGATTTTGAGGGGAGATTGGTATATGTTAGAAACAAATATAGATAAGTCTTCTTCCTATGGTAGAAATTGTGCAACAAAGAAGAGAACTAATGAAATTTATTTAGGACCAAATTTTATGTAAAAAAATATAAATTCTTTACAATAGTCTCCAAAATTCATGGAATAATTATTTAAATAATTATTTTACCAAATTGGATCAATTTTATGTAAATAATCATTTCTTAGAAAACAAAAAGATTAAGGTACATAAGGTTAAAGGTGATTTGACTTTATATAAGCATTCCATATAGTAAAACTAAGTGTTGCCTATCTATGTCATCAAAAAAATAAAAATAAAAATAAAAAATATTTTCTTAAAATAATAAGTGTTACTTCTTTTTAAAATCATATAATATATATAGTTAATGAAATTTAGACAATTTTAGATAGAGGTGGGAATTTCTAGTAATATTGAGAAAATAACTATAAAAATATATTGTTTCAAAAATAACATTAAAAAAGACACCAAGTTATAATTGATATTTTTATTGAAATTTTAAAAATTAATTTGGGATCTTAGAAGATTTGATCACTTGCACATGAATTTTTTAATTATTAAAAATATATGTTTTTTACAAAATCAAATACTATCTACTACACTAAGATAAAAAAAAAAATTAAGAATAAATAATTAGAAGTTTTATTATATTATTAAAGTTTCTTTTGAAATATATGCCAATGCTTTACAAATGTATTTTCATCTAAATCTTATAGAAATAATTTTTTGTCTATATTTTGTGCATTTAGTCTTAAAAAATAAGATCTCTAGGTAATTTAATTGACTTGTGGTTATGTTGGTATATAATATATAGCAATTAATTACTTTTATAATCCTAACAATTGATTTTTGACAATCTTCTTTTACTAGCTTAATAAAAGTCTGATTTTTTTCTATAGATGTACAATTGACCATCTAATTAAACAATAATTTATAAAGATGATGTTGCCGTATTAGAATCTTCTACTACATTTTTAAACAATAAGATAATAAAAAAATTATATTTGGTCTTAATCTTCTTTAAGTGATGTATATGTATGTATATATATATATATATATATATATATAAATAAGCTGTTGCTAATGTGATCACAATTTTTGCTATTGCTATTACAATTTGCCATCTTCTTGATACATTTCTTTAATTTATTATTCTAATATTTTTTCTTATTAATATTTTTAGTATTATTTCTCAATATCAATAAAAAAAGACTTATTCTTATTAATAATATTGAAAAAGGTTATGAGTGGTATGTTGTGGATTATGGTAATAGTAGCAAAAATTGTGGTGGTATTAGCAACATCCTATATATATATATATATATATTTTTTTTTCTTATCTACTTATATCTCTAATTTGTAGCACTATTTTAAATCCTTCTTATATAATTAAATAATTACTTCTTATATTTTCTTATCAATCTTAGTATCTAAAAATTAAATCATATGTTATGAGTGTTTTAGTTAGTTTACATATAGATGATGTGATGGACTAATAGCCATTAATTTTTTAATTGGTTTTTATACAAAACTTGCATCTAACAAGAAAATTTGTTGTTATCAAGTATTTTATTTTTTGGTAAATAATATATATATATATATATATATATAGCAAACAAAGAGAAACATTATTGCCATATGAAACTATAATATACAACCAACCCAACCACAAGTGGCTTGGGCAAAATTGACTCATTCAATTAACACAACTTGAGAGATAATATAGACATTGACCAAACTGACTGAAGGCAATTGGGGGCCATCACCAAATCTCAAGTTCTAGCCAAGAATCATACTTCTTAATTATTAAGCACTTCTATGATGGTTGGAATACAAACCATGCAGTAAGGCCTGAGAGTACCCACTGGGGAGTTCCATCCACCATTGCGGAAAAGAGGCCTTGATATTACCAATGCTTTTTGAAATGTTGCACTAATTTGGCACCACTTGCTGTTGGGGATTTCCTAGTATTGTAGGCCACTCTATCCTATTGTAGTCTAAGTTTTTGAGCTATATACATTGCAAGAGTTTACTTTAGTACCATGTGGTATTATTAAATATATCATCATTATGCTCCATCTACACTGCCCCATAGCACCACTGTTTGGATATGCAACCAAAGTAGGCTAAATTGTTTGAATTTCTATGGCATTCTTATTAAGAAAAACCTTAATGCCATGTAAGCAGTTGACATGGACCTCAAGCACCAGCTATGTGGACTTGTACATGGATTATGCAAATTCCACATTGCCATATGCATTGGGCAAAATTGCACTCCCAAAAGCAATGTAATATAGATTTGTTAGATTGCCTTGGGCAAGTGGGGCAAGTGAAATAGAGTGACTGATTCATCCTCTCCACACATTGACCCTGTTGGTGTAGTGCCATAGTAGCCATAGCAGCCCTTCTTCACTGCTAGCTTGATTCTTCATCCAAATAGTCTTCCATCAAAGCCAAAATTTACTGGGGAGGATGTTATGCCATTTTATCACCACCAGATTGGAGATGATGTGTTTTGCACATAGAAGCTCCTGCCCGAGCTTGGCAGATTATGCCATGTATGGTATTGGTACCTTTGAGATGAGCCAGTGAAGTTTATTTGGATCCCAATCCAGTTTGGTAACTCACCCATAAGAAAACATTGCTATCTTTGATGGTCTCTTTTTTTATTGTTGACTGTAGAATGTTGGGAGCATTGTGTAATATAAAATGGTGGGAAGGAGGTGAATTGCATATGGAGTTGCAACACAAGGATAATGGTAGCCTTCTTGAACTTGCCACACAGCTACTGGTAATGTGGTGCAATCTGACCAAAAGCATCCTATCCACTCCCTTCTATTGGTTGGGAAAAAATAATTTGAGAGCAGGGCACCTCTAATGACTTGTGAGGCCACCAAGGGCAGCATGCCATGTGTTTGTCTCCTCTTGTTTTGATCCAAACTACTTCATGGCTTCCTGGACCAAGGAAAATTAATTGTCTCTTCTGGCATCTCTAATGCACCTTAATCATGCTCTGTGGAGTTGTGACACTTGAAGCTTTGAAAAACTAGCTCCAATAAGAGGGAAGGAAGGAGACTATCAAAGAGATTCATTTGCCACCTCTTCTGCTACATATAGAGTCATAGGTTGCACATCTTTTACTAGGGTTCTCCATGAGGAGCTAGTACATGATCATACCTTGGACCCTTGCTTAGTTTGGAATTGAAAAAGGATGAAATACTTCATACTAAGAGACTGTATGCCTTGAGAATAAGGTTGGAAGTGGTTGAGCCTAAATCATAGTAAAACATGAAGGTTGGAATTCCAGGTTCACATGCTTTAAGGATCCATTTCACCTACATATTCATACTTTAGTCTTCCACTCTTTTTGTACACTTATTCCCAGAGAGGGCTTAGATTTGTTCAAACCCATCTTCTTCCTCTTTCCAATCAGCATACAACTTTCTCTAGTTGCAGTGTACTTTGGAGCTGCAATGCCATATGAATCTCTATACCAGCAATTCTCTTGTACTTTTGAGTAGACTTGAGAACTCTCACTCAAATTAATAGAATTTAGTGCTTTGGTGACCATGGCCAGTACAAAGGACAAAGCCATCTGGATCATTCAGGGCAGAACTAGGGCAGATAGTTCAATTATTGCATCAATGTGGACATTGCCATGCCTGCAACTGGATTTCCACACCAATGTCAAAAGTTAATGCCCAGTGACAAACCTCTCTTGCTCACTGAATACCTGAACTGATACAAAGCCTGAGATGGTTTCAAAAAAAGTGCAAAACTACCAGCACTATGATGATTTCACTTCAGCATGTAAATTTTAAGTTATGATGCAGTAGTGCCACACACAACAAACCATCTGCTCATTCAAAGCCCTGAATCTGGGCACAACATTCAACACTGTTGATCACATTTGTATGGTTTAACCTTCGGTGAGATATGTGTCTAGCATAAGACCTTCACATAGGTACAAAACTTGTCAATTAATTCCAATTCATGTATCTGCATGCTCCATCTTCCAGTTTCTTTTTCTCAAGTCTTTAGATGTCTTCACATTGCAAAATATTGTTACTAATAGTTCTAGTAAATGTGGCATAATAACTGTTGTACCAGTAACATCACCTAGATGAAGTGACTTTGTTCCTGCAGCATGGAAGAACAAGTCTCACAGATTATGGGATGAAAGACCTTAAACCTTTGTTAAACATTGGGGTGATTTAGTAGTTTAAAACTCTTTTGTACATAAAGATTATGTGTGTTCATCAAAAATTGTTAATTCTAAATAACAATTTACATACTCTTTTGAAACATTATGTGATATCTCCAAACTCCTACAGAAGTATAGGTTTGATTGTTAATCTGATGTTGTTGAAAAGATCTCAATTTAAAAATGTGGAGAGTTTGAATGAAATGTGGATATGTCACAAAATTCCAAAATTGGAGTCACATAATTCTCCAATTTAAAAAGATTTATCTATTTCCATTTATATGTACTTCAATTTAAATTTAGAGTAAATTATTCAAGATGCAGAAGAAGTTAAAAAAGAACTCTTAGTTTTTAAGTTATAAAATAAATATTTATCATTACTAAATTTAAAATATATAAAAATTAAGAATTAGAAAATATGAGAAATATTCATTAATTTATATGTTTAAAAAGCTACATTAATAATAATAACTTTAATGTGTTAAATTAATTTTTAAAATTAAAGAAATAATACTTTGAAATTGCTTTTAAAAAACTAGGATTGTGACTAAATCATCAGAATAAAATGATCTAAACTTTTGTGTACTTTTTATATACCAAAAATTAAGAGTCTATTTTTAAATAAATGTTTATATTTAGAAGTATTTTTTGATTAATATATTAAACTATATTAAGAAATATATATTTTTTTAAATTTTAGAAAACTAAAATTCTATCATTATTGTTATTATTATCTGATGCTGGTGGTTTGTGAATACATAATCAATATTTCAATGTACATTCAAACTTACAAGCACTTTATAGTTTTAAAAATCTTGTTATATTTTCAACTTTTACAAACCATATCTATGATAATCAGAATAAAAATTGTAAAATGGGAATAAGAAAGAATTTCATGAATTTTCATTTAGTGGCACCTTGCTCACATGGCGTGGATGCAGGCACCGCACCAAGAATAGCGATGACAGATGAGCCGAGCTCCAGGAATAGGCCACAGGCGACGCAATCCAGCAACTACCCACTGCGATGGAGCAAGCTTTCATTCATCACCCACCCCTTGGTTTGCTTGCTCATGGAGCTGGATGTGAGAGCCATCGCCACGTAGATTTTCCTTTCGCTGCAACGATCTTCATCTCGCAACGTGGTCGCGTACCTGCTGACATGCCCCACTCGGGAATCAGAGCATCCCTGCCCTGTTCGTTTTTTCTGGGCATGTCAGTCGTTCTGGCAGACTTCGAGCAGAGTCCCTGTCCAGGGTCGTTGGACGGTAAGGGAGGACGATATAGGTCGGTGCAATCACTTTCTTCGTCACTTGCTTGGGCCGCTCTGTGCAAGGTTTGTGTCGGCTTTCGGTGTGTTGCAGGGGGTGTTATCGATAGAAGGTGATGCAGATCCACTTGGATGAGGGTTCTCAGGTGCGGAGCCTTGCACGACGCGTGCAGAATGTCTTCGAGTGGAATAGGATGTCGTGTTTATCTCCACAGAGTTCGTGACTTGTAGTTTTCTGTATAGATGTGGGGGTGGTTGGGTGTGTTAGGAGATCTCGCTTGAGCAGTAGAATGCTAAGAGTTCCGTGAGTGAGGAACCCAGTGGAAGAGATAATTTGTGGCATTTTGTCATTGGAACCAAAATGACGACCCCAGTGCTGCAGACGGCCACGAGAAGACTCGGAAAAACCGAGGCGAACTGGGTTGCTGTTGTGAAAACAGGCACGGGTATTTCCATCTCCTCCATCCTTTTCGATCGCTGTATTCCAGCTGCTGATCTGGATTTCGCTCTCCAAGAGCTTCTCGCAAAGAACCCTCGCCTGAGATCCAAAATCACATACGCTGAGGCGGACAAGAAGCAGCAATGCTTCGAGACGCCGGATGAGGTTTCCATCACCGTTCCCGTGATCCCCTCTCGGTTTGATTCTCTGTTACAAAGTAATGGTGGGGCGGAAGACTCGGAGGGCGAGATCCGGGAGCCGTGGCACTTGATCACAGAGGAAGAGCTAAACACACCCTTTCCAACGGACTGTCCATTCCCAGTGTTCGAGTGCAAGCTTTATATCTTGTCGGATTCCAATTGCCTCGTTATTCTGCGCCTCCATTCTGCTGCCGCTGATATTGCGAGCACAGGGATTATAGTCAAGCAGATCGTTGAGTCCCTCCACAAGCGATCATTTGGAACCACAGACGCTGCCGTTGCAGATAATGGCATTGATCAAGCAGAGGTCATAAGCAAAAAGATGCAGGATTCGGCCACTGTTGGGCAAAAAGTAGCCGATCCGAAGCTTTTGGCGACTACTGGTGGGAAATTGAACTACCATCTGCCGTGCATCGAGAGCGTGGTTCCCCCCGGTGAAGGAAAGAAGCCTTTCTGGGCTCACGGCATGGATGTGGTGGGATATGGCTTGGGTTCGCGCAGATATTCTTATCTCCCCTTTCAAGACACCGTCAGTCCAAGAAGCTCCAAGCTCATTCGTGCGGCATTGACCGCTGAGGGCACTAATCTCCTGCTGAAGGTAAGTATCTTTCATTTGCTAGTATCATCAACCGACTTTTTCTATGAAACGAGCATTGTATATTCAGTTCATGTCATCACTCTCTGTGACAAATGAACGCAGGAATGTGAGAAGCGGGGCGTTTCAATCGGTGGAGCAATCAATGCCGCAGGATTGAAGGCTGTGGCGGCAGTCAAAATGCTGGGCATGAAAGAGGAGAATTACAGTTCTGCAGTGTTAGTTCAGTGCCGCCACCGCCTTGAGCCCAAACTTGCGGATTCCGCCGTTGGTGAGGATTGCTTGTAGTTCAATTCCTCCTGTACATTTTTTCAGGTCTCATCTCTCCACCCGCGATGACAAAAAAATATTGTGCATTTACGTGCAGGTTTCTACCATTCAGCGATATTGAGAACAATGGACGTGTCAGAGAGCATGCCCTTCTGGGAGGTGGCCACGAAGTGTACAAAGGACTTCAACGAGGCAATTAGGAACAAGAAGCACTTCACAGACATGGGGGATCTGAACACCCTGTTGGGACAGGCGCTTCGATTTCCAAATCTCACCCCGAGTAAGACTCTTCGCACCGCAACGTTGTCCATGACTCTTGATCCCGTCCTGGAAGACGTTGGCCCTGCAGCTGCCGCAGTAGGTGTCAAGGACTACATGTCGTGTTCGGCCGCTCATGGAGTAGGGCCGTGCTTGGGCATCTTTTCTTTCATGAGACAACGCTCGCTTCAATTTTCCTTCGTGTATCCATCGCCGCTGTTCTCGACATCACAGACACAGAGACTAGTAGACCATATTCTTAACTATCTCTCCGTAGGTAGCGATAACCATCCAATTGCTTGAGGGCAACTCAGGTTTTGTAGGAAATTATGACCATCCGTTAACATTTACTCAGTTGATCTGTAGTTGCGAAAACGACGAAGCAATGCGTCATGCGTCAGCTAACCATTCCTTGGCCAAATTCAAAGATAGCATGAAGTCTGTCATTCAGGAACTGAAAAAGTACAAGTTCAGTCCCGTAAAAAACTGTGCTTCGTCAGAAAATTAAGACACTAAAAAATGAAAAGAAACGGACAGGCCTTGAAAAAATCACAAAGCCTTACAGGTACAGGACCGGAAAGTACTCTTCGAGCTGTTCCAATTACAATCAATAACTTCACTTCATTCCATTTGAACTTGTATACTCACTCAGCGAAAAAAACAAGGTCTAATGATGTTGGATTCGCCATATAGACTTTCAAAACAATCACAACTTCACATGTTTTGAAAAGTAGATCTAGGAAACATTAATTGTACAGCACCTTAGTTCAGTTAATTTGGCGATGCTGCAACAGACTTGCCGACCTCGATGCTGAGACGATGGAGAGTCTTCTGCAGTTGCTTGATGTCTTGGTCTTTCTTCGTCAGCTCCGACTCCGTGGCAAGCAAGGCCAGGGCATTGTCAGGGTGCCTTATCGAACCATACATCGCTATGCTGGACTTGGCTCGTTGCCTCTCCAGCTTCTTCTGCATTGTAGTTTGGGGAGGCTCTATCGTGGTGGGATGAGGCAATGCTGTTGTTCCCAATGCGGTGCTGCTCCTCGAACAAAAACTGGAACTTGTCGAGCGCCGAGCTGGAAACTGCGTAGCGGGAGTTGCAGATGCTTTGGCTTTGGAAGCAGATCGACTAAACTTACTGGCTTTGCGGATCTTGGATTTTCTTTTCTGTGACATCTGGGTGAGGGCTGCAACTGTCACATACCTATGTTTGGCTGCGACTGCCCTGTAGTAAGCTTCTTCACCCTGGCACAGCAGAAAATTCGCAGCACAAGATTCATTCTTACAAGAAATGAAGATAAACTTGTATCCCTGATACATTACGTTTATCGGTTATCCACGCTTTCACGTGATTGCTATTCAAGTTCGTGACGCAGTACAATGATACATTTCAGCTGAAGTGACTAAGATGGTGTTCGAGTGTTGGCTTACCTGAAGATCCTTCAGAATAGAACTCAAGCGTTGTGCGTTTCTGTTAGCCTCGGAGAAGCCATTCAGTAAAGCAATGTTTTTCTGCACTAAGCGATTTGCTGCAAAAGCATGTTCTTTGTCTATTCGTAGGATCGCCGTTTGAAGTATTTTCACAAATTTCTGGAGTACACCTCTGCGTTCGCAAACGAGCAGGAAGAACCAACCAATACGTTAGGCACATGACCAAGTAGTTGACTCGTGCAGGAATTATGAACCTTTGAAGCAGAACTAATCCACGTAACCTCCATAAACTGAAAGCTGATTCGCTTAGTACCTTTGATGTTTCATCTCCGTTTTCTCTGACAAGCAGTCAGGATTCATTTGTCGATGCGTATCGTTCACGTAAGTGTCATAGAGCTCCTTGGTAAGATCTGGCCATTTTCCTTGTTCGTTCTCCTCAATAATTTGTGTCAACTTGGCAGTGAAATTATTGACGTAAATTTCTACTGTCAAGGCCTTATCCAGCATTTTTTTCAGATTGACCGCGTTTACCGACAGTTTTGCCTTCAAATCCTTCTCAACTGTCCTGACGTCTTTCAAATCCAGGAGATGATCAGCCTGCCGGGTGTATGACAAACATTTGCAATCGAGTATTAGAAGAAGGACTTGAGTAAGTGGCGAGTCATACTGTTGGCTTCCTCGAAAAGAACATCTTGCCCTAGTCACAACTGCTTTCTTAACTTATCTACAGGCATTTGGTATCATTCAAAACCCAAACCTGAACACAAAGCTGGTCAAGGCCCTGAATCACGGAAGCTCCAACTACCTGCTCAGATTTAAGATTGCCCAAATAAGAGCGAAGATGTCGAATCTCTTCTGCAACAGGTTTCTTCTCCCGCGTCAACTGTGATACATAAGCTCGTCGTAAATGTGTGATGAAAAGCACTGAGGAACAAGAGAAATGAACAAAATGTAAAATCACATTCGCTGGGACCAGTGTGCTGTCATACAAATCGAAGACCGCTTGTACACCGATTTCACAAAAAGAAAAGACGAAGCTACAGAGACAAGTATTGGCAGTCTAGATAATGGACCAAGAAGTCGATATGACCGGACAACACTAATTGTGACGCACCACATTATAAGCTAATTCCTACCTTAATCATGCTTGTACGCCTAATGGAATTACGTTTCAGTAAAGGAGTGAACTTGTAACAAATGAGCAATATTTAACAAGCGAAGCTGAATCATTGAGCTTGGCTTATGACTACCTTGTCTATCTTGTAATCGTAAATGATATGGTGAGATTCTTGCTCTCGAAGACTGGCCAGTACATTTTCGTTCCTCTCATCTGTTTCCAGCAGCCAACTTCTGCTGCACGCCCGGTCCTTGTCAATTGCTAATACCAATTTCTTCAACCGCCAATTTTCCTGCCAGTCATCCCGCTGTGTTGAGACCATTGTAACGTTATGCGGAGTATTCTTGTCCGTCATACCACCAGTATCTTAACTCAGGTGTCTCAACTAGCCTCGACTATTCCACAAATCTAACAGAATTTCCACCATCTAGTGTATGAAAGCAAGATAAGATTATGTGCCTATAGAAAAGCATTATACCATGAGAACTTCATGGAGCTTATCATCGTGTTCAGCTTCGGCAGCTGTTGCTTGATTAATGATAGCTTGAGATTGAAGAATGATGTTCTTCTCGTAGGACAGTTTCCCAAAAACATCCTCCACCCTTTTACGCTGATCTTCTAGATCCGTTGCATACTTCTTCAGAGCCTGCTCAATTTCTTCATCATTGAACATCAACTCCATGTCTAGAGCTAGCTGTCCTCATCATGCCAATCCCGAGATGGAGGATTTTAAAAGGTCTCTCTTTAGCACAGATTGCAAGGTTACAGAAATCAAATGATTGAGAGTACTTATGTTTGCACGAAACCGTAGTGCTCATTAGAAAAGAGTAATTTATGCATACTTTACACTTCTGTATCTCCGCGTCGCACTTGGCCACCACTTCTTCAACTCTCTTGTCTGCAGCTAATTGTGCACCCTCTAACTCATGCTTCATATCCTGAAGTTTCGCATCACATGCTCTCTGCCTGCCATTCATGATATCTTTTAATCTGTGCAATTCCTTCTGCACCTTGGACCTCAGTACATTTGCTTTTTCGGCTTCTTTGATTATCTACATTCAGAGTTGTCGAATGGATGAGAATCTTAAAGCCGGGGCTTAAACGAGGGAATCTTGATACAGTTTAGTAAACATATTAATAAGTAGCTCACCCTCCTCTCACAATCCTCGTTCATGTTTTTCAACGTGACTTCTTGGGATTCCAGCAGACCCTGAATATGTGATTCTTTCTCACTTTCTGCCATCAGAATACGCTTCTCGAGAAGCCGAAGTCGGAAATCGTACTCACTCTCTTTTTTTGCGCTGAGCTCATCCTTCTCTCTCATTGTCTTGATGTGTTCTTGCTCTAGCATGTGGTCCCTGTACAACATCTCGTCTCGTTCCTTCTTGGCTCTCTTCGCAAAGTCCTGACAGTTGATCAACGCACAAAATCACCACCCGTGATTCTCACATTCAATTTTAGGACGTTTCAGGATTCCAAATATAAAAATTCCCGGAATCCAACAAGTTAATGTCCCACCAACGAATGAACTGTGCATCAGTTTATTTGAGCACCGTAGTCTTCCTCATTACTGGAATGGTTTCCTTGAGTTGTAGATTAACACTCCCTTCAACTTAACAAATTTCTAACGACATTCAAAACGATATCAATGGTTGACATGTGAAGACATGGCACCTGAACATTCTGCTTCCTTTCTTCGAGGTCGTCCTTGTAAACTGCAAGAATGTCAACCCACGAATTCTCGTCCACCGGGAGAAAGCCACGGGGCTCAGGAGGGTCAGGCAGATCCTTAGACCAGGGCAATTTTTGTACAGTAAGCAGATGTATGGAGCCTTGAGACGAGGTAATCACAATCAAGTCATGGTTCTCGTCCACGGCCAAGGAGGTAGTCTTACCTGCCAGATCGCCATGCTCCAAGATTATGTTCACAGTCGGAGCCAAACAATGTCACAAGAACACGGTACTTCGGACCAATTTCTAGAATCGGCTGCCAAGTTACATTAGGACTAATTTTCAGGCTGTACCTGCATTAATTGGCTCCACCCAAGTGGGAGAGCAACCTTTAGAAAGTGGCGCTGCATAAAGTACTAACTCTCCACTATCATTTGTACCGCAAAGCAATCCGCTTCCACATAGTTTCACGTTTTGAAAGAGCCCTACAATTTTCGTTATTCCCTTCGGTTCTGCTTCATAGGAGGTTTGAGCTCTGGTCAACCATAAGCAGTTCCCATGCACAAAAATCAAGTCTTAGTTTTCCAACTCTCGAGGCTCCCAGAAATCGCAAACGTTTGGGCTTTTCTTTACAATTACAGTACCAAGGGAACATGTTAACACACGCAGAATCATAATGATGATTGCCGGGTCAAACCTAAATATGTGGTGCTCCCAACAAGAGCCACTCAAATTCTCATCTTCCTCGTCAGTCACTGGTGGAATTTCATCATCAGAGTTTATCTCTTCAGGCAGTGTTTGCTCAATGGCGATTTTTTTGTCAGTGTCCAGTGCTCGAAGAGAAATGTTTAATCCACATGCATACACGAATCTCCGGCTTCGGTCATATACGATAGAAGAATAAAGAGATCCTATCGTCACACATTCCGAATATTTCCAGAAACCGTCCATAAACCAACCGAGGACAGCTCCGTCCGTTGCTGCTGTAGCAAGATAGATGGAATCGTGAGACCATGCCACTGAAGTAACAGTGCCAATGTGACCCTGCGCCATCAAAGTTTAGACCAGAATCTCAAATGAGAGATTAGTTGACTACCACAGTTGATGTAAACTAATCTGCAGCAACAACCATGTAGAATTTAGGCAGGTCCAGAGAGGATGACCTTAAGAGTAGCCATGGTGTTCCAGTTGGTTGAAGAGGGCAGAACGATGTCCTTGCCTGCAGCAACCGCCACAATGGCACAACTGGGACTCCACCTCATCACTCGCACATTTTTCAGCCTTACATCTTCTATCGGTACAATGCTGCAGAATACCCTTTGTTCTTATTCATTAGTTGTCGAAATATGTACAGCTCAAGCATATGCAGACTTCCCCCTAGTATCTCATAGTATTTCAATATAACTTATCAAGTAGTTCATCTCTACAACCACAATGTCTTCCCCAACTTGGAGTAAGGCTGTACCGCTGCAGTTGTCTCAGGTGAATTCAACTCAGAACAAAAAAAATAAATTAAGACGAGCGATCGCTGAGAAAAGGGCAGTCAACGCTGACGTACTTATCTGACATTAGAAAAAATATCTTAATAACTCTTCCGAGAGCCACAAGCAAATGATAATTGTTGATGGACACAGCCTGAATTTCCTCATCACACCTGCCAGTATTCCAAAAATCCCCGCAAGCAACTACTCAACATCATCAAACAACGCGACAAATCCTGGTTCAGCAAAACTTTCAATTTCTCAGCTTCTGAAGAGATGTCTTACGAGGAAGCTAAGCCTTACGGATATGTGGTATCACAGACAAGCCGAGCATAGCTCCATATCCGCACCACCTGGTCCTGATGGCTTGTGGCGATGTTCATTCGACTTCGGCAGATATCCATATCCGTAACTGGTGATATCGTAAACACTGGCCATCCAGTCCTATCCAATGTTTGTCGGTAGGGGAATAATCAGTCAAGAAGTATGCTTAGCGAAAGTAGGGGGGCTAGGAATGAAGAGAAAAAAGAACACGCAGTATAAGAAAGTTTTAAGTCAATAAGAATGATTGCATAAATAAGATTATAATTCAACATAATGCATTTAAGTACCAGACGATCAGAAATACCTGGCATGGGATAATCGACCACATCGAAGACGGGACTTAGAAGCCCCTCTTCAGTATAGTTTGAAGTCTGATTGAGAGTCCCTTCCTCAAATTGTGGATTAAGCTGAAGCCGCCCCACTTTCTCCGCCTGAGTGGAAAATGACAAGTTTTAAAATTCTGTATTACATCACTTGCACAATACGAACGAGTGGTATGCAACTGAACGACAAAAAATTAACGGCCTAGGTTACTACCTCCACAACGTACAATACGGTTGGATCATTCGGCGCCACCACCAATGTTGTAATTGGCAAATCTTCTCTACAAAACCGAATAATAATATTAGCTGATTCATTCAGTGTCCTCCTATGAAACTGTCAAATTTTCGTTGTATTAGGTACATGCAATCATATGTAAGTAATTGATTTCGATTGAGACAAACCGTGACACAGAACTCATGGTGATTCCCTTTCCGTAAGGCCTAGTTGATCTTAACTGAAAGCACAACGTTCACGAGGTTATTTGAAGATACTTGAGCATCTTACCACCCACAAATGTCCCCACAAACTCTACATAGAAGACTTTTTGTAATATCTATTGGATTCACAAAAGAAAAAATTGTAACATATTTTATGACATGCGTGAACTTTTTGATTCATCAACTCTTACACTGTACTCTGATTTTACAACATCCCAGCCACCAACTTGCATGATGATACCATCCTTTCTGCCAGCATAGAAACCGGTAGGTGTGACAGCCATGCATAAGACATGCCCAGTATCAAGAAATTTCTGTGGTTCAATTCGACAGCCACCCACAGTCACAGAAGACATCTCTTAGAGAAATTCAATACAAAATAGTCAAAAGGAGACTCAAAAAACAAATAGATATTAAAGTTGATGAGCAAGACTTGGGAGGGCATACGTATTTGACTTCACCCCCTTTAACAATAAAGATCACTTTATTTTCTGTTGAAATGGCAATGCTATCATCGATAAGCCAAACGTGATCTGTCAAGATGCACTTGACTCCTGTGCCAGGTTCTTCGAGGCCTGCAATGTCGTCGTATGTCTCTATCAAGTTCTCATCTATGCTCCAAATTTTGATGGCACCAGGACCTGCATAGCATGATATCATCACCCTTAAGATAGGGTCATCGGCACGTAGACTTGGATGATAATTCGTAGGGCAATCTTTTGGCAGCTGAATCGTACCAGTAACAGCGAAGACGTCGGCACTCCCCACACTCACAGAGATTCTTGTAACATTGTGAGGATAATGCATGACAAACCTTGGCTGTTTTATGCCACCAGATGAATACACCAATCAATTTATGTGCACTATAGAGTACAACGGCACCTTGTAGCACAGACATGAACTATCAATAGAAGAACTGAATAGATAAATTTAATATGATAAATCAGATAAGAAATGAACAACTGTGGCCTAACCATCGGTAGGTCCAAATTCCAACAGTAAAGTTTAGCATCAGAAGCAGGACTGCACAAAGCCACGATCTGTTTTTCGTCTTTGGAAAGACCAACATTTCCAATCTCTGCCGTGGGATACATTAACTTTTTGTAAGTGCAAACAGGACTATACATCTACAGAACAAACACATTATCATTATCAACACAATGATGAAAATGAATAATAGTGAGCAAAAGTTCAAGCATTAGGGCAGATATCAGCTGAATGGTGAAGCGATTGATTAGTCGGGAGGAAGTACCTTCATGCTCATTGATAAAATACCTTGTTACAACTATAGGATTCTTGGCCATCTTGAATAGAGTAACCTGTAGACCCACATGTAAGATGTTTATAGCTTCAGGTTAGTGACGCACTTCCAGGAATTAAAATAATTCGTAAATGAGTCTACAGTCGCGCGATACCATGGATCAAAATGATATTGAACAGGATTGCAGATTGATAAATTCTACATAAAAACCAGGTTGAGATAAACCAGTAGGAGGTGCCTTACCGAACTCGGTTCACCTTTTAATTTCTCACACACAACCATGAGGCGCCCTGATTCTGACACAGTCATGCAACTGATTTTCTGTCCACAAGCAATGACTTAAATTTACAAAAAAAAAAAAAAAAAAAAAAAAAAAAAAATCAGCAGTAATGTGAATAACCTCCCAATAAAATAATTTGCTTTAATTCGTACTTCACAAGTCATGAATCAGAGAAAAGACGCGATTATCAATATGCATATGGGTTACAAAAACTAAACCCTTGTAATGTTAAGATTAAGAAAAAAGTTTCATCTTAAAGGATTGCAACACCTAGATTATCCGTTAATTAGGCATTAAAAAGTAAGCACGTGACACCTCAGTGGAAGCTTGAGCAGGAAGCAGTGGCACCGAACAGAAGTCTCTGAAAATGAAGTCAAACCACATTAAAATATGTTTCTCCATCCAGCAATTCTATTGTAATGATGAGCCAGAACCATTAAAAAGCGAACAAACTCTAAGAGATCAAAAGTGATGTGAAAATAGGCTATAACAAATATATCAGCATGCAACAGGAACAGAAGAGGACAGAGACAGAATGTCAATCAACAGAACACACTAAGAATGTGCGACGCACAAGACTCCAAGCAAGCGAAATGGTTTCTACTTTTATGATTACCGAAGTAACAGTAAGGAAACCATCCTCAGCAACATAGATTCCATCATCAAATTATGCGGCTGATATGCCTATAGACGGACATTTTCACACTTCGTCCAGAACACTAGTTTGGCAGCTTTGATTTATGAGACCTACTTTAAGTTTAAGGACATTCAGTTACCAGTCGTTTACAGCATACATCTATAGTTTGCAGGCCAGTCAAATACCATAGCAGAATACAGAAGACCATTTCAGAATCAGATGTCATACACGTGAAGCAAAACATGACAGAAATACCTGTACTTATAAAGGCCACAGCCAATTGCAAAAACTACGGTTTCACTATTCAAGCTTGCAATCTGAGAGAGGCGCCAACGGATTCCAGAAAATCCAAACGTATGTCTGCAACATAGGTGATAGAGATAATATGTTATTTAAATTTTGCAACTCATGAAGTTGACTTGAAGGATATAAAGTCCTGATGAAAATTGATGAAATCTTTGCTCGTCCAGCATTTAGCTATCGAACCTCTGCTGAATTTTAAAAACTCCGAACTCACAGCTATCGCCAATTTTCTCCAATGACAATGACTCTGTCAGCAAACTCGCTAGACTCAACCAAAGCGAAAGTGATGCATTCAATAATTCCAAAAGTAGATTAAATTCTGCTCAACCGTACTATCCGTCTAAACTCAATAGCACACGTACAAAAGTACAGCAGCCCCTCGATAATCATCAACTGAAACTCCATACCCTAATGGCCCGCAATCCACGAAGAGGTCGCGAAATCCGTTGCATGCACCTCTTATTATTTAGACTCACAGTTACAGTGATTCTAGGACTCAGATATTACAACTTGACGAAATGCATGTGTAGGAAACAGCTTACACTGGTGGAAACTGGTACACCGCAGACTCCATCGCAACCTTCTCCCACTTCTTTCTGGCCACCAGTTTTCTCTTCGTCCTTTCGGCCATGTGGATTTTGGCGCAGAATCAATAGGTGACGTTAGCAGCTTGTTGCGTCGAAGCCATGAATGGCGTCTACTGCTCTTGATCAGAGAAAAACTCGCAGCAACCATGGAATAACACGAGTACTGGGTGGTTGCCGTCATTAAGGTTAACACTTACTTTGCAATCCGTCCATGAATCTGATACTATCATCTGTACAGCATTCTGATTGCGTATCAGAAATATAGTGTCCCCTCAGGTCTGAACATGAGTCAATGCTATGCAAAATTACTTATCCTGTTACCTTTCACCTCCTCCACATGCCTCTTCATCTTCTTCACATGACTATTCATCGGCTTAAAATTCAGTTAGTACATGTATTAGTTGAGTGCATTTTGAAGTTGAAATTAGCATAAGTTGTGCATTGAATTAGAATAACAGATCAGTTACGCTTATAAAGAAAAATCATCATCATTACAAGATATATTTCAACACAAAAACACTAATCTGCATCTCCAATTGATTAATTTAAGGCCAATACTCGGAAAGAACGTCGTCCAAGCCAGCAAAAAACAGAGGTGCTTTCTGATTGAAAGGACAATGTATTTCTTTAATACCCTCAAAGGTACAGCATTACACTGATCGAGATGAAGCTGCTTGTCGGGCATTTGAGACCGCCGAGTTACTGCCACTCGTAAATGACTTTTGCCTATTACAGGAAGCTTCAGCCGTTGGCAAGGAAGTTCTAGATGTCTATCCTTATGACCAATTCAACATCTACTGAACTTACTGCACTTATCCTTGTTACACTTATCTGTGTGTAGCAGAAACCATCACCACAACAAAACTGTAGTATGATTTGATCACCATTTCAGGTTTGTATGGTCTCCTTTACACAGGAAGGTTATCTTTGCCGAGGCATATCTTTCGAATGAACCTCACTTTTTGCAACGCATCCTGGCCCTACACATATCAAAGAGCAACTTCATCGTCATAATTCCGCATAACATCAAATTTTTGGTCATGTGGACCACTAAGTTTTTGACACTTCTAAAGGTTCAAAACAGCATACCTGTTTGCGGTACCGTTTAGCTATAGCTTGGCTAGTACTTGATTCGTCAGCTCGCTCCATGTACATCTCTCCTAGACAGAAGTAAAAATTGGCCAGCTCAAGAGAAGATCCAGGAACAACCTTCTCCAGGGACGTAATTATGTTGCGACAAACGCGTATTGCCTCACCAGCATCCCCAAGCGCTCGGCAACAATTCATTAATGGGGTAAACGCGTCAAACAGGAACACATGTAACGGATGCTGCAGCAACATTGGCATAGTTTTAGGATCAATCTTCGAGTAAACTCGCCGGCTGACAACTGAAGACGAGGGAACTAGTTTCAAAAGGCACCACAAAAGCACATGCTACGGAGGCAACACCAAAATATTCATTCCTGTTCGTATGGCTACTTAACACTACACCTGCAACATAGTAGGCAAATCGGACATGATAGATACCAAGATTAACAATGAAAATCTACGCCGGGAAAATAGTTTCAGATACATAAGACGCATAAGTGGCAGTATAAGCTAACCAATTTTCCAGTAAAATCTGCTAGAAAGCGTTCGAGAAGAATACGTGCATCCTTAAACTTCCGCTCCTGATAGACAGCCATGGCAGCTGCAAGCCTGTTCTCAGCTTCAACCTCAAGCTTCCAGGGCTTCTCGACTCCTGTTACATTCTTACCATCAAAGAGAGTCGAGGACACTGGGCTGGCCACTCGAGAACAAACGTCACATGTCCAAGATGAGGCACTTTGGTCCTCCTTTTCAAATCGACCAGCCAATGAAACCGACTTTACTAGTACTCCACCGCAACCCCTGGCTGGGCACATGGCAGCCTGTGGTAGGAGAAGGAAAAACGTGACGTCGATTTCAGAAAACAGACAAAGCTCTTAATCAGATTGCTATTCAGCCAATTCAAAGACCTAAAACAGATAACCCAAATATATAAATGCAGATAAATGTCAGGAAATTGGAAAAACCTCTAGGAAGCGGTCAATGGAAGATTTGAGAGGCTCTGAGCAGCGGATGCAGCTGCAATCGAAGTGTTTAGTATCAGCCAAAATTTGTTTGCGGACTGCACGTGGCTCGTACAAATTGATATAAGACAAACATAGCTGCCACGCCCGATATCTTTGATAAGTCCACGTTTTGAAATCCTCCCACAAAATATAAGGCTGTACATGTTAGATTTTGAAACTCAGTTCAAGGTACAGTAGGAAGTGCTTGCCTCTGAATCCTTGGATATGTCTTGAGTAGCTCTTACAGTCATCACGCGACCTTCAGATGCAAAGCAACAATTTGGCCTGCATACACAAACTACCAGGGGTCATGGAATAGGAGAAACTGATGAGTGTGAAAATTACTTGAAGTAAGATTGCTACAAAAGATTTTGGGGGAACATGTAAACATTCAGCAAGGAGAGCATTGAAATATTGTGCATATAAGATGCTTGCATTTTCATTGAAAAAAATATAAGACTTGAGTCAAATCAAGTCAAAGAAGCTAACGATACCAGCAAGAATGGTTCAGCATGGAGACAAATGGGAACATTCCAAGAGCCACATCTGCATTGTGGGTGTCCTGTAATCCCATGCCATGTGCGTTCGTGTTCACCAATAATGCAAACTTCTCCAACTCCTCTGAAAAATAACAACAGGATTGCACATATCGTTACTCCTACAACTGCAATCATGGCAAAACTGTGAAACTGGCACAGCCGGTTCCAAACCACGTCAATGATGACTAGACAACAGTTTTTAAATTGGAGACAATAGATGATTTAGTCCTTATCATTCAAGAGCTTCAGGATTCTTACAGAAGACCACTCTTGGAGTGACAAAGCAAATTACAACATTATTTGCTTACAACAAGTCAAAAACCAACTGTGCGCAACTAAAAAATGAGCATTGACGGATCTAAAAAAGCACAAAATGATTGAGACATGAGGCTAACCTAGGTTTGATAATTGTGAATTATTGTTTGATGCAATGTCGGTAACTTCACCATCCAGAACCCAACTGGAGAGAAGCAAATTGCAACCCTTCCGCACAGATTCCTTCCATGCAGTAGTAGCTTTATCTTCATGAGTTTGTAAATTGAGGACATCCTGTGTAGAAAGCCAAACATATCAAAATCTTAAAGAAAAAATAGCACAAATACATTGACATATCTCTCCATTGAAGTGGATACTTCGTGCATCAACCAAAGCTTAATCGTGTCAACGATCCATAACCTCAGTCGCTCATGAATCCAACCACGACAGATCCACTACCTCGTTTTAAGAACAAAGGTAACCTTTAAAGAACGGTAATACAATATTATGCAAATCAAGATTACATTACTAACAAAAAAAGGTTCAAAGTTCACCTTCGCAACCCAGTGTGACCGTTAATAAACTAATAATCGAAGACTTCCACATGAGTATGCGTATTACATGATGATCCTCAGATATAAGAAGAAATACAGTATCAATTCAGAGGAAATAAGAGGTGAAATAAAATTTCCACTACCTCAGCACGCATTTTGTGGGGAATGCCGAGGATCGGCGACTGATGGTTAAATTTCACCAATCCCACCAAATGCGGTGCTTGGCAGCTATTTGATCATAAAAACATATCTACATGTTAATACATGTTTAAAGTGATTTTGAACCCCACTATCCAAGGTTCTCTGTTACTCGTGTGTGCAGCATACCACAGCATCATAGCAAGATGCTTGGATACAACACAAGATTGTATCGACACGGACGACCAATTGCAAGACAGGGAAATGGGCGAACATAGTACCTGTATCGTCGGATGAATCACTCCATCCTTAATTATTCCTACACTAGGAGCACTCCCATGCAATGACCGCTTTAATGCGAGAGCCAATACAAAGCGCAGTAGATCCTCGTCACAATCAGACACCTTAGCCACTTCCTTAAGCTTTTGTGAGATCTTGCACCATTTGCGGTGACTTGCCATTGCCGAAGCTTCACAGTCCTGACCACAACCAGGTTTGCGTCATTTCGGGGCAGATTATTCCGAAAGTTTCACACTTCACATGCATACCTACAAATACTAATGACTATAAATATCAACAAAATCTGATCTTACTAAAATAAATAGTTAAAATCAAGGAACAAATTTAATCTCCTAAAACAAACAAATCCTAAGAAAGATAGAAACAAGACACCAGAACTTAAATACCTGACAATAGATTGCATGCTTGCAACCAGGACATTCTACTGGGCGAGCATTTTGGTGCAAATCTCGACAACATTCGTGGCAAACTGCCGTTCGGTCCTGGGAGCGAGGAACGAAAGCCACCGCCTCTTCAGCCACAATTACTTCGCCTGCTTTGATGTCTCTGCCAATAAACGAAAGCTGTTATTACGATTCCAAGGGACCGGCGGCAAAATATAGATTCTGCTGTCTAGGAGTGATCAACCACGTGCAATAGCAGCAATTAGAACCACAGATTATTATCATGTCAGTGTTATGTATCAAATTCATTAGGAGTGTTGCGAAGCTAACGAGCAAGCAAACACACCATGGTTCTACGAATGTGATACCACCAGGCAGCAAGAATACGTTATTGCATTCACTACCACACTCAAAAAAAAAAAAAAAAAAAAAAAAAAAAAAAAAAAACGATTCATTGTCCTCTTTTAAAAAATGTCGACTAGATATCGTAGGACTGTTTCATGGGACAAACAATGAGCGTTCAAGAAAGTCCAAACTCCATCATAGCAGTTCACCTTGAAGCAATGGCACAGCGGCCTCGACGATGACGAATCACAGCCGACCAGGGATACGAACTCTGTACAAGTTCCTGTGAAGGCAAAAACTGGAAAACCTCTGCATTGCAATCTGCCGCGTGAGAGTTCTTTTTCTTTTTCACTTTCTTCTTCTTACTCTTAACAGACGCCAACCCTGCCACATATCCATTGGTTGCATTCTCGTGCTTGTCTGTTCCATTCGGTACTGTCTCCTCTTTCATTAAACTAGAGGTCTTCAATTCCAACACTGCCACTCGAGCTGCCGCCGCATCGACCTCCATCTCCCTTAACACAACTAGACACTGCCTCCAACCACTCACTACTTCCTATATCTCACCAGCACCTGCACAGCCAAGCTGTTAGCAACAATTAGAACTAGAATCCGTTTCTAATAATCTAACAAAATCCTATAGTACTCTCATCATCTAGAATTACAATCACAAACCACCCACAAACCTAGAATCCTAAGTATCTAGCCTTAGAAAGTACGAAAATCGTAACGCATCGATTAACAACAGGATCGCAGGGTACCTCAGGAGACGACAAAATACTAGAAACCTAATTATTCGCGAGAATCTGCAGATGATATGCAAAGGCGGCGTTATAGAGAACATAAACTGGAATTACAAGACCTCATAGCAGCAGCAGCGGCATTGATCCACCATCAATCGGCGAACAACTGCATGCTGTAAAGGCTCTGCATCAAACTCACACACACCGCATCAAACTCAAAACACAGCATGAGCGCCGCACTCGTGAGCAGTGTAGTAGGAAGCGATGTGAATGGCATCCGATCTGTGTCCGTGACTTCGATGATGCCTAGGAATTGTCCCCATCTCCGATAGATTTGTCGGAAATAAATGGATTTGAAAGTCACAGTGCATGTGAGAACATTACCTGTAGGATTTCGGCACTTCTCCCTCAAACTTTTCACGCGCTCGTTTGTTTCATGACTTGGCGGGCGTTGAGCATTCGATATCTTTTGCTTGGCATGGTGGTGGAGCAATTTTGAAATGTGTTATTGAGTTGCCAACTTATACCAAGTGGATAGTATTGTACTCTATATTTACTTTACTTATTCCTTGGTAATTATATTTATGTCAAGGAATTTAAGATGGAACTTTTTATTTATAATCTATCTTCATTCAATAATATTATTAAAATATTATTTAGCTTATTTGGTGATTTTGTAGTTTTATGCATTGATTCCAAAATCAATTGTGATGTAGAAATGTTAGCACAGTAAACTCTATATTTTTTATTTGCATCACTTAATACTAATTAAAAATTAAGTTATTTTTATGTAAATAATGCCAACTTTATTAGTCTACAAACATGCAAAATTATTTTATGGTATTTTATTTTAGAATATTTACAGTAAATTTTCATTTTAAAATTAAAAATATATATATATATATATATACTCAATTGATATAAGCCGTACATATGTATGTATGTATTATAAAACAAAATTGCAACTAATTATCTACTTTTTTATGGAGGTCTATAAAATTGTGCTTAAAAGTAATAAATTATAACAAACCTAAATGGTTTCAAATTAATACTTGAAAGCAATTAATTGACGAACATTTTTTTATTGATATTTTATTCTAAAAACAGTCTGGTAAAGATAAACTTTATCAAATAAATATTTAAAGATTGAATAATTGATGTTTAAAAAAATCAAAGAAATCAAATTTTTATTTAACTAGATTGCAGAGAATGAATCTTAGCAAAATTGTGGAAATGCATCTTTGTTGTCTAAATTGACTATTCATTTAAACATTTATATATATATATATATATATATATATATATATTATTTATTGCTCCAACAAGAAAGAATTTACATCCATTTTTATTTAAAAATTAGAAGCATCCATGAAAATCTACAAGCATTTATTTATAAAAAGAAGTTTGATTTGAGGTTAAATTTTAAGAGGGTGTTTTAGATATATATATATATATATATATTAGTTTTAATCCAAAACACATTATTGATACAGAAATACAATTGTAAATTAAAAGAAAGAATGAGGTCCTAACAAACATGTATCAATATAAGTTTGTAAATAATATATAAATCATTGATTAAAAATAATAATTTAGTAAGTGTTATGCTGAAGATTTTATCAACACCATTGACATTACCAGGCTATTTAAGTTATCGAAAGGGCGATTTATCTAAATGATGAACTACAATCAAGCTTTTTGTGTGACCAATTAAAAACAGTATGTTGTTTCTAGTTTAAACACCTTCAATGGTATCAAATCCAGAGACCACAATCAATTACTTCCAAAACTGGATTTAATAGTAGGGTTTTGCTGTGTGTGTTAACTTTGACAGTGCAATGTTAATAAGTAATGACGATCACACGCCCAGCCAGCTCTGTCCTCGACTCCGCAGCGAAGCACGCAAGAACAAGCTCACTTTCTTGACACGAATTGGAGGCTGAGTAGAAGCAAAAAAATCACGCATGCACACAAAAAGCAGCAGTCAGCGCAATGTAGCACACAAACAATCTTGAGGACGGAACTGGGGGATGTATAAAACCTTCATGAACGGGCAGAGGCGGGTAGGGTTCTCCGAGAAGTTTGATGAGGGGATGTTTCTCGAGCCCCAATACAAACAAGATGACTCCTAAAAATATCGTGTAGAACTTGCTCATTAGATCGCAGTTAAATGCAATTACGACACGAGGGTTTCGTTGAATTGATCACGTCAGAACATAGCCTGAACTCATGCGGAAGTACCGCGAATCATAACTCTGGTAGGTTGGATAGTTGACATTGGAGTCAAATTCTTTGCTCTTCATTCCTCATTTTCAAATTACATATGCTCTGAAAAATCCACAGTATCATCTTGACAGGTTATTGTAATGCACCACAAAATCGAGCGTAATCTTCTGGATTACCACAAGTTCAGAACTAACCTGCTGTGAGTGTGGCGGACAGGTTCACACGTTCACCTCGCCACAGATTTCTCAACAGGAAGTTGTGCGTATCCGGAGAATAAAGGTTTATAAACTGACTTGTCATACGCAAGTCACAACGCTGGAGCAAAAACAATCTAATGCTTACAACTGACAACCTGACTACACACATGGTAACGATAAACGTCAACAGTACAATCCTACGTGACATTTACTTTACGAAATCCAACGCGACTTTCCAGCAGTCCGAGTGTTTTGTGATATCCTATTTACAGCCTTGTAAATATCCAACTACGATGCCTTCCCAAGCTGAGACTGGCGATCGGTCAAAGGAACGTAACGAACCGAAGTATACTCGCTTTTCTTTACATCCCCTTTCGAATCTTTATCTAGTACAATAAGGTCTTGGAACAGTTGACCCACGGGTATGACCATTCGACCTCCGGGTTTTAGCTGGTCAATAAGTGCCACTGGAATTGATGGAGCAGCTGCTCCAACATGAATAGCATCGTAAGGTGCGTGCTCTGGAAATCCCTCTCTACCGTCTGTTCAAGCACAAAAAATCATGAGCAGTACTCCATAGTTATAGCCATTGCAAGTAATCCTAAAGACGCAAGGAAACTTGAAGACAGAATCTAGCCGATAAGGAATTTTGGAGCTTACCTCCAGTTTGCAGCGAAAGGCTGCCAGTATCAAGTAAACAAGCAGCTTTGCTCTTCTGTACATTCTCAATAGCTTTAGCTGTGAGCTCAGGAATGTGTTCCACTCCAACGGAACGACCACTTTCTCCAACCATAAGAGCAAATATTGCTGTCAAGTATCCCGTCCCTGCACCATCCAATTACAAAAATCAACGAATGAGGATGTGCGGACAAGAATGATGCTCAATACAAACAGACAGGAATGTTCAACATAACATTTGCAGCAGAAATGTCGTTCACAAAGTATCACATTCTTGAAGCAGAACTGTACCGACTGACATGTTGCAACGAAATGCACAGAAAACAGGCAACGGGTAAGCTTGGATGGTAACGAGGGAAGAGAGTGCCAAAGCCAGGAAGGAATCGAAGCATGAGTTGCAGGAATGGAAATAGATTATACCAGCCCCAACGTCCAGCACGTGATTTCCAGGTTGCAAATGGTCCTTAAGCAGTTCGAGACAAATGGCATGCATGTGCGGGGCAGATATGGTGGCGTTGTAGCCTATGGGCACAGGGTAATCCATGTAAGGAGACTCCCCTTCAGGCACGAAAATGCCTCGGTCAATCTGGTCCATGGCCTCTGCCACCTTCGGAGTGGTAATCCTCCCATTCTTTTGTAGAGATCTTATCAGATCCTTGTTGCATGGCATTTGTCCACTCCACAGGTACTACATGAAAAACATACATTAAAAATCAGCACTAAAAAAAGTATATCTGTGATTGATATTGATCATCAAGTAATAATGAAGTTAATTCAACAGTAGTGCCTCTTTAAAGAGATTACTTGAAGAGGTGAGAGAAAATGTGAATAAATACTGGGTTAGTATTTTAGGAGTCGTCCGCGAGTTTGGAGGCAGTGACCAGCTAGGGCTTGCGACTTTTCTGGTACCACGGAAGCAACAACGGACTCGTGTGTGTTGATGTGACTCACAAATCCACAGATCGAACTTGTGAAATTTGTGAAACTTGATTGAAATTGTCAAGTTTCTACGGCATGGTGAAAAGTTAGCACATTAGTTTCTTCGCATCCAAGAAGCGATATCCAAGTTTTATGACTTTCGAAAACTCGTAACATATACGCTAATCCCTTGGCGATGACACCAAGATCAGTGAAAATTTTTAAAATCTACATGACCATAAAGGAAGAAAGAATTTAAGAGGACATCAGCGCGAAGGTTACATCTGCTCACTTGGTATGGACCTAAACCTAAAGCTTTCAGTGCTTGAGAATGCAGCACCCTAATGTTCGCGAGCAGGTTATCTAAGTCTAAACACTACTCCATGTTCGATTCCATCTGCTTGATGATTTTAAGAAGCAGATGTGTGTGAAAATCGCGATAAAAATTACCGACAATTTTACGCCCGAATCGCAATTACATATCGGCTCACAACGTCAACACCCAACAATTCATCCCCGCAACTGGATTCTCCTACCAACCCCATCAACCTGAGCACCTGAAACTTATGAACCCAATATTCGACGAGAGGAATTGAACGTCAAGAACTCCAAAATCGAACCTGATAAATGGATCTATGCTCGATGTGCCTCAAATTGAACTGCGTAAATTTTCAGGTTCAAACTTCTTTGCTTGCGAGAGTAGCGTAATCGAATCCGAAACGATGTGAGGAAGTAAAGATTTCAATGAGAGAGTAGAGGAAGAGGTCAAGGACTTAATGCTGGCACGTAGGGATTGTTCAGTAACGGTGGATAATTTCGTTCTTTTCGTTCCTTCATCAGAGAACAGCACTTCGGTGCGTCAGTGAAAAGAAAACGATGTGAATCATCAGGGGAAATAATGCACAAATCATCACATTCTCGCATCCTGCGGATTGTGACCAGCAGTATGGGTCGCTAAAGTTACCAAGGGTAATTTACAGACGGAACTGTGACAATAAGTTTCAAGGTATCTGGCGACTTTACACTACATTATCTGGTGTCTTCTAAGTTGAATAGATTTCAGCTTCGGGCGCCCAATAATCTAATATCGTTGCTAATCCTCAGGGGCATGATGGCAACTTTCGATGACTGAGTCCCAAGGCTGATTGCAATCCATCCTCAAAAGGCCCATGATTGTAAGTCCCACACATCTGGCCATATAATGTGTACGTATCGACTTAACAGAATAGAAAAGATATGTACGCAGTAAAGGTGAAGCAAGCTTTGAATTGGATGCCCACTTAAGCGCAGCGAAAACCATGTTACAACCAATCTGAATAAGGTGGGCATCATCGTAAGTTGCATAATGACAGTTTCTGTAACCGTCAAAAAGTAGCAATGACAACTCACTGCAGTAGTCTACGGCTAGATCACTGCTCAGTGACTAGTAGAAGACTCAGACGAACTGGTTTGTCACTTCATGAGATCTTCTATGCTGGAAAGCCTCGCTGGGACGTTGTACTGCGGATGGGTTCTAATGAAAATGTTGTACTGCTTGAAATATACCCAAAGTCAATCAGTTCTTCCCATCATCTTGCTCCCACGGTTTCCAAAGAACTGCTTCGAGAATAGACCAGCAGCCGAGCAAGGGTGATTTCAAAAACTAAAGCATTTTCGGTTTTACATGTCCTAATCTTCTACCTAGTGCAAGCTTTTCTAAGTTGAGAAAAAACAACCACCGCAAGACTGAAGTCAATGGAGGTGATTGAAGCCTAATCAGGGCTCCAAAAAACTGGAGCTCATTGAAACACGCACCATTTGTCCGAAAACTTACTGCACTATTGAGCGAATCTAAGGTTTGCGATTCTGACTCACCATATCGATGGGATAAACAATCGTGTATTTTCAACCTTCACTACTGACATACAGATGAAGTTAATCATAAATGAGCACCTTGGATGTTCATCATATATGCAGCGACCAGTAAATATCTCCTCAATAAGAATCCGAGCTTTCTATGTACACAGCGTACAATGCCTACATCAGATCTCACGCATCCACAAAATGGATATCGAAATTGGTTGGATTGATTTGCCACACGTTAAGGGCTGCATATTCTTCTAGGCACTCTTTAAGTTGAGCCTGTGAGTGACCCTGCATTTACAAGTAACAAAAACTGTCTCAGTATACTATTTGCAGGAGCTTAGAATAAGATCATCTAAGTGATGACTAGAAACACTATAAGAAGTTCATTCCTTGGTCGAGAAGTCCATACCTTTCTTGAAATCCAGTTAAGAGCAGAATTATAGCTGACGTCCATTGTACGTGCCCTAGCAGCTTCATCTCGGATAATAGAATAGATGTCGGAAATGGGATCTAATCCACTCTTCTTGCGCTCATCAGTATATAAAGAGAACTTTGACATTTGCATAAGACGCAAGGCTTCATCGATATCACTTTGAGCCACCACATTCGAAAATCGAAGTCTTGCGAGCGCCTGCAAAACGGAATCATCGAATCAAGGTGGATCATTTACACTACTGATTTCATCAGGAGACAAATACAAGACTACCTCCATTTTATGCAGCTCAACTGATTTTCAATGTCTGATCTGTACAATGCACACATTTTTTTTCAAACCTAGCCTTGCAGACACCCTAAAGCTCATTAAGCTAAGAAATAAAATCATGTAAACTAATCAAAAACTCTTCTGTAGTATCAAGCCGTTACAAGGTCTATATGTCTAACGCAAACCATATAATTGTGAGACTAGAACGGGCTCGCGTACCTCAGAGAGACGAATAATACTGAGAAGCGTACGTGCTGTTGTATAAGAATGAGGTGCATCGCTTTGCGCTTCTTCCTGGCGAAGGGCAGAATAAGCACTCGCCATATATTCGGTTAAATCACGAGGCACATATGGGATCACTTGTCTTGCAGAAGAAATATATGCCCTGAGGAAATAGGAATCAAGTAATGCAAAGTATAAGCCTTCGTCATTACCTCCACTGTCAATAATATGACGATATCGGTCGTAAGCGAAGACAAATTAAGTAGGGAAGACTTCACTGAGAACGAAAACCAAGTTATCTCAACATGAGCATGAACAGCATCCATAGAAGCTCACCTCAACGTAGAAGAGTCAAGGGGTGTGAAATCCAGTGAAGGGGGTGCACTGTGTTGATGCACATGAAGAACATGCCTTGCCATAGCTAAATCACTGTCCATGTCTGCACGATCAAGTATCAACCACATGATATCAAACCTAGAGAGAAGTGCTGGCGGTAAGTTGATGTTCTCTGCCGGTGTTCTTCGCATATCGTATCGTCCCCTGGACCAAAATACATTTCAGGTTAGAGTGAAGTCTGCCAAGTCATTGTATGACCAATATAGCACTATACACAATATTAAAACTAGAATCTCTAGAGACAACTCTTTTCTGTATTCAGTGACGCTAAGATCAAGAGGCACGGGTCCTGATATCCTGAACAGCGAAGAAAATAACATTTATGAGCATGCCTGAGCACAATGAACTAGGTGCTAAGTGTACCAGGCAGGGTTGGCAGCAGCAAGTATGGCTGTGCGGGCATTTAACGAGGTTGTAATTCCAGCCTTGGCAATGCTTACGGTCTGCTGCTCCATCACTTCATGTATGGCTGTTCGATCAGACTCCTCCATCTTGTCAAATTCATCAATAGCACAAATTCCCATGTCTGCAAGCACCTAAATATCCAGGCAACATTCAATAACATTAAGGGCCAATTTGGAGCATACCTTAACGTCCTTGTCTCCCGGCTACCATCATTGAAAAGGTGAACTGAAGCCTCAATACAATTTTCCTAAGTAAAATGTACAAAATGTACAAAACACATTTATTTAGAAGAACTGATTGACTATTCATGAGCACAATAGATATGGTACTATGTTTCAGCACCATACTGAGGAGAATAGAACCCACCAGTGCACCTCCCTCAAGAACCATTTCATTTGTAACAGGATCTCTATGTACAGCAGCTGTCAGCCCTACTCCACTGCTTCCTCGTCCAGTAGTGTATACACCTCTAGGGGCAACACTAACCATGTGCTTTAGCAGTTGACTCTTAGCAACTCCAGGATCTCCCATTAAGCAAACATGGACATCTCCTCTTATCTACACATTTCCTTTGTTGAAAAAACAATTAGTCGAAAGGGAACTACCCAAAGATGTGTAGTTAGAGGCTTGAAATCGCAAAATGAGGAAGAGGCCAGAAGCAATGAATGGACAATAAGTGAGTCCAAGGGTACAAACCTTCATGCCGTCTGAAAGTTGCCGAGAAGGAGCTCCCACCAAAAGTAACAACAGGGCTTTTTTGACATCTTCATGCCCAAAAATTTCAGGAGCTATTGAAGAAGACAACTTTGAGTAGATGTCCCCATCTTCAGAAAGATTCCGAATAAGATCCTGCTCGACATCTTTCAGCACATACCTGCACATAAGACAAAGCCAATGAGATTTAGGAGTCCTCAATGCTGAACCATATATACGAAGCTAGTGTAGGGTAGGTGGGAGTCTTACTCGTCATAACGTTTCTTGGTCTGAATAATCGACATTGCTTCCAAGTAAGTGTCAGCGACAAGGCCAGCACGCATAGCCCTGAAACCCGTGTATGGAGTAGGCAAGAAGATCCCTGAAATTTCAACCAGGTCTCCTGGCCCAACCAACCGGGTGAGCTCTCCACGGATCTGTACAGTCATGGTGCGTGGAATGTGGCCCTTCGGCACTTGATCAGCTAGCTCCTGAATTTTGGCCTACATAGAATAAGACAAGGGGCTCAAAATAAATTAATTGGCGCCAGCACAATAGTGGTTATGTAGATGCTGCAAACATCACGTTTAAAGATCAGCAATACATAACTCAATATAGTTAATTGATTGTTTTAAAGAAAGTGAAATCCGAAAAAAAAAACAAAAAATCAGTACTCTGCGGCTTAATGAATTTAGAGATACAGGGGCAGGCAATGCAATCTCGAAAAACTAAAAGATGAGACGAACCTCCTGGAACTTGGTGAACTTCGACCCTCTGACTTGCAGAGACAGCATACCCTTAGCATTGTTCGTACGGCAACGTACAGATGGGCATTCGGAAATAGGCATGAATGAGCGTGAAGTAACTTCCTGAAAGGCCATCCAACGTTCATCTTTATTATTTTCTAATCTGCCGCATCAATTACACCGAATGCCTCATCTAATAAGTACGTCATGGTTTGTTCAGACACTGACGGAGTTGCCAGTCCTGCATGTGAATACTACAAACTCCAGCATTGTTTATGCTGACGTGAGAATATCCTTCGATAAACAAGCCAACAATCAGATGCTCACGTCAATCACCCAGCTTGATGTCTGCAGAAAACACTTCATACAAAGCACTGGTAAGGGCATGAAATTAAAATTGGTGAAAAATCAGACCTGATAGATCTCGTACCCACAGGTCTCACATGTATACGTCGCAACTTGCATCAATGGCTTCACGTCAGTACATCTGGTGATGATACCTCTTACTTTGACAAGCCAACCAATATGGCTAGCCTTTACACCCCGCAATGCTAAGGCAGCATTTTTGTCCTCGCTTTTTATATAAACTTCGCTGATTGTTCATACCCAAAAGTTGATGTAAGCATAGTAATCACCACATAAACATCATAAATAAATAAATAAATAAATAGACAATTAAATTTATAAAAACCCATTCCGAACCTAGTCCCTAAACCTATTCAGAAGCTCCAGCCTCAGGACCCAAGCTGGAGCTTCAAACGCTAAGAATTGGAAGAATTCAGCTGCAGAGTATAAACACAAGAGTTGGTGTTCATCATACAGGATGGCAAATGTGAGATAGGCAATAGGCAAGCAGAGCACTGCTGATGAGAGATAGTCGATTAAGTCTTACAAGTATCGTTTAATCTCAGGCGGCAGCTTGTGCAGAGGGTCAACCACATCCATCTGCTCCGGCACCTCTTCTGTGCGTTGGCTAAGGAACACATCAAAGTCGTCATCTCTAGCAAGAGGTATATTCGGTTCTGGAAGCAAGTCGTCAATGGCATCGGCAAAAAGTCCCACGTAACGCCTTGCATTGGTGCGGATTCTTTCAACAAAACTCAGATCTGCGTCCTTCTGTTCTCTCCAGCAGGATGATACTATTAGCTAAAGAGCAGATGATAGCCAAGCATGCGTACAATGAAGGCGTAACGCATGAGAAGTAAACTGGAGTGAAAACTGACAGCACTGAGTCAATCGTGACAAATGTTTAGATATAATTACTGCGTCTTTGACGTCGCCGAGATTGATTTCCACGGCCTTCAGTTTCCGATTCGCCACTTGTTGCTGCACAAGAACAAGCAAAAAATCACTCGAGGAAAACAACCACAGGACGCTCTATCTGCTAGTGAAAACCAGGCCCATAAACGGCTTTTGGTGCCAAATGCATCTACTGTTTACCTTCCAGAGCCTGAATAGAACCCGAACTCGTGCACACTAATCAAAGATACCCTCTGTCCAATGTAGCCATACAAATCAAGGTATCATGAAGAAACGGCGTTTTTAGACGGCATGTTTTCTTGATATGAAGACCACACAGCAAGTATGTTACCGAAACGTGATCCAGATGAAATCGAAACTCGATTGTCCTTTCTTGTAAGATGCAGAGCTTTCCAGAAATTGATCCAGTCTATCCTCTATCAAAGGCAACCACTCGAAGCTTACCAGCATTTTCATGTATTTGAGGGTCCCATCGTCTCCAATGTAGCTCCTCAAAAATTCCTTGCATCGCTCTGTGTGTACAACTCCCGTCAAAAAAATTGCTTGAGATAAAAATCACCATAGACTTCTCTTACGTTTAGAGGTCTCTTAAAACCGGCATTAACAGATTCAAGCATACTTTCATTCCTCCACAATCTCACCAATGCCAATCAGAAGAGCACACACCCTATGTTATAACTAACGATGAGGCTTACTAGGCTTGCTCTGGAATCGTCAAAACTTCGATACAGTAGGACCTTCATGCATATCCACGTATACATTCTTAAACCTAACTTGAAGGTTTTTTCGATACTCTTTCATCGCTATCAAACGAATCGATTCAGTCTATACAGCACACAATTATTGTCCTCAACCAAACATTGAACCAGTTTCTCTAGCTTTTCAAGTCCCTCAGCCATTACAGCTCCCCTATCAGAGAGGTCCTCTACTTTTCCAGGCAAAAAGAAGAGCGCTGTACCACGATCAGCTTTGAAGTCTGGAGCAGGCATTGTTCTATCCTGGCGCGCACACGAACCGCGTTTACAGCATCACCTGTCCGACAATCTGAAGTACTGTCACCTAATGCAAAGACAACAAATGTTAACTGTAATGTTCCTCGATAAAGGTCCTTGGCAACATAATAAATCGCGCCACAAGAACATTCCTCTCGCTACCTGACACTAGTAGGGCAATCACACCAAACTTTCCAACAGTCTCCACGCATTTTCTAGCTTCGCAACCACGAGAACTCCACAAACATACCGAGATGAGACACACTAATCAGTGAAAAATTGCTTCAATCCTTCGCTGCGCAATGACAACGGTTATCGACGGCTGCGGCGCTAAGATTGCCGAACTAAGTTACAACGCCATAGCGATAGCCAGTAACAAAAAGTGGCCATGGCCGTGCTCTAAAGATCGCGAGGGCGGGAAACCTTGAGGAGCGAGCCCCGCTGGATGTTGGAAACGAATGAAAAGAGGTAAACGTGATGGATGAATTCACGCTGCTTTCGCACCTTATCCTACGTGGCATGCAATAATGAATTATATCCAAGTTTTTCATGAATATAGAATATGTAACTAGTCAAAAGTGGAGGAAATTTCTTCATGAACAACTGGATTTTTCCTTCGAATTTCGTGCAAATGATTGTCAAATAAAGTTTATTTTTGCTTCCGTTTAAGATTGTTTTTTTGCTTTCGTGAACAAATGTTTTTGATTCAGAATAACTAGGAGCTAAAATTGTTTGCTATTGGTGCAATATTGAGTAACATCCGCTTGAAAAACTGAATCATATGATGAAGAAAACAAGAAAATCGTTGTGTTTATTCAGAATATTTTTTATGGAGAAATTCAAATCAACAGGTAAATGAAATAGTTTGTGTGCAAAATTTTTAAAAAGTAAAAGTAAATAAACGTGGTTTCTACATGAAAAAATATACTGCGTTTTGTTATTTGTAAAGATCTCAAGATCTGTATTTTTTATTTTTAAAAAGATATTTTTTAAAATTTTCAAAATAATAATTAACATATGTTGTGCAAGAATTTACCCAGTTTTATATTTAAATAGCTCATTTTTATTTGTCTATCATTTTATTGGAGTACATGCACTTCATACATAAATTTATACATACATTTATACACACACAAATATATATATATATATATGTATATATATATGGAAATGATAAAACGGCCCAAATTTTTACTAAAGCAACCCACTCTATCTTAACCATCATTGCATCCTTGTAGCCCCCATCCTAGTTCCTACCCATTACTAAGGACGAGGCATAAGGCTGGGAATGGGAAAATGGATGAGAACAAGAACAAGGTTAAAAGGGTACAATGATGGTTTAAATGTGGATTAATTTAGTAAAAATTTGGGTCACTTTATCATTTCTCAATATATATTACCTTCTTTAAAAAAATAAAAAAAATACAACACAACAATTATATTCATTATTACTTTAAATTTTATACATTCGTGAATTGTTAACTTGAGCTATGTAAATTTTGTGAATGTTTTATTACTATTACATATAAGTACTCTGCTGTAAAAAATAACTAAAATATGAAGTTTTTGTTTGTTTAAGATTTGAAATTATTATTGCTTTAAACAAAACTATTATTGTTCTAAACAAAACTTGAAAAGCTTAAATGCTTCTTCAACAGAATGGAATGAGGAATCTCTACAAGTTGTGGAATTTTTCAGCCTCTCTTGAAGCTAGTCTCAAGCTTCACTGTGCGGTAGGGCGTCTTGACCTGCTTCTCCTTGTATTTGATCATTGTGTACCACACCCCACCTACAGTGTTGGTTGTCACACCCAAGAGTATGGAGGGTGTACCTTTGACGCCTCCAAACACAAAGAAGCCAGCAACCTGCAGCACACACACACACACACACAAAGGAAATGAGAAAATAATCTGAAGTATCTGTTACATTTGGAAAGGCATGACGTGAACTGTTGCAGTTTATTCACCATGACAAGTTGATGTAGTAGACAGCATGAAATCGACGGGACAAAGCTGGTGTAACCCTGAAAGAAGAATGTACATACCGTGGCCAAAACGCTGCGAAGAGTGCCCACGATTGTAGTGGTCAAAGCCGAGTTGCACAATGTGCACAGGAATAAGCAGTAGTTGAGTAATGAGCCCATCAAGAGTGAAGATATGAGGAGAGGCAGGAACCAGACATTCTGTGCGCACTGGGCTTGCATGCCCTCCATAGCCTTCCAGATCTCTCCTGTTGTTAGAATGATGGTAAGGAGTACCGGTAACGAAAGGATTCCATTGTAAAGCAATAGTTCCATGGAGCTGAATCCTGCGCGTCCCGGGAAGAGGCCAACTCTAAACCTTGTTGTCTAAACCGTGATCATCAATCATTTGTGATTCCCACTTAGTTAACGTTGTGTGAACAGTTTGGAGATGCTCTCATATGCGAGGAGTTTGTAAAGTCATTTTACTTTTTAATAGAAATGTACCCACCTTTCTCATTGCCAGATCTCTCAACGAGTATTAAGTAAGTACTTTGCAGTGCACAGCTCATAAGTGCAGCAGAATAACCACCCAAATCGAAACTCAGATCTCCGATGCCAGCCATTAAGCAACCTGATGACACACAAGTCCGATTCCGATCATTGACTCGTGACTTGAATTGGATTCAAAAAATTGTCTACGAAGTCATCATTGTTTATGGATCGAAGAAACCTGCTCACAATCAGGAGATTTTTTTCAGTTTTCATTGTTGTTATTTTAAATTAAACCTTTCATCGCTTAGGACTTCCTTCACAGTAAGGATGAAGGTAAATGGGAGCAGTGAGAGAAAGGTGTTTACCTGAGACAACAACGAGCACAGACAACGTGACCTCGGTAGAAGGCGAATGGCCCCAAATCAGGTATCTACTCGCCAGCACCATAACAGGAGTCAGACGCTTCAGAACGTGATACACAGGGATGCTGAGAGCATTCACTGCTACTAATGCGAATGCAACATTTGAATTGTAGAAAAACACCACGGGCAACAAGTTCTTGATAGCATTTCTTTGCAGTGGCTTCACGGTGATCAAGCCCCACGCTTGCATCGAGTAGACAACGGCGATAGTTACCGCTATTTGCATGGTCAGGAAAGAATTCGGGTACGGCCAGCCCTGTAAAACTGCCTGCAAACATCTCAACATGTATCCCAGATTAAGCCTAACGACCTCCTTTTGGTATACTACTGGACGCCTCGGAACAAGTCAAATTGAAGTGGTACATTTGATGACGAGTATCTTGGAAAGACTTGTGCACCTTATTGAAGAATCCCACAAGTAGGCCCACTAATGCATAAGCGCATGCAGAGGCAACACTCGCCCAAAGCTTAGCATCTTTAGCTGCAGATTTATTGAGCAGAGGCTCCTTATCGGGCGGCAGATTGGTCTCGTCCTCGCCGAAACGCTTCCCTTCGTTTTCAGGACCTATACAATATCACGTTGGGAGACAAAAATCGCAACAAAATTGCAGCCATAAGATTTCACTGCAGGATCTTGTTTTATACACAGTTGGTAAATTACATTCGCAACATTTGCAAGTTCGTAGCTTGACAGACTACCATAGAATCTTACACAACAATCCAACAATCATTCTGGTAAAACCATCGGGTATCTTCGCTGTCAGCATTGATGATTGTGAGAAACTTAAAGAATGACCGTTGCCTTTTTCAACATTACTCTAGCTGTGGAGAACGAAAACGAGAGACCTCACAAGGGATCCATTCCTCATCATCAGATGTAGGGATAGCACTACTCACCAAACCCATCGTGTGCTGCGCGGGTTTCTGGGAAACCAGAAGAGATTACTTCCACAATATGATTCCCTTCGCTGCTCATGGCTGGACTACCTAGCAAAATAATAATCTCCAGAGAATACTATGGATTGACCGTGCGTGTCTCAAGACTGAAACCCCAGATTCTGTGGCACCTAAACCCTGTGAATATTGCACGCCTTTTCGTGCCATTTCCAGCACCTTCAAACTACACTACCTGCTAACGACGACGAATTCTAACTCCAGCACCCGTATCCCCCAGCTCCTCAATGTCCAATGTAAATCTTGAGGAGCATTACATGGACAGAAGAAAGGGCTCGAGATTACAACCACTCTGCCGAAACTAAGATCGTGAGGACCTCAACACATTCATTTGAAATTCGACGATGAACACTCGCCTAATTTGATTTGAATATTTCGACGACCGAGCGGAATTCCACACGGGAACAACCTTCGATCTGTGTGACTGAGAACAGAGGTTGAGTACAGAGAACCACTCTCAGAATAGACTTACTAAAATTCGCAAAACCCTATGATAATTTTGAGGGATATTCATAAAAGCACTGATCCAATTGTATCGAATTTCAGGGAACACGTAGATCGTGGAATGACAGCGAATAACGTGTCGAAGCCAGGAGTGAAACGTGCTCCTACCGACACGATATCAAAAAAACGTGTCGTTTGTGAGGATTTTATTCAAGTATAAGCGATCGAATCGCTGAATTTGAACTGAAGTTCCGAAGTATGGTAGCTGATTCGAACTTGGCTCTAGTGACATTCGAAGATTGCCATGCCGAAGGTTTACGTGGCTATGGCGGCTCCGCAGCTGAACTAGCTGCAATCTTCGGCGTCAACACCGACGTGAGTGTTACCCTCCGCCTCGACTTTCGGTTGAGTTCATCGGCGAATTGGAATGCGCTTCATCTTCGTTGAAGAAATGAGTTTCATTTGATGTTGTTGGCATATATTCACAGCTTTTGTCGTCTGCAATCGGGCCTTGCGAGGATGACTTCAAGAACTGGATGGTGAGCACCGCAGACTGGTGATCGAGACAGGATCCTCTGTTGTGCTCGCTGCACTCGCTGAACAGATCCTTCTTTCCTTGTTTGTGCGACTTCAGCAACTTACACCTATAAATGACTCCTTGCAAGTACGCTTAAGCCCCAAGAATCTTAATGCGGTGACAAAAACGGTGTCGCCGCAACGAAACCTTGGGGCCTGAAATCATGTTGTGGCAGATTCCAAAGTTTGGGAGGCTGGGTCTCGGACTCTCGGGGCAGGTGGGCTGTTTGGGATTATACAGGGGAGAATAGAGGGCCTCTATCTCAACGCCTAACCTGCGTACTCACCTCTAAGTGCACTTCTTTGTGGCAGCCTAACCTAGTGTTACATGTGGGTTTCTATTGCGGAGTATGGCTGTGGACTATGTTTCTTGCTTTATTTATTTTTATATAGAGAGAGTGGTGTTCTGTGATGAGAGGTTTTGTGAAAAGATTTGTGTTGAAGTGAGGGGTATGTTGATGTGTGTAATAGATGGAGTGGAAGATTTTGTGAACAAAAAATTGAACAACTTTGATGATGAGTTTAAAGGATCTCTTCTCCAAGATACAAATTGGAATATGGTTAATAAAGAGCTGGGGGTATGTGCACTACAATGGACATTTGGTTACAAATTATTTGTTCCTATTTTTGTTCTAAAGCTACCTTTGCCAAGACACAACTTAAAATTCTCACATCCAATAAGTCATCACACACAAAACAATAAATGACCATTTTATTGTATTATATATATATTGATTTGACTACTATATATATTTATAATATAATTTAAATTTGAAATAAAAATATATATATTAGAATCAAAATATGATAAATATAGCAACGTTATAAATACCTGAGTTTGTAGTCTGGTTGCAACTCCTAAAATAAGCTAAATAGAGAATTTATTATATATATATATATATATATATTTATGTTTTTGTTTTATATTTTTCTTCAAATTTTCTTTTTACTTGATTTTTTGAAATTTCTTATAATTATTTAAAAATTATAGACAATTAAGCAAACAAGTTTCTAATCATATAATTTAATTATATTTATATCAAATTTATTTTGTAATTTAGCTAAAATGGTCTTATTTTTCAAATTGCTATAAGAAAATATATTTTCTACAGAAGAAAGAAAAAATAAATAATAAAAATACATTGATTTTATAAATACTTCTAAACTAATTAAATAAACAATGGTACTATCTAGCAATGGGAGTAGAATAGATTGTCTTGATGCAAATTTTAGATGCTTAAAATTTAAGAAAATATATATTATATTATATTATATATAGAAATTATAAATATAAATACAACATATTAATTGAGTCTTTATACCTACAATACGAGATGAGAGCTGTAATTTTTAATTCCTTTAGTTGTTGAAATTCTAAAGTCTCACTTGGTTGGCTTTATACTTAAAAAAATCAACCAAAAGGTCCTAAACTAAAAGAATGAGACAGAATGAGTTCTTTTTCCCCTAAATAGTGTGAATAATGTTTTTATGAATCTCTATTAGATCCATTTGAAGAGGTGTGTGTGTGAGTGTGTTTATTTTATTTTAAATTTAAGAAGTAGCAAAAAAATCACATCTATATATATATATAAATTCTTTTTATAATACAACTTCCACTACAAAAAAAAAATTGTATTTTTTTTTTCTTAATATTCCTCTTACAATTAATTTTATAAAAGAAATATTTAAAAATTATTAATAAAATCTTTGTAAAGAAAAAAACTTGTTTAGGTCATTGATTTACTTATATGCCATCTTCTAAACAAAACTTGTAGTCTACATTATTTATCTATTCATACAAACACACTATAGAATAGGTAAATAAACTTTGTGGTAAATTACTGGTTGGTTATTGATAACCTTGAGAATTAGACTGATGGTTAGGCAGTTTAGTTGGTAACAGTAGGTTGTTAGTGGAATAAATGGTTAAGAATTCAAAGGATCATAACCTTTGGAATCTGCTGGCTGACGGATCATCTTTATGGTAGGATAAATAGGTTGAGGAAAGAGAGATCAGAGTCAGACTGTGAAAGTCGTAAGCCAAAGGCCAGACTGTGAAAGTCGTAAGCCGAGGTCTAGACTGTGAGAGTCGTAAGTAGAGAGCCAAACTGTGAGAGTCGTAAGTCGAGAGCCAAACTGTGAGAGTCGTAAGCCAAGAGCCAGTTTGTGATAGTCATGAGCCAGGGTTAAGCTTGGTGCTACCTCTTTGTTTCTTTGATATCTTTGTTGTTGAAGAGTAATGAATAGTTTTTGAATATTGAGAAGTGAGTCTGTAGAATAAATCAAAGATTGATTTATGAGTTATTGATTATGTAATTGGAGTACTGAGTGATTGAATTATATGAGAAGTTATTGGAAGATTGATTATGAATGGAAGATTATGATTGTTGTTTATTGAGAGTTGTGTGTGTGTTTCGACAAAGAAAGTCTGTGATTACAAAAATTTTGTGAATCCAGATTGGTTGGAATGAAGTTTGCTATTCCTGGTGTTGGATAGAATTTATGAGTTTTGAGCAGTCTTTTAAGAGTGCAAGGTTCCACAATGTTGTTATCAGTTGATGAAGGAGTATTGGTTACCGAGAGGAAGCATTATAGTGTTTCTTAGTGTTTTAGTGGTTCGGAATATAATTAATTGTGTGACTCTAACAAATAAAGTTTATGCATTTAGTCTTTCTCTGTGTTTGAATTCTCCTATATAGGTTTATTCTGAAAGGAATTGTAGAATAAATAAAACGACAATTATATTTTGGCGTCACTGCTAGAAAAATGATAACAATATGAAATATTAGAAATTGATTGTATGGAAAGAATAAAAGATTATGAGTGATAATCAGGGGAGGAGATGATTATCATAGAATTAATCGACAAGCAAAAGAAAGACAAGAGCAATTAAACATAAGAAATATCCTATGGGAACGACAAAAAGGAATTGGAGGTCCAAGAAAAACCAAAGAAAGAAAAATTTAGATTCAAATATTAAGGAGACCAGTGATAACACCAATGGCCATGGGAGTGCCAGAAGTACCAATTGCAATATAAATAGGAGCAATAAGAAACCAAACTACAAGTGTGGTACTATTACCTACTTTTAGTGGTTGGCTGGGCTCTAATCCCGATCACCATATATCTCAATTCTTGACAGCTTGTGTAGCCAATAATAGAAGAATCGAAGATATTTGGTTACAATAGTTGCCAGCAACCTTAAAAGATATGGCGTTTGAATGGTACAATCATTAACTAGTGGGTCAATTTCCGAATTGGGAAGCATTGAAGAATGCATTTTTAACCCATTTTTGACTAATAGGTTTTGAGGATCATCTTTGAGAGAGGTTAATGAACAACAAAATGATCCTAGGGGAGGTGGTAGAATCGTATTATGGCCGGGTGGCTGATATACTCAGTAAGTGGCCAAATCACCAAATGTCGAAGGCATTTATCTTATCCATATTAATCAATGGTTTGCAACCACCTATCACGGACATACTCATGTAAGCTAATAATTACATATATAAATAGGTAGAAGTAAGTAAAAGTAGGTTAATTCTATAGTATTTAATATGACGGTGCTTTGACTTCATAGGTGTCTTTAATTGACTTTTTGGATTAGAAACGTGGTCAACAAGTTGGCCATGTGCCACACATGTTGTTAGCTTGAAGATCAACCTAACTATGTGGCCCACACATAGAAAAACTTGCCTTGTAAATCAAAGCATGTGTCCTACAAAGTCAACACATATTGGAGGTCCTATAGAATGTCGCCACGAAGCCCTCTAGTTAGATAGTATATTAGAGACAAGAGTGAAGCCTTCTTCATTCTTGTCAGCTCCTTTCTTGCTTCTAGTCTAATTTCAAGGATCTCTAATTTTCTTGTCTTTTGGCAATAGGCATTCTAGTTTCTCTTTCAATATCCATTCTTAGTTATTTATATTTTGTTACCTTTCTTTGAGTGAAGGCTCACTTATCTGGATTATTTTTTCATTGAATTCTTGTCCTTGACAGATTGACAAGAGTACACCTATAATATCAGAGCTTTGTCTAATCTTGATTAAGAGTGGATTATCCCTTTTTCTTGATAAGATATAAGCATATTAGAAGTTGCAGATTACCCTCTTCTAAACTGATATTGTCCTTAGTATTTTCTTTGTTCTCAAGTCCTGTCTTCTATTTGACTTGAGTGATATTAGACATGTTCTCTTTTCTAAGTTTTATCATGGCAGAACTTGTTGAAATGAAGAATGCAATGGCACAAATGTAAGAGCAATTAAGGGAGTTAATGCTTGCGATGCATCAACTCAATTTACCACCACAATGAGCAATAAGATTGGCAAGAAGTGAAGATATAGAAATAGTTGGAACTGCTTCAATATCTACACCAAACCATGTCCTTTCTCCTATGGTGGAACGCCCTTCCAGTGTTAGAGAACCAAGAATTGTCCTATCTGAGAAGTTTGATGGTACCAGATCCAAGTTTCGAGGATTTATCAATCAAGTGCAACTTATGATTGAACTTCAACCCCAAAGCTATCTAACTCTAGGATCGCAAGTTAGATTCATTGGTACGCTTCTTTCGGATTCAGTACTATCGTGGTTTTCATCTTTTCTTGAACGACGAGATCCAATATTGGATAATCTAGAGGCTTTTCTAGTGGAGTTTCGATCCATGTATGGAGAACATGATGCAATTCGTGTTGCAACCAATAAGATCCGTATTTTACGACAAGGCAATCGATT